TGAGGAAACATTGAGCCCTTTCAGGGTTGGGTTGGGATTTTTGTTTGTAGTGGTTTCTTTTTTTGTTGTTGTTGTTTTTTTTTTTTAAATGCAGCAAGCTAAAATCAGTGTGATGAAAATGAAATTGTGGTGCAGAATCCTAAAGCAAAAGTGACTTTCTGTTTTCTTGTTTTAAGCATAGGAGCATGGACTATCTTGTCTAAGGATTTAGTGTATTTGTTGCTACATGCTTGGATTAGTTTATGTAGGGCAGGATTATGCTTTAGCTCAACTTTTCCAGCATTCCAGGAAAAGCAGTCTAGAGATCACTGATAGAGGTGTTTCATCTGTTTCTTGGGATAGAGGTGTTTCATCTGTTTCTTGGGGTTCTATTTATTTATTTTCTTTAAGTTTAATGATACAGAGCCAAAGCACTGTATTTCTAGAGATGGGAAAAGACCTGAGCAGCTGTTATGATTATAGTGAACTCATGTAGAGATTTTCCAAGGGCCTGAGGAGCTGTGGATTTAGATGGGCAGAAGAAAATTCAGGCCACCTTCTGAGGAAGGCTTGGGGAAGGTGGGATCCTTCATGCAAACAGCTCCTTGTCTGAAGCAAAGACATGAGAGGAGCTCTTGCTCTGCAGTGAACTTTGTAATTAAGTAGTTTCAGGAAATCATGCAGTTTGTAACAGTATTCAATGGGCTTTTTGTTTTCCTGTCCTGGGTTCTTTGGATCTGCCTGTCTCCCATGTTAAAGGCTAAGTGCTTTGAAGATGGGAGGCCGCCACTGTGCTGCTCTTGTGCAGAGCTGACACCAGCACTCTGTCCCCAGCCTGCTGTGGTGGTGCTGAAATAACCCAAACTGCCCTTGGGGAGCTGTGCTGGAGGGGCAGTTGGGTACAACCTTGCTATCCAGCCCAAATCCATCACTGGCACATGAGATGCCTCTGGCTGTGCTGCAATGTGGAGTGCCAGCCTGGGGAGAGTGGGAAGGATTGTGTTATGTCCTCCTCTGATGATGGTCCAGCCCCTGGCCAGGCTGTAGTGGGGACTGTGTCATATGTGAGCTGAAAACAAATTTCAGATTCAGAATGGGTGTGCATGGATATACCACTTTCCCCTTCCCCTCCTTCTGGTAATATATCAACTTTTCAAAGGTGATGAGATGCCTAAAGCTGCAGCTAGATGATTATAGTCTGTTTTTGAAGTACATGTCTGCATCTTCAGGCACTCAGAGATCTTTAAAATCCCAGGCACTGGAGGTTTGCTCCCAGAGCTGCAGTTTGAATCATCACTGGTTGGCTGACCCACGCTTGTGTACCCTCTGCTGCTCTTTGCCTGACTACAGATAAATGCCTCCCTTGACTTACAGAATTAACTCTGCTCAAAATGGATCAAATTGAAATTAGTTTTAATCATTTGGATTTCTGCTTCCAGTGTGATGCTTTTATTCTAGCAAAAAAATACCGGCCTGCCTTAGCGTGAACAGCTTTTGGTTCTTAATGCTGGTTTGGTATTCATTTCCCTAAACAAGGAATGCAATTACCCTGTAGCAAAATAACTGTCTCCAACTGTCTTTTTTCCATTAAACAAACGGGAGGTTTTACCTCTTGGTCTTCCCATAAGATTAATGCACTTTCTCTGCAGGAACTGTCTTAAAGTGATCCAGGAATCTGAACAACTTGCAGACAGCAGCCTAATTGCCATAGAATCTGATTTAGCCAATGCTCATTTTCATTAAGAAGTGATCTCTGCTAATAATAGAGACTAATAGCTCTTCTAAATGAAAAAAACCCCAAACTTTCCTTTTTCCCCCCACAGGCAGGGATAATGAACTCCTAAATCAGTGCTCTTTCCAAGGAAGCCATTTCCCCCCATTTCAGCAGTTTGTCTTGGCAGCTAACTGATCTCAGGAGACCCTGGAGCCTGTGCTTGCAGGGGCAGTGGAGTCTGCCCTGACTGTCCTTTATTCCTGGCCCCCAGCTGAAGCATGGAGATTTTTCCTGCTCCTTCATCTGTTCAGTTTGTTTTTGAAGGAATGAGATGGGGATTCTCTCTCATTTACTGTCACTGTACATTATACACTGTACACTGATGTGTATCACTGTTCTGCACTGCTTCTGCAGGGGAGGAGAGTTCAAAGCTCTGTGTGAAGGTGTAGGGACTCAGTTCTTCTCTCTCTGGTGTTGTGTAAATAGTAAGGCATGTAAATAGTAAAAACTGTTGTCAAAGACTTACAGGAACTTTGTATGTTGCCACAGATTCCCATGGGATCAATATATGGAAAGTGTTGCAATCTAGGTTTTATTGAGGGTCTTTTGCACTTGGTGAGCTTTTCTGAAAGATTTAGAGCTAGCATTACTACCACTGCTTGAAAACCATCAATTACACAATCTTTTTTTGGAAGATTTCTGGCCCTCTTGGTGTGAGAGAAAAAGCTTGATAAATACAACTCTAATAGCTCCAGCATGGATTGCTTGCAAAAAGAACCTGCACAGGATTTAAAAAGAGAGTTACTTTCCCAATTTTAAGGAGAAGAGAGATTTTCAGTGCTTGGGTTGTTGCCTGCAATTTTGGCCGACTGAGCAATCAGGCTTGTTAGCAGCCTCACCCCCAAACCAGTGCTGTGCTAGGCAGGAGAAATTACTGACAGCACAAAAAGGAGTTCCTTTATTAAAAAAACCCAAACAATGTAACCTCTTGCACAAACAAACAAAACCCAAACAATGTAACCTCTTGCACAAACAAACAAAAAAGTTCATCAAAAGTGACTGCATTATTACCAGCTTGAGTGGCAGAGCAGGAAATCGGCTGCAAATGAACAAAGAGCCGTGCACACGGTGGGGATGCTCCTGCAAGCCAATGCCGGTTCCCATTTCAGCAGGCCGCGTGTGGCAGCCTCCTCTGCTGTTCAAACGTTTTAGCCAGATAATGAGGGGAAAAACCCAAACATTTTTCACACAATCAACTGAGTTTGGAAGGGAGGAGCAATAGGAGAAGGGTAGCTGTGGTGCTGATTATTTGCTGGCTGATGTGGCTGTCAGGAGCAGTGGCACAGGGCGGCGTTGCTAATTGCCGGCAGGGCCTGTAGCTCGGGTCACTGCTCTTGGCCACTTGGCTGCTGCTGGAAGCTGTTGTTAATGCACAGGCAACCTGGTTTCTTGCTCAAAGGGAAACCAAGGCATGTTTGCCAACAGCTGTTGGGGTAGGGAGGGCAACTAGTAGCGAATTGGTGTTTCCTATCAACACTGATGGGGAAATGGAGCGCAGAAGGGTGCTGGTGCCTGTCTGGTCTGGGGCGGTGTGTTTATGTGAAACAGATGGTTCTCTGCTTCAGTTTGCCAGCAGATTATGGAGCTGGCTTTGAACCATCTTGCGTGGTTTCCCAGGAAGGCAGGGATCCCATCCACAGCAGAACCTTACTGCTTTGAGCATGTTATGTGGGGGCAGAGCTGGCAGCAGTGCTCTCCTGTGGAGGGCAGCTGCATGCTGGGGTGGTCCTCACCATCCACAGTGGCCTGTGGCACCAAAGGCACACTGATGCTCCAATGCCAGCAAAAAGTTCCAGCCCTGGGTGGCCCAGGGTATGTTGCAGGTGCCTTTTGCACAATTACCTCCAGTGTTGAAAAAGGAACCTTATGCTGGGTTTCCTGAGCTTTAGGATCCCTCTTCCAATGTGCTGCTGCATTTGGGAAAGAAATAAAGGGTGATTGTAGCTGTTGGGAATGTGGGCAGGGAGCAGTTGGATTTGTCCTGCTGCTCCCCTGGGCATTGCCATTTTCCTTTATACACCCAAACCATCCCTGTTATCTGACTCTGCAGTTCTGCCAGGGATGAGGTGATAGAGAGGGTAAACCAGAATATTGGGAAAAACCTCCTGGTGAGAGAGAACCAGGATATTATGAGAAACCTCCTGCTAAGAGAGACTAAGATTTGCACCATCTTTCTTTTGGCTATGGGAAAGTGGGCTGCCAGCAAAATGAACATTGAGGTTGAATCCACTCTGTACAGACCCTTGTCTTGAATGAGGCTGAATTAAAATTTTTGTTCACTTTGTATGGAGTGGGACAAAAACTTCTTTGTACCTTAATTGTAACTTTTTTAAGGGCTGTGGACCCGAATAAATGGATAAGGTTTTCAGTAACCTATATTTATACTATCATGTACAACTTCTAAATCTTCACAGCTACTAAAAAATTCAAGAATGTGGTTACTGAGAATGGGAGTTATTTGGTACTACATGGTTACTGGAAATTATTGATTGGAAAAGTGCCAGCTTTTTATGAAATGCCATAAAAATAGACATTTTAGATGGATGGAAATGAGATCTGTAAAAAACATGCTACCTTCTCTGCAGATAAACTCTGTGATAATGCTGTAGCAGTCTTCCAATAGGACACAATATAATACAAAGATGCTTTAAATTTTAGCTTATGCTGGATAGTGTATTTACAGTGTATAATGCTATTCTCTCATCACTCTGACTTTTTATTCCTTTTAATCATTTAAAAGAAGGTGCTCTCTATATTGCACAGAGGCTGGAACTGCAGCTGGAAAAGGTGACTCTGAAATAATGGGATCTATAAGAATAGGCAGTTTCACTCAAGTATAGTGATTTAGTGCCCTGTTAGTGTCCTGATGTATGACTGCATTTCCAAACACCGTAAGTTTTTCCACAAGCATAATGACAGGCTTGAAACTTGTGATACGAATGCCCCAGCTTTTTCTATCCTCAGCTGTTCCACATAATTACAGGAGTAAGGGAATTTTGTTCTCTCCTAGCAGATTAGCTCCAAAAAGAATAAATCAGATAATGTTACTGCCTTCCCATTTCCCTCTCTACAAGGTGAGAGTCCACATGGTGCAGTGCAAAGCTGGGGTTGGTAATGTTTTTTCTTGCCTGCAGTCTGTGATACAGATAGGATTCCAATTTTGGTGTCACCAGGACAACTTCTTAAAGGTTCAGTTGCTTGTGGCTTTTGGTACTAATTTCAGCTTCTGTGTTTGCTCTGCTTACAGATGATGGCCCTTACTCAAAGGGAAGCAAGGACTCTGGAGGGATGGATGCAGCCCTGGTCTCCAGGAGGCAAAGCATCCCAGGTAAAGGAGGGGTCAGCTCCTGCTCCAAAACATTGGATTATCCATTACAGTTTACCTGGATACCACTAAAATAAGTAAAACCCCTCAAAACACTAATTTTGGTGCATCCATCAGCAAGGCTTTTGCTGGAAGACAGAAATGGATGGTGGTAACTGGTCTCAGTGAGTAGTGTGTTACTGGTACAATCCCTGTCTTGTGTGGGCCTGTTGACAGTAGCTACAGGGAGCTGGGAAAGGACTTATTCCTGCACTGAACTGACACTCACAAAGAAGAAAACAGCAGCAAAGGAGAGAGGGAAGAAATGCTGCCATAGCTGAGCTCCTCAAGCAGGGACGGAAACTGGCAAGCTTCAAATCTCCCACATCTGACTAAGTTTGTTTCGATATTTAGTCAGTCACAGCAAATTTTTGTGTGAGATAAACCTTCCCATGCAAAAACACCCCGGGAGCTGAAGAGGAAGTGGAGAAATGGTAATTCATTTGCCTCTGCTGGCACTGGGCTTCACGTGCCAGAAGCACTCCAGCAGGTCTGGATGGGCTGCCTTGGACCACTCATCTTTCTAGGAAAGCCAGGGACTTGGTTTTGACTTCTGGCTGCTAATGACCCGGTCACAGGGTTGGTTTAATGTGTTCTAGGTAATGGGGAGGAGGTGGGGCCCTTCTGCTATTGCTTCATCTTTCAACACTTGTTGCAGAGGATATTCTGCATCACACCATTGCAACACACCACTGTAGTGCAGCCCTGATGGGGAAAGGCTCACAAGAGCCAGTGCATTCAACAACCCCAGCTCAAGGCACCTCAATAGGGAGGGAAAAATTCAGGCGTGCTCTTCCTGCCCTGGGATGCAAAATCCAATCATATATGCCAGTAGAAAAAGATCCAAACTATGTCATATGTCATGCTTAAAGACTATGTCTTGAAGGACCAGATCCTCCTTAACCAGCTCACTTTTACACTTTGTGGGTCTGTGACAGTGGCAGTAGATTTATAGAAGCATGGGTCAAAATTCCTTATGGCTGACCTTGATTGGTTGATGTCAGGGATCTGCCTTTTTTGGAGCAGTAATTTCTCCTTGAACCCATAACAATGGGTAATTGCACTCTGGGAGTTCTCATTTTAAACACTTATCAAGGATCAAAATTAAACCTCATTGAAAAGCTAATAATCTCCCCTTGTGGCACCATCTGTGTTGATCAGTCATGTCTGTAGTTGAGAGGAAATTTGCAGGATGGTGCTGGATGTTGTTCTTTCCAGCACGGTGGCAAGCCCTCCCAAGGTTCTGGCAGCCCCTGGGCTCCTGGGCTGGTGAATTGAAAATTAACTTACTGCAGCTGGCAAGGGATCAAAACTGAGTTTAAAGAGCAGAAGTATTATGGACCTGACATTTTTACAAGGAGCTGCCAGTGCCACATTAAATGGGTGCCCAGCAGTGCCTAAATGCTGCCAGACTGGAGTTGGATTGCAAAGAGGTTCCCTACTCACATTAATCAAGTGCACAGATTATTCTTGGAAGTGCTTTACAAAACAGGTAGTGCATGGCAGGACTCTTAAGTGAGCTGCAATTTCTGGTGTCCTGGTGGCTTTGAACAGGAGCAAAGTGCTGGTGATGAGGCACCACAGTGCCAATACACCCTGTGTTTTGGATGGGTGGACAAGGCCCTGCACCAGCATAGATCTTCTGTGTCAATATGCTCTTTAAGGAGCCCTGCCTTGCTCTGGAAGTCAGTGTGCAAGAGGTTTCAACTGTTCCCTCTCCAAACAGAGCATCTCATTTAAGCCTGCTAAGGTTTACTGTGTAAACAAGCACCTGGACCATTTGCAACATGGGGTTTTTGTCCACATCTGTGGGGCTGCTGTTTGTTGTGTGCTGCCAGTGCCAATCACCACCTTCTCCTCATAGCCTTGGAGAAAGGCACCCTGTGTGAGGGTGACTGGTTTCCTCCTGTAAAGTCATGGAAGATTTCAGTATACTGAGATAGTGGAGGTGGATGGATAATTCTATGGACAAATTGTGTAAAAGCTTCTGAGAGGAGGCTCTGACAGGGTGTGGATGTTGTCCTTATTTGCCCCAGGGCTAGTCCCCCTTTGAGCAGAGTGTGAGTCTGTTGTATGCAGTATTGCAGAGCTGCCTTTTTCCAAGTCTTTTGGAGCTCTTGGTCTTTTCCTTAGTTCAGGACTGATTCTCCTGCTCAATTACTGCCCTTTCCATGCCAAACCCAAAAGCTGGAATAATTTAGGAAACCTGTTTTTGTAAAACTAAGACATGATCTGTGATGGGATCAAAACTAGAACGCGGTTGGGCTTATATACTGGATACTGGGCTGACAGGAGTGTTGTCTCTGACTAGAAAAGGTAAAATGTGCACTGCCTGCAGCAGTACTGGTGCAGCACTTGTGGGGTGGGCATCCCCTGGACCTGTGTCTGATGGCAGGCAGTGCATGTGGAACAGGTCATGGTGTCAAAGTGACTTGTATCTTCAATTCCAGCTGCAGATGAGGAGTTTGACTTGGACTAGGTGCAGATGGGTGAGCAAACTGTTGTGAGTGAGGGAAGGTCATGCCTCCCTCTCCACCCCTGATGATGGCAGGATCTCACCCTTCTCCACATTATGTTCTGTATCTCCCAATTATATTGATGTCTCATGATAGTTTTTTAATCATGGTATTTTAGGATCCACTCTGTTTGGTCCATCCAGGCAGCTACTGCAGGTCCACATCTCTTGGACTTGGCTGCAGGAGCATCCTCCTCCTGTGTAACTGTGACCACCTAACAGCTCTGTCAATGCCCTCCCCACTCTATATCAAACATAGTTCCTGAGGTGGTCTCCCTGGACCATTGCTGAGGTCCCATCATCCTGGTTTTGAATTTTTATACTGACTCCAGCACCTTGAAACACAAGGTTTTTACTTTCTCATAAGCCCAGACTGCTCTGCCTTGTCTTTTTTGGTCCTGCCTGCCAGACCTGCATGCAAACATTGCTGTGGGTCTACCAGGACACACTTCTGTTTTACAACTTCAAATAAACAGAGGCTTTTTCTTCATGCTAATTGTTCAAATCTACTTTCCCACTACCTGTAGGAAAAGGATGTCCTTGGGATTGAGGGAATGTGCCTTCCACTGAGTTGTTTGTCTTTATTCTCAATCTTTCAGAAGAGTTCAGAGGGGTCACAATCGTGGAGCTGATTAAGAAAGAAGGAAGCACCCTTGGTTTAACCATTTCAGGTGGCACAGACAAAGATGGAAAGCCAAGAGTCTCCAATCTGAGGCCAGGGGGACTGGCTGCAAGGTGAGAAATGGAAATGGGGTGCAGAGAGCACAGCAGGAATGGAGAGGAATAGTTGCATGTTCCAGCTAGAGAATGAATAGAGTTATAATTAAAGTAGTTGGCACCCAAGACCCTTTTTTCAAGTGCCCCAGAATGCAAAGTTGTTGCTTCAGGAAGTAGAACATGTTCTATTTTGAGTTATTTCCTATGCTCTGTGCAATTATGCTCTGAAATTTTTTGTAGGGATATTTGTGGTTCTGTGAAATTAGGCAGCCTTGTCAGGAGAGCTGCATGGTACAATACATCTTGATCAAGCTAAGTGGTTTAATATTGTATCTGCTCTGAATACTGAGTGTATAAGTAACATTATTGGCTCAGAAAAGGAATGGGCAAAGAAAGGCTCCAAGAAGCAGGAAAAAGGAAAGAGTAATTGAACAATTTTGCAGAAAACAGGCAAAAGGAAAGATGTTTTCTCTTTCCCTGCTGGATTTTTTTCAGACAGCTCTTGGTGTGCTTTTCTTTGACTGATTGCTCTACATGAATGGGAACTGAGCAACAGCAGAGAGGTTGTGAATACGTACACTGCAATTGTTGCTGTATGTACAGATCTGAACACTTGCCACCGAGAAAGATAGATGGGTTCAATTTTAGCACTTCCCTCTGATAGCAGACACATGCAATCAGACAGCAGAGATCAGTCCAGCATTGCTGGCTTGTTCAGAAAGTCCTACAGTTACCAGCCAGCTGGAGACTTCGTGCTACCACTGCTTTTTATTTTATTTCTTTGCAGGAGTGACCAGCTGAACGTGGGGGATTACATCAAGTCGGTGAATGGCATTAACCTGACCAAGCTGCGGCACGACGAGATCATCAGCCTGCTGAAGAATGTGGGCGAGAGGGTGGTGCTGGAAGTCGAGTATGAGCTCCCTCCAGCCGGTGGGTGCCTCTCAGACAATGCTGCTCTATTCTTGGCTGCTTTTTGTCCTGGGGTGCCAATGGACTTGCTTGTGCAGAGGTGCCGTGGCCAAGGCAGTGTCCAGGGCCCTTTTGCCGTTGCTTCGTCTGCTCACATGGGTGGTGGAGGCTGCCGAGCTCTGTGCAGTTGGAGCAGAGCACTTTTTCCAGCACAGTGGGTGCCTGCTCATGCACACTGACAGGGGATGGCTGATTAGGTCTGTCTTGCCTTGGAGTGACTCGACAGCGCAGGCCAATCTGCCTCCTGATGCTGCTTCAGCTTCTCATTTTCCCTTTTGGAGTGTGCTGCAAGAGGTTTAATTCAGTCTTAAACATGTATTTCCAATGCCCTTTTCTGAACTGTGGCAAGTGCTGCTAGTCCTCAGGATTCTTTGAAGTGTTACGTGTTTTTAGAAGGGAAACTGAAGCAATCTGCTTTCCAGCTAAGGGGCCCTGGCAGAAGATGGCAAGTCCAAATAACAGGGCTTATGTCCTGTCATGGGAGACTATATACTCTTGACCCCACTTGTTTTGATGATTGATGTTTCTGGTTAAAACAAATTCCTCTATACAGTTTCTCATCACAGTCTTTCCATTGTAAATGCAATCCCCCCAGTTATTGCTCATTCATTTACCCAGATCAATCACACAATGATTGGGCAGAAGAAATAGAACAACTAAAAATAAAATGACAGGAAAAACAAAACTAATGAAATCTAACATTTTGCCCCAGATAGGAAGATATTTTACATTTCAGAGCTTTGCTGTAGCTGCTGCCTTTAGACAAAAAGTATTGAATATAAAAGTGACTGTGTAAAGCCCAAAAGAATAAAATCTAATCTGGAATAGATGAATCTGTATCCATCATTCCTCTCTCTTCTGCTGTAAATGTTAGTGAGCTTTTGCAAACACCTCTGGTAAAGCCAGCTGTGCCTCAACTCTTCCATGTTCTCATGACCCCTAGAGATGACCACTCTTAACCTTTCTCCATGGTATTCCTTATTCTCTGTGATATTCCTCATGAGGAATCTGATAAACTGAACTTGCCAGCCAAGGAGTGGTGCCAGCTCAATCAATAGCAGCAATGTGAGATGTCCTCAGCTTTAAATGAGCAGGAAGAGCACACTGAGATAGTGACTTCTCTCCAGTGAGATTATTGCAGCTGTTTATGAATGGTCCAAACAAAGAAGCACTGCAAAATACAGGGAATTGTCAATTATTGCCTGTTTCCAATTCATTGTGGTTTTTTATCTGCTGTGAGGGTTTGTTATCACTGTGTATGCTCACCATCCCCCCACCTCTGTCTGTCCCTGAGCAAAGAGCAGAAATACAATGCAGTTCGATATCTTGTGCTTGTGGGTTTGACTTTTTCTTCCCACTCTGTAATTTCCTGCCTTGAAAGGGATCTTGCAGGTCCAAGTCTAGTTTTCAGGCTACTGTGTCCTATCATGTCTTTCTAAATAAACCAAACCCTGTGTTAACACTGGCTCAGGTTTCCCAGCTCCCACTGATCTCATAAGAGACTGTTGCAGCACTTCATACTTCAATGCTTAGGACAGAAATTGGATAGCTTCTGAACTCATTTGTGGATACTTTATACCCTTTTTCTTGGTATTTGAGTATCACCCCTTGGCTGGGAGCCTTCCCATGCCCTGAGCACTCCCTTCTGGAGTATTTCTAGGCTGTGTCCCTGTTAGCTGTCTGTGCACAGCAGTAGGAGCAAAGTGGGGACAGTGTTTGGAGGTTTATTTGGCCTCACTGTAGCTGGTCCCCAGGGCTGTCTGCCTGCAGGCAGTACCATGCCTCCATTGCATGTCTTTCGGGTTGGCTTAAGAGCTGGGCTGAGCCTAATTTGGCTGCAGGTTGCAAGCCCTCAGGGTGCTCCCATGCCCTGAGCACTCCCTTCTGGAGGAGTGTCCCTGTTAGCTGTCTGTGCACAGCAGTAGGAGCAAAGTGGGGACACTGTTTGGAGGTTTATTTGGCCTCACTGTAGCTGGTCCCCAGGGCTGTCTGCCTGCAGGCAGTACCATGCCTCCATTGCATGTCTTTCGGGTTGGCTTAAGAGCTGGGCTGAGCCTAATTTGGCTGCAGGTTGCAAGCCCTCAGGGTGCTTGGCAGGAAGGATGAGTGTGGTCAGTGAGGACAGTGAGGAGATTTGCTTTGAAACTCCCCTCCTGAGCCAAGGGAGATGGCAGTGTGGAAGTTCCTAGGGCACTCTTCATCTCCAAGTCAAGTTCTTGGTCTTTTTTTTTCCAGATTATCCTTGTGGCCATTCATTGCACTTGGTTTGAAAATTAGAAATTTTCAGAGTGGACCAGGCTGAAATGTTATGTGCAGTTCTGGGTGGAGAAGACTGGGAAACTGTCCACTGCAGTAGTGCAATAAATCATTACCTAGTAGGGGACATCAAGAGATGGAAACCATTTCTTTCTTTTCCTCTTTGCTTTGTAATTTTTTTTTATTTTGTACAAATAATACTGTGTATTTAACATAAAAATACTGAATTGCCCCTAGGATCAGTTTAAAGGATTCACTTAATCTTTTTTAAAATCCAAAATATGAGAGGTAAGGGAAAGAAACCAACTTTATGCATTGAGGATTTGGGATTTTCATTTTCTTTAAGGTCAGCTAGTGACTTGATTCCTTATGCTGCTGCTGTTTTTTTTAATAAGTTTCTATCTGTGGCAGAAGCTTTTGAGAAAAACTGAATGCATTAAAGCCAGTTGATAAACGAGATGGTTTTACTTGAATGTCAGGGTATTAACCAAGACAAATTTGAGGATAGATGCACAACACTGAGCTGCTGAAATCATCCTAAAACCTGATGTTGGCTCTGATAAAGATTCACGTGTCCGGGCTGGGGTCTTTTTGCTTCCAAGCAGGGAAAATAAAATATGGGTTTTGGGCTGGACTTTAATGTCAGTGTTGTTCGGATGAGTTTTGATACTGTTTTGCACTGTGGTTGGAAAAGGTTTATCTGGGGTAACTGGGTCTTTCTCTCTTCCTTTTAGTGCCAGAAAGCAGTGCTGGCATTATTCCCAAGACCATTGAAGTGTCCCTCTACAAGGAAGGCAACAGCTTTGGCTTTGTGCTGAGAGGTTAGTAGCTTCTCCAGTGAAAAGCAGAAGCAGAGGTGGAAAGTGGGAAAAGTAAGAAGGTGAATGACAAAAACCTCAGCTAAGCAGTCAGTGCATGTCTTGGAGAGGATCCCCTGCTGCTTCTGAGGACTGCCGGCTGCCTCATCCAGGGCAGTGATTTTGCTGGCAGGCTGTGTCAGCTGTTATGTGACAAATGTCTCTTTCTCAGCACTCTCACTCAGACATTCAAACCTCCAGTGACTTACGGCTTTCCTGGTTTGATTGCAGGGGGAGCCCATGAAGACTGGCACAAGTCCAGGCCGCTGGTGCTCACCTATGTGAGGCCAGGGGGCCCTGCAGACAGGTACTGCTCATGCCACACCTGCACATCTGCCTCCACAGGACACACAGCAGCTGTCCCCTGAATGTGTGCCCTTCCTGTCCTCCTTCTGGTGGCTTCTCATGCTGCTGGTGTGCAGTGCCAGCAGGGGTGTGATGCCTGTGCTGGGAGGGGAGGTGGGCACGGTGCTCCCAGGCTGGCCCAGTGCAGATGTTGTAGTTAAAGGCAGAAACTGCTCCTGCAGAGGCAGCCCCTTCATTAGCTCTTGAATTGCTGATGCTGTGTTGGAAAGCAGGAGCCAGTCTATCTACTCTTGTGCTGATAATTTAATATGATGGGCCTGGTACTATAAATAACCCAGACTATTGTCCAAGGAATGTTCTTCCATCCTACAGGATGAGAGTAATTAACTTCCTAATATGTGTGTGTACGTACATACACACACACATACATATGTGTGCACACACAAATAAAATATGTTTCTATATTTACATATAGATAATACAGATATATAGCAAATGTGTATATATAAAAATATAGATATTTACATAAAGATATATACATTATTTATATAAATATAAATATAAATATAAATATAAATATAAATATAAATATAAATATAAATATAAATATATATATACACATAAAGAAGAGGATTGCCTTTGGCTTCTTACAGGGAAGGGTCCTTGAAAATTGGGGACAGGCTGCTGAGTGTGGATGGGATTCCTCTGCACAGCATGACCCACGCTGATGCCCTCAACATCCTGCGGCAGTGCAGCCAGGAGGCACTTTTCCAGATTGAGTATGATGTGACCATCATGGGTAAGGACAAGATGGTTCTGATGGGATTTTTTTTCTCTGACTGCCTGGAAAGTATGTGAGACTAGAGACAGTAATTGGGATACTCAATTTCAGTGGAAAAATTGCTGAGCAATGTGCTGTCAGCATGGATGTAGGGGGTAAAGTTCAACACTGGCTTCGTTAAATGCATTTGAAATGCCCTTATTCAGTGATGTGTCTTGATAGGAATGATGAGTGGCTTTAGAGGAGAGGGCAAAAGGGGATTTTCTAATGCAGGCAGGGAGGGCACAGGAGAAGTCAGAGCTAAAGGGGGCTGGAGCGCTCTGCCAGCACTGGAAATAGCACTATTAAATGTGAGCAGAGGAGTGAGCTGCATGCAGGCAGACTTGCTGTGGCCTTGGATCTGATTTTTGACCCTGCTTAATTCTGGAGCTTCCTTTTCTTAGAAATGTTATTTCATATCTTCTTCTGAAATAAATGAGAGGTGATCAAATGCTTGACCCCAAATAAGACAGAATTTACTGGAGGGCAGAGGATGAGTATTTCTAAAAAGCATTTCACACAGTTTGAGGGTTTGGTGGGTTGGTGGCTGGTTTTTTTTTTTGTTTGTTTTGTTTTGGTTTTGTGGTTTTTGTTGTTTTGTTTTTTAATTTGATGTTAAGTTTCAAGCCCTGGGAAAGGATTTATTATTAGCTACTGTAAAGTCACTTTGAGCTGGCTTTGTGACACACAGCTGTTACGGCAGGGAGTGTTGTTAATGAGTTTAGGGTTACCACAGAATTTGAAGCTGTGTTGGTTCTGAAAGCTTGTTAAGCTGTGTAGTAGGTTGTGATGCTTCATATCCATCTCCAGAGCGGTTTCTGCCTCCCTGGAGCCATGAGCTGGACTAGGTTGGAGTCTTTTCCACAAATCTCACTAACCAGTCCAACATGCCTGAGCCAGGGTTCAATGAGGAACAGGAGTCCATGATATCAGGTTGTTTTCTGATTTGTCAGTATGGAGGAAAATAAAAACAGTCTGAAGCTGTGAGAGTTTGATTCTATGTCACCCCTGAGGAAAGAGAGCTGAGAACACCAGAACTCACCCATGCAATGTGCACTAGGATGAGGGAGCTCCTTGTGACAGCCCTGAGAGCTTTCTGCTTCCCATTGAGTCTCCTCACTACAAACTTTCCCCTTCCTTTTGGTAGAAGCTCCACAAGCATGGACATAGAGGCTCTCCCCTGGCAGGGTGGCTGCCCAGAGCTGGGCAGTGTGTGCCACACAGACAAGTTCTCCATGGAAGAGCTGGAAGGAAAAGCTGATGCCTGGCAGTTGCCTGCACACTGCCTGACTTCTGCCACACCACAGGAGCAGCTTCTCTTTGGAAACTGCTCATGATAAAGAGGAAACACTTAAACCGTGGGAAGCAGAAACTACCCAAAATCTATTTTCTGCCTTTCTATGATTTTTTGGGGTAACTGGGCAGTTACATGTCCATTCCTCTCCTTACAGACCGCTCCAGGGAGGGGGGGAAATGGAGGTAAGGAGGGATTTTGCATGGAGCTGTCAAGTCTGAACAATGGTGAACAATTAATTGTGCATGGGAAATGGACCTTTGGGGGCTTTATTGTTTTTGCAGTCCATGGTGTCTATGTTGCAGAAAGCTTCTTGTTTTAAAACCTGACTGGAGCAAAAATAGCCATGAAGGTGATTTGGTGTCTATGTGTTTCTTCTTGGGTAACTCTCACCTAAAACTGTGAGGGTTGAGTGATCTTGGAGGCACAGCAGGTTTTAGGAAATGGCTCTCCATCTTGTGTTGCTAATTTGTGGATCAAAACTAGAAACTTCCCAAAAATGTAAAACCTGTCCCTTTCTTAGATAATTTTTGCCTGGAGAGTGCTCTCTCCAACCCTGTAAAGGAATATATTTGTCCTGCTTTCTTTAAGGCAAGGTGATAAGAACATGTTGCTTACAACAATCTCTCCAGTTTTGCCAGGCAGCAGCTAATAATTGCAGTGGGAGATGAGTACATCATCCCCAGTTCACAACTATTACAGCCTCTGGAAGATGATGAGGGAAGGGAAGAGCTGGTGCTGAATGTAGTCTGGTGATATTTTCAGCCCAAAGGAAGGACTCTTAATTCCTATTTTGAAGGGGCTGGGGACACCACAATGAAGGGGTCTTGTCCCGTTCATCCTCAGGAAAATAGAGGTTTTTACATGGTGCTCTCTCCGCTGCAGCTGTATGTGCTGGGGTGGTGTGGGCTAACCCTTGAGGAGGGAAGGTTGTTTTTCTGCATCTGTCCTTGGTGAGAGCCCAGGGTTGCTGCGGGGGAGTGTTGAATCATGGCATTCCCCAGCTGTCTCTGTGGTTTTCCAGCCAAAATTGTGCACTGGGGATGATCTGCATGGGACCAGCCCTGCTCTTGGTGTGAGGGATGTGGCAGCTGCCTGCCATCACCACCAGGCATCCCCTGCCTGTAGGGATTTCACCAGGGAGGCTGGCGTAGGATGGGACCATGGCAGGCTTTTTGTCACGTTGGCTAAGATTTCTCAAGGCCACTGAAGGAATTAAAATAATCTGCTATTTCCATTTTAAATGAGTGCCAACTGGACGTGGACCCTCCAGGGCATTGGGAAAAATCTCTTCCCATCTTTGCACTGAACAGATGCTTTCCCATGGCTGCACTTTATCTTATGGACCTTTTGAAAAACACGGGAGAATGCAAAAAAAAAAAACAACCAAAAAAAATCACCTCAAGTAAACTGACCAGCCAGAAAATGGTATTTGAGTAGTTATTTTGTAAATAATCTGTGTGTGCCATGTACCAAGGATCTGGGCTGCAAGCCTTTGGGGTTGACTCATGAAAGTGGAAAGGTTGCTGCCAGAGATGAAGGATGAACAAAGCAGTTTGCTGTGTCCTTTTCCTCCTCTCCCTTCCCCTGGCTGCCCCTCCACCCATTCAGTTTTAGGCTGAAGTTTTAAGCCTGTGGAGCTCTCCTGCTGACTGAGTGGAGGGCTGGTAGTGTCCCACAAGAGGGTGACTTGTCAGTGTCTGCCAAGCAGTGGCAGAGGCTAGAGCCTGAAGAGGGGCCCAGGAAGTCAAAAGAAAGATCTTCTAGAAAACACCTGCCAGCCCCCTGTTTTGAGTGGTGGGGTGACCACCTTTCCCATATCTTCTACACTGGGGTGAGTGAGAGCGTGGAGCAGGCTCTGTTCCCCTTGTATCCATCACAATATTGCTGGGTACCCCACAAGCGTATGGGTGTGAGCAAGTGTTGCACAGTCCTTTGTGTCCTCCTGGGAGGCTGTAGCTGTGCATGACGGTGCAGAAACACCTCCTGGTGCCAGTGCAACAATGCCAGTTGACTCCTTACAGTAAAGTTATTGCATGGCCTTTCCGTGTTTCTTTTAAAGTTGGCTCGGGTGTAATAGCTCCATGTTAATCACACCTCACAAATATTGCTGGATTGCTGACTCCTGACCTTTGATTTGAGGCAAATCTTCTCCTGGAATAATTAATAGAGGCTTGGCTGGTATTTTCTCAATAAATGCCTCTATAAAATGGATTTGGAGGAGATGTCTGTGGTCTGTGATGGAGATGAGATTTAAAAGGGACAGCAAGGTGGCCCTGTGTGGCCCTGCTGTGTGTGGCAGGAGGAATGACCATGGGCTGGAGGTGGCACTGTGGTTTCCTACAGTCTTATTAATGACCCTGGTCCTGAGGCTCTTTTTTCTCACCATCATGCTGAGACTTCCTTGGGAAGCACTTGGCAAAGCTGAGCAGCTTGGATGCTGGATAAACTGGAGAGGAGTAGGTGTTTTCTTTGCAAAGAAAGGTCCGATGGTCCAGCAAGGTCTTTTTATTTTCCTTATCTTCTTCCCTTCAGGTGGAGGGATATAAATCCATGTCATTCTTCAGAGGACATGTGCTGGACATACACAAAAAACTGGCTGCAAAACTGACATATACCTGGTGTTTGCTGTTGGAAGAGATCCTCAGTCTCTTGGTGCTTCCTTTGCTAACAAATGCTTAAGTGCACCTTCTGCAGGCTTTAGCTGGGTGCTTTGTGTATCTTTTGATTAAACTGGGACTGTGCTTTTTACCAGGCTTGCTGATCTCCCCAGTGGTCCTTTTCATCAGAGAATAAACAGTGTTTTATGTGAAACCTGCATAACCTTTAATGTGGCTCATTCCTCCTGCTTCCTCCCCTGTGAAAAATGACACTGTGAGTAGACCAGAGCCTGAGCATCCCTTGGCTGATCCCCAAGGGGAATTTCCAAGGTAAATTTCTATCTCCAGAGACTATGTATCTTCAACAAATCTCAGAAAAGACCTTGCTGCAGCTTAGCTTCCCAGATCTGCATTAAAGTTCCCATTTATAAGAGAGCGAAAATGAGCCATGCATCAGGTTTGGAGCCAAGTAGCATCAGCATTTTTAGTGGAGCATATCTTTGGAAGAGAAAAGCCTTACTATGAATAATTAAGGGTTGAGAAGGCATCAGGTGCTCTGAAGGCTCTGCTGGCCTTTCCTTTGAAGTGATGGCTGGGTCTTCACAAGTGCTTTCGTGGAGGCTGTCACCTACACATGGGGGGAGCTGGTTATTGGATGTCTGATAGTGATAATACATTTGTGAATCCTACCTCTTTGTGAAGGCTTTAGGTAATCTGGAAGCAAATGTGCGGAACAGAGCTGGAGGGAATTTCTGTCTAATCAGCCAGAAACACAGGCTTTCTTTGTCCTCCCCCCTTCCTCAGAAGAGATGGAAAGGTTTGGTGCAGGCTTATGCTAACAGGTGCAATTTCGTAGGAGTTTCATAGTCTCACTTACAGCATCTATTAAGCTTATTGCAGAGATGCATCTTTTAAAAATTTCCCATGTATTGTCTGATGGGAGAGGAGGTTGTTGTGAGCAGGGGGTTCAAATGCTGTGTCTACTCCCACTGTCACACTGGAGGAGCTCAAACAAGCAGTTGAGGTGGTATTTTGAAGCTGGTGCTGAAGCACAGAGGAGTTGACTGGCTTGTCATCAGCCATGAAACTTCTGAGTATTTTAGACAATGGGATCCTTGTGCCTTTTCATTTTGGTTGGTTTGGGAAAAAGCCAATAACAACGATGTCCTTATGATCTTCCTTTTTTGTGCTTGTAATACCATTGATGTGACTTTGCAGAGCCTTTGAGCAATCTATTCCTCAATATTGCTGTTTAATCCAAAGTAAAGAGAAAGGAGAGTTCTTTCCATGAGTGAATTGTTGTAATACTCTTCATTATCATGTAGGTTTTGTGCAGAGACAATTTTACTTCTTGAGTGTTCTTTGTTAATTCAACATGTGTCATGGACTACAGATGTCCAAGGTAAAGATTTGCTGCTTCACATGGCAGGTCAGCACTGTTGGCCAACCCCTGCATTTAGAGATGGAAAAGGCTGTATGAGAAGTGTCTTCAGGTGCTCTCTTGTTTTTCAGATACTGTAGCAAATGCTTCTGGTCCTTTACTAGTTGAAATAGCAAAGACTCCAGGGTCCACGCTGGGAATCACACTGACCACAGCCATGCACCGGAACAAGCAGGTCATCGTCATCGACAAGATCAAGCCAGCCAGCGTGGTGGACAGGTACAGATCTGAACAGGCTGTTCCTAGCTCTGCTTTTCGTTTTCTTGCTGCTTTTTTGGCCCCTTGTTAGTTATAAGCCATTCTTCTCAGTCTTGCCTTGAAATCTTCATGTTCACATGTTCTTAGCACTGTTTGTACTAAAAATATCTGATGCTCCAGCAGTGGACACTCCTCAGCAGGAATTGCAGGTAACTCAGTGCATGTGAAAGCTGAGTTTTAAAAACCTCAAGTCTGACTGTGCTGGAGCTGTGAAACGGCTAAAGCCTATTATGGAAACTTCTGTCTGGAGCCTTTTCCTGCAGGACAAGGCAGGAAACCCTTTACGTGGGGATGCACAGACAGGCTGCTGTGCAGCACTAGCTGTGTTCAGCTGTGTTGCTGAGCTGAACTCCTGGCTCCCAGGACTTAACTATACTGCTGGGTGAGCCCTTAGCCATCCAGACTGTCTATGAGGGGCACTCTTACAAACTTAAAAAGACTTTTTGCAAAGCCACAAACAACACTGACTCAAACATGAATGTGTTGGTTTTGCATGGTCTGGTTTTTGGTAGCAAGGGGTGCCACAGAGGTGGTTTCTGTGAGAAGCTGCTGGAAGCTTCCACCATGGCTAGCAAAGCCAATCCCTGATGGCTTTGAAGATGGACCATCTGGCCAAAACTGGGCCAAGTAGAGATGGTGATAAGGCCTCTGTCATAATGTACTCAAGAGGAAATCCAAAAGGAAGTTTTGCGTGCAGTGTTAATTTCAACTAGAAAAGAGGAGAAGGGAGGGAAACAACATGGAGACACCACGCCAGTGGAGAAGGAGGGACAGGAGGTGCTCCAGACACCAGAGCTGAGATTCCTCTGCAGGCTGTGGTGAGACCATGGTGAAGCAGCTGGGCCCCTGCAGCCCATGGGGATCCAGGGGATGCAGAGATCCACCCACAGCCCATGGGGGAGGTGTCCATGGCAGAGCAGGTGGATGCCTGGAGGAGGCTGGGATCCAGTGAGAGACCCGGTGGAGAGAGAGGGCCCTTCCAGGCTGGAGCAGCCTGTCCTTGGAGGACTGCACCTCATGGGAAGAGAACCCCATGTTGCAGCAGTTTTGGGAGGAATGCCTAACCGTGAGGGGAATTCATATTGCAGCAGGTGTGGGAGCACTGCTGCTGGTGAGATTGGAACAATGCTGGAGAAGTTCACTGAGAATTGTCTCTATGGGAAGGACCCCACAGTGTCACAGGGAGAAAACTCCTCTCCCTATGCACTGGAAGAAAACTTCGGGTGATGAACTGACCAAAACCCCCACCCCCTGTCTTCCTGCACTGTCAGTGGGAAGGAGGGAGGGATTAGGGAAAGAAAAGGTGCTTTAAGGGCTTCTACCTCTCATTATTCTCTGATTTTGTTAGTAATAAACTCACTTTGTGCCTTGAAGTTGAGCCTCTTTTGTCCCAGGAGTGGTTTTTCCCAGTCCTTATCTTAACTCATGAACCCTTTGTTTAATATTTTTTTTTCTCTCCTCTGCCCAGCTGTGGAAGAGGAGGTTGAATGAGTGGCTGTTGTGGATGCCTGGCATTGGGCCAGTGTCCAACCATGACAACCATCCTAGCTGGGTAATGCTTGAACCTGAGGTTCAGATTGGAATGAAAAACAATTTATATGAAAATAAATTAACAAGAATTTGACCACTAATTTGCAGTTGAATTTTGTGTATGTTCCCCTTACCAAAAGGACATGGATTTTGGCCGTGTGTGTAATTCTCTCTCCTGCTGTTCCCTTTGCAGATGTGGTGCGTTGCATGTTGGTGACCACATTCTCTCCATTGATGGCACAAGCACAGAGCACTGCTCCTTATTAGAGGCAACTCAGCTTTTAGCTGCCACTTCTGAAAATGTCAAGCTGGAGATATTACCTGTTCACCAAAGCAGGCTGCCTTTGAAGCCTCCAGAAACAGGTATGTCTTCTGTGCCTACACTGTTGGTCACCCTCAAAACTCACTTTAGCTCCCTACAAAGGGTTCTTGCTTTTGAGTGCTGACAACAGATTCCAAAGAGAGACATCTGTAGAGGGAAAAAAATGGATGTTTTGATGAAATGTATGTGATTAGATGATGTTCTTCAAGTATGTGAATAGGAAAAGAGGCAACATCTGAACATCTGTGCTTGAATAGGGAAATTGGAGATGGGAATCCCAGGGTTTTGCAATGTACTTCCTTAGTGCCTTAGATAAGAGACTTTGATCAAGAGGGAGGAAAACAACCTTGACAACCTTGCTACTGGCAAATACATTTCCAAGCTCAGTTTTTATTTGCTGATTCCTGTTAAGGCTTTGTAAAGGATGAGTTCAGTAGCTGGACAGGGTCCTGATGAACTTCCAAAGCTGGAATACAAGTGTTCATCTTTCAGACCAGCCTGCTTGAGAGGCAGCTGTGTCTGGGCAGCCAGGGGTAGAGTGAGCTCACCAGCAGCTGCTGGTTTCCATCACTCATACAAAAGAAATACCAAGGAAGTAAATTCTGGCTGCAGTAAGATCAAGGCCAAAATGCCTGCAAAATGTTATTAGGAATTCACCCTGGTGAGCATTCTTGTTGCCCACTGTTTGTTCCCCTCTCCATGTGAGAAGTTGTCTCAGGTTCTCCATTAAAATTCATTGTGACCATGGCCTCAGTATTAGTGTATTTGTTGCAGCTCTTGCCTGCAGTTTTGTTACACTCTATACTGGCAGTCTTGTAATTCAGGTGTTTTGGGTGTGACTGTTCCTTTTTCCACCATTTTCAATCACTTGTCTCTCAGGGACACGCATTTCAATAGTATTGATGCACAGCAGCCCATGGCATATCTGCTCTTTGCACTCTCTTCTAGGGAGGTTTGGGAAAAGGAAGAAAATATCTTATGGCTTTCCTTAAACTGATGCAGTGAAACCTAAAACCATCTCCATGTCTAGAAATAAATTCCTTATATGTCCAGTCCAAATTGTGCAGAATTGAAGCAGTTTAACAAAGTGAATGGATGATTTGACCTTTGTGCCCACAAAAAAATGGAAAGCTATAATCCTTTTCCAATGGCTGTTAAGATGAAGTATTCTCCTCCTTCCATTAGTGCCCTCCTCCTAATCTTCTTGAGAATATGTGCATTGAGCAGCTGCTCAGGAGGCTCTGTGGAAGGACAGCTGGGTGTGGTCAGAGCCTGTTTACCCAAACCCCCATACACAGATGAGTTTGCTGTGGCAGAAATACAGAACACAAACTTAGGACAACAGTTGCAACACATGAGTATGAAAACTCAGGGATGTAACAATTGTTCCCACTTTTGATTAAACTCTTTAACACTTGAGGGATCATAGAGAAGGATGCTGTGCAAACTCCACAGGCTGCTCTTTCTGAGTTTAGCAAACAGAGAGAGTGAGGAAACATGGACCCTGCAAAAACAAACTCTTGTGGTTGGCAAGAGAGTGGAACCTAGGTAAAGAAACTGAGGAGAGGATATGATGCAGATCCATCCCTGTTCAGCACATGCATTACTGAGTCCTTTCAGCCTGTGAATGCATGGTGTTCATCATTATATTTTTTAAAGTGGTTTCTTGTGCAGTCAGCATTTGGTTGGAAGAGATGGAGAGGGATCTGATGCTGGATCACTTACCATGCAAAAATATGGCCTGATGCTGAAGCATGGGATTTATCAAACTGAGTTGGCTTTCTCTGTGGTTCTGGGGGCACTTGGAGAGTTTGTGGGAGGATTATGCCCTGCTCACAAGATCAATGGGGGCAGATGTTGCCCAGGAGCAGTGCTGGGATGGATGGGTTTCCTCAGGCAGGGATGATGTGTGAAAGATTGGGGAAGGCTGTTGTAGGGTTTTTTTACAGAATTTCCAAAATGCCTCCTCTCCCTGAATTTGCTGACAGCTGAGTTTCAAAGGCACATTTTTTCTGTTGTTAATGTAAGCTAAGAATTAATAGACAAATGGGAGAGTTTTGGTTATTATAAATGGATTAAATTATTTTGTACACATAAGCTCTGTCCCCTATGTTCAAAGTGTTTAATTTTATTAAGAACTTTTCTTTTTGTCTAGCTATAGCTAATTTGATTGTTGTTTTTAAAAGCTGCCTGGCTCAAAATTTACTTTTGGAAACATGCAAAATAGAAACCCCAGAGCTGGAAATGTATTTTTAAAAGCTTGATAGATTAAGTGCTAAACTCACGAAATGTTTAGCAAAGACAAAATATAATCACTATATTGTCTAGAAAATCTGACCCAAATGATTTAATGCCTGTGATACACACACACAAAATGGATTTCTGCTGTTCAAGGCACTAATAGATGACCTTTAGAGGAGATCTCTGGGTGGGCTCAGTGAAAAAAATAAGTCCCTCTCCCAGGTTTGCGCCCTAAGAAGGTTCTGGTAGTGCCAGTGCTGTTGGCATTTCTACCTGGTCAGAGCACCCAGAGGCAGGAGGAGATGTCATCCTTCATGGGAAGATGGTGGCATGTCAGTGCAAGTGGCTGTGAGATGAAGAACCGAAGAACCCTGGGATAATGTGTGGCTGCGGTGATGCTCTGCTGTGGGATGCTCTCCATGCTTAGCTGAATAAAAAAAACTTGAAATCCTGCTTCTTAACCAGAAATTCCTCTTGGAGGAAAACAGGTTCAAGGCAGCATGGTGCAGAGATTTGGAACAGAACACCTGGTGTTGGACAAGGAAAACCAAACTGACCCTGTGCTGCCCAGGGGTAAAAGGAGCATCAGTGAGAACAGACAAGGGACCTGTGCCTGGGCACTGTTTGAGGCACTTCAGAAGAGACTTGTGGCTTTGTGACTTGGTGTTGCAAAGTTGCAGTTCCTGAACAGGGGTTTCCACATGATGAATGTCACACTGCAACAGATTCTGCCAGCATGTGCTGGGGATAGGGTTGAAGTTAAAAAGTTAAAGCAGTGCTGTGCCCTTGAACAGGCTCTGCCATGCTGGTGCTATGCTTTCACTTGATGTTTGTCACAGCATTGGCATATTTCCTGTGCTGCTGGCCTCCTTAATTTAAGCAGTGGTGTATAAACCCCTTTTTGTTGTTGTGAGCTGGAGGTGGCTTGAAGGGTGGCTCTCTGCTACTCCTGTCTTTCAACCATGTGTGCATTCCTGTGCAAGAGTAGCCGCTAAACAACTGAATGCTGAAGCCAAGCACAGTGCTCACAGCACGTGGGGAAGGCATTGAGCCTTGTCACAGGGAGGGCAGCTCTGGCAGCAAGGTGAGAAACAGCACAAGGAGGTTTCCCTGGTGCTGTCAGAGAGTGCTGATGGCCTCTTCAGGAAACTCCTGGCTGGATGGAGCTTCTGCACATCACACAAGAGACTGCAAATGGTAATGACATGTGTGCACTGCCAGCATGGCTGAGTCAGGCTGGTGGCATTGGATGCAAAGTTTATTGTGGGAAAGGGGTGGATTTCTGCCACTTTGCATCAAGTGTCATGAGGTTATGTGGGGTTGCATTTTTGCTGCTGATGCTTGACACGCTGTGGTTGGGTCCTGACTTGTTCAGAGTCAGTATAAAGCTCTTTTCTGCAATCTCCTGGCTTATGGTTCTTACCTCTTCTTTCTCTCATTTCTCCTTCCTGCCTGTGGCACTTTCTGCTCCCCTGGATGCCATCAGTCAAGGTGCAGAAGAGTGACCACCATCACTGCTGGGACCCCTGTGTCAACTACTGTCACACCCACCACCCTGGACACTGCAAGACACCCACTTGGACCCAGACATCTGGACAGGATTACTGCAAATGTAACCTCAGTGCATGGCATTGCCCTCATCCTGCCTGTGTTCGTTCTTGTGCCTCTCCATTTCCTTAATATTCAGATCCATAGTGTGGTTTGTCACTTGTTTGCTCCTCAGTCACCTAGTTCTGCTTCCACAGCCCAGTGCTGAGGTACCAAATCAGTATCTGCAGCCCAGCACACACAGATCTGGTAACTGGGACAAGAGCAGTGTGCTGGGCAGACCCATGCACCCAATCCTGTAACCCCACGTTCCATGCCTGGTTTCATACAGCAAAAATGAGTTTCTGTGGGACAGGGAAGGGTGTCTCTGGTGTTGTGTAGGAATGTGATGCAGCTCATCCAGCTCAGCCCTAGTGCCATACTGCTTGTTAACAGCAGGATTATGGCTACTTCAAAATCTGTAGATGCCCTTCTTGTCAGGAGTGGGCTCTGTGCTGCTCCAGGTTTCTGGTCTTGTGGCAGTAAGATAGTGAAGAGGACACATTGCACTGTGTCCAAACTGTTGGAAGCAAACATTCCTTGAGTCTTGCACCCTGGAGCTGGAAAGGAGGAGCTGCTCCATACCCGTGAGGTGTTTGGTGACACTGTTAGTAGTGAACCACTGCTGCAGCCCCCGTGCATGTCCCTAATGTCCTCTGTGTGTCCCCAGCTCTGGTGGCTGCCAACTTCTCGTCTCCCACCATGAACGCGCAGGGATTCCCGTGCCAGAACTCCAACACGCTACCTCGCAGCTCCCACCCCATGAGCCCCCGCACCACCATGCTGAGGAGGAGGCAGAAGAAGAAGGAGCACAAGAGCTCACGTAAGAGCAGGCTGGGTTGGAGGGGGAATGCATGCTTGCCTTGCCATCCTTGCTGTCAATGGTTAGCTGGGGTAGAGCCACTCATCTCAGCACTGTCAGTGGCTCCCTCATCCTTGGTCACCAGACCAAGGTCTGGACCCAGCTTATTCTGTTGACCATGGCTGCCCTGACCTTCTGTCTCTCTCATCCTCTCAGTGTCACTGGCCTCCAGCACGGTGGGTCCTGGCGGGCAGATAGTCCACACGGAGACAACAGAGGTGATCCTCAGGGGAGACCCTCTGAATGGCTTTGGACTTCAGCTCCAGGGAGGCATCTTTGCTACGGAAACTCTGTCTTCCCCACCTCTCGTCCGTTTTATTGAGCCTGACAGCCCGGCAGAGAGGTTAGAGACCTTGCCCTTGGATGCTGATGGTGCTGCTACTGAACATTTCATGGTTTGGTTTGTTTTCTCTCCTCAGAGGCTCATTTAGATATTTACTATCATCCTTGTAATATCTCCCATTCTTCACTGGGCATGGTTTACTGTCACTGCCATTTCTGCACTCGTCGGCTGACCGCGGCCTCCCTCGCACCCCAGGTGAACGTCTTGGCACCAGGCTGCGGCTGGTCTGGGAGGAGGAGGAAGGGAGCGTGTGTCTGTGTGAGAGTGCCATTCCCATTCCCTTTCTTTTGATTTTGTTTTTTTTTTTTTTAAATTCCTCTTTGAAAGATAAATCTTTTGTATAGGTGCCAAAAAGGGGAAAGGTCAAAATAAGTGGCCCCTGCAAAATGTTTTTTCACTGATTTTGTTGTAGCAAAACCCAGCTGTATGAACTGGCCATAAAGACAAGGCTTTGAACTACAGAGATAGAGCTCTAGTTGAGGAGCAGGTAGGTGCTGCAGTTAATCCCTCCTGCTTTTGGCAGTGTAAGGCTGGGAAAAGTGCAGAAGGGAGGAGCAGCATTAACTGCTCTCTATCACCCTGAGGACACAGGGAGCAGTGACTTCTCCAGTGGTGGAGCCTCAGCCCTAGAGTTCAGCTGCACCCAATGCTGGATTTAGAGTGCTGCTGACTGGATTTAGAGTCTGCTCGAGTGTCTGTGCACTACAATCTAGGTGTCTTCTGGTAAGGTTTTTGTTACTAAACAGGTCAAGTCCTAGCATGGCTTGATCTCTCTCTCTTCTTTAGGCTGGAACTTAATGTCCCTGTGCTCATTTCTCTTCCCACCTTTGATTACCACTGTGGTCTGTCCTCCCTAAGGGCGCCAAAGGTGCAGCAATGTAGCAGTACACAGTGCCTGCTGCAGAGCCTTTCTTGGAGAAGTCTCTGATGGCCCCATCAGCATGTGCTGAAGGTTTGGTGTCTCCAAGCCAGCCCAGAAAAACAGCACTTAGGGGAGTTGTAGACTCATATGGCAGGGAAAGTGTCTGCAAAATGAAATGCTAGTCCTTGCTGTGCAGAGCAGTCTCTGTGTTGTAGCCTTTCTGGTCAGCCAATGCAGAGGCAAGGTGGAACAGGAGTACCTGGTGCTTGTGTCTGTGGGAGGACAATGACAAGAGGCTGGCACAGGAAAAAGAGCTGTCTTGATGCAGGTTAAGAGAGATTTTAAAAGCCTGTTATGCCTTTTGTTTGTTTGATTGTTTCCAAACAAAGTTTAAAAATTAAGGTGATGGCATTATAGTTTTTTATCCTCTGTTGTGGGTGAACTTGGTTCATGTTGCGAAGCACCAAACTCCTTTTATAAATCAGGCAGCAACAAAGCCTGGTGTCCCAGGGGACGAGGGAGATGTGCTGAAATCTGCCTGGCTTTGCTTTATCCTCTTGCCAAGCCTGGAGGAAAAGCAGTGACTGGCAGTGCAGCCTTGCCTGGCTCTGATGTGTCACTCCCGTGCTCGCCCTTGTGCTGCCTGCCCGGCAGCATTCACGCTCTTCTGGCTGCTGCTTTCTGCAGACTGGGAGCAATCCCCTCTGCATTTGCAGCCTGGATTTGATTTGGGGATTAAATCTCTGCTGTGCATTTCATTCTTTCCTAAACCATACTGCTCTTCCTAGCTGGCAGGAAAATGCTGTCTTTCTTCCCCATCTTGAAGTGATAAGTGCACTGGGTTTGCAGTGAAGTGAAAAAGGCAGTTTTATGTTTTTATTTAATTTTTTGTTTCTTGCTGTTTCACAGAGCTCTTTGCTCTGTCATTCAAGATACCTTATTCCCTGTTCTGCTGTAGCTGCAGCCCAAGACATTAGAGCCCTTTTCATCCCCTTTACCAGGCTGGGCTCCCAGCTGAGGCTGGACTGTGCTCTTTCTTGTGCTGCAGTTTTTGCTCTTTGCCAAAAAGGTGAGCTTTAGGGATATAGGGATCAGGTTTAGCAACCTGAATCTGATCTGGATGTTCACACACTCTGCAAAATCTGTGGATCTGAATGTGCTGTTGTACAAGCACGTGATCCTCACTGGCTTTGTCCATCTGGATTGTTGTGGAGGAGATGCCTCTGGGGTGCCCAGCAAGTGAGCACTACCAGGGAGGTGCATGACATCACCCTCTTTTCAGGGATGTTGGGCTGCCTCACATTTTTGTCTGCTTTGTGCTAGCTTGTGCCAAGAGGTTTGATGCAAAAAATTTGCACCTGTCTGACTTGTGATTTGTTTTACTGCAAATAGCCTCTAATAGACCTCCCTCCCCACCTGTTGTTTTGTTTCCAGGGTGCATGATGAAGCCTTTGGGTTCTGAATGAGACAGTGATTCAGCCCCTGTTATCAGCAGGGAGGGTAGAAGGGGAAGAAGCCTGACATCCCCTCTTGGCTGCCTTGAAGCACAAAGCTTTTGTGTCCTTCCTCCCACAGCTGTCATTGGCAGCAGAGGGAGAGTATCTGACTTCTCCATCCTGGTATCCAAAATCAATGCTTCCTGCTGAGCTACATGTTTTGTAGCTCTGCTCAGACACAGTTGTTTGATCATTGTGTTTCTGCCTTTTGAGTATGAATAGTTTGCAAAAGCGAAGTTTAGCAGCTGGCTGAAGCTGTCAGCAGAGCTTTAATCCATTAGGGGCTGAGACCCACCCACCAACGTGCAGGCACAGATGTGCACACACACAGATGTGCATGTCTGACCTGTGCAGGCTGTCTAAGGGGCACAAGGGATGTTTCTGCATCCAGCAGTGTGGCCACAGTCACAGCTGCTCCCCCCACTGCTGGAGTGACCATGCAGATGTGGATGATGCTGAGTGAGCTCTTCAGTGTAGATCCTGCCCAAGGCTTGAATATGTGCTTCTCTGTATCAAACAAGACGCCTCCGCTGCTCTGTTGCTGTCTTTAAGCCCAAGGAATGAGTCATGGCAAAATGCAAATCTGTTCTGCCCCAGGGAGATATTCCCATCATGGACTCCAGCACATCCATGGTGCTGTCTTTTGCTCCAGGAGATGCCTGTACTCCTGTTCTTTCTGATTTTAAGACACTTCTACTCCCATAGTCTGAAAGCACTTTTTAGGTGCTGATGTTAGACTGAGTGTCTCTGAGACAAATGCCTTCTCTTTGGAAAAACTGTCTGAAGATTCTTGTAGGATCCCATGGCAGAGCAAAGGAGAGCTCTGCAAGACCCTTGGCTCCCCAGGCTCCACTCCCAATGCAAGGACTCATAACAGCTGGAGATGGATGTCTCTGGAATGATTCTGAAGGGTTAACAAGAAATGTCAGGCCTCCTTGTACTTGGCAGAGGAAGCCAGAAGGTTGTGGCATCACACTACAAAGTTCTACATATCTGCAAGACCAGGGCTTAAACAACTGTGATTAACTGTGGCTAATAATAAAAGAAATAAAATACCTTTGACCTAACAGAGCTGTTGGCTGTAAAAGACTCAGGCAAATGCACCTTGAGTGAAAAACCATGAGAAATGGCTGTTCTGGGAGAAGGCGGCTCTGGTGGGAAAAGTGGCAAATGTTTGCTTTGATGCAGTGTAATATTATCCTATGAGCTCCCAGCCCTTGTAGCTGAAAGAGTGGTGCTAAAGTGGATTGTGTCCCTGTGTGAGCTTGAGATGACAGTGATGTCTGAGTGATGCAGCTGTTGATCCCTCCTTTGCAAAAGGTTCTGCCATAGCAAGAGACCTCTTGGTGACAGAGGAGTCATCTCTGTTGTACTCGGTGCCACCTTCATATTTATAAGCTGATATTTCTATGTGGCTGCATAGCCACAAGTCCAGTAAAGGACTGCAATTAAACTCGATGTAATTTATTCACAAGGGTGGGTTCATTTATACATCATGGAGTTGTCTGTCCTAATCCAAGAATCCTTGAACAAACAGCTCTAATTTGCATCTCATAAAGTAGCCAGCATTTTTCCATCGATGGCATGAACTCAGGCAGAAGTGTGAATATACCTTCCTACCAGTAAAATAACTTCCCTGGGCTCTCTCCGAACTTGTTACTATCTCAGCTTTTGATGGGCCACTGGCACAAGCTGTTGTGCTTGTTACTTTTTCTTGAATTCAGATGTGTGTACTTTTTCTTGATAACTCGGCCTTTCATATACATCCTGTTGTTTGGACGTGAATAATACAGTCAAGTGTCTGTCGCCTTTGATGCCTTTGTGTGCCTGGAGCTGTGGTGCTGTGTTTTCTTACAGCTGAATTGGGTGTGAGTGATGAAGAGTGACTGGAAGGTTTAGTAAAAAAAAACAAGCTGTCTTCTGTGAGGTATCTGTGAAAGAAAGGGGAAGACAAAGATGTGTTTGATCATTAAACAGTAAGGGAATAAAGATTCTCTGGAGAAGGCTTAAAACAGGCTAACTAATGTTTTCTGGAGAATCTTTGTAGTAAAATAACTCCACATTTTGAGAGGAACCTTATACTTGATGCCATAACCCTAAAACTCTTCTGGAGACCACTCTGTAGCTTATGTTAGTGATGAGTGAAGAGTGGTTTCCCAAGCTCTGATCTAGTGGACAGCCAGGTGATAAGTGGAAAGTCTAAAAAGATGTAGTTAAAGTGAACAACTGGTAGAGGAGAAGGAAGATGAGCAATTTCCCCTGGTTGCAGGGAGCACTGCAGTCTTGTTGTTACAGACCCATGGGCCAGCTCAGGTGGGAGCTGACTGAGATAATGTGGGAGATAACTTGGAGGATCATCTTGCTGGTGTTGCAGTACGTGTAAAAAAAAGGGAGTGTGGGTGGATACTGAGTGTAGGAATGTATGAAAAACACCTTGCTTATAAATGCAGGGGGGTCCCAAGAGACAAACTGTGCTGTAGCAGTACATCTCCAACATAGCCTTGCCATCATGTTCTCCTTCCAAAGTAAAAATCCTGCTGATCTCTGTTCCTGGAGAAAGTGGGTCTAAACCAAGAGCCCCAAAGGATCAGTTGTGGTTATATTGTCAGGCCATCACACTGGAATAACACTGGCCTTTCAAGGCAGTTAAAAAGTATCACTGTGCATTTGGCTTCCAGAAATGCAATTAGAAGGGATAAATGATTATCTAATTTGCTGAGACATTTCAGTGAGTTTATTGGATTGTAGCTTCAGTATTTGCCATGAACTAAGCAGAGGAATCTGTGCAATTTTCAGTGCCATTAGTTTGTGTTCCAGAGGGTGCAGGTGCATGGGTAGAGCTGTTTGTGGTTAGATAGGGAAGGAAGTCACATTCCCTTGTGTTTATCATTCTCATTTCTCAGCCATGGTGTTGATTTTTAGAAAGGCGAGGGTTACTTTTTCCCCACCTTGGTTGTTGCAAAGAATGTGACCAGAAATGGTTATTTAGGAGCAAAGTATGTTTGAACTTTAGAAACCCACAAAGGTTTGCTTCCTTGTGCCCTTCCAGGGACCTTGTGATGGGCACAACAAAACGAGTTATTTTCTCTTTGGGGCCTCCTCTGCAGAATATGACAGTACTTTGTGTGTCTTGTAACAGATTTGCCTGGCACAAGTAACTCATGGCTGGTTGTGGGGTTGTTTTCTTCCTCCTTCCCTCTTTTTCCTTGTCTCCTTGTTCCCATTCCCTCTTTTCCCACTGTGAACTGCAGGTGTGGGCTGCTGCAAGTAGGAGACAGAGTCCTTTCCATCAACGGCATCGCGACGGAGGACGGGACCATGGAAGAGGCCAACCAGCTCCTGCGGGACGCGGCGCTCACCAACAAAGTGGTGCTCGAGATCGAGTTTGATGTCGCAGGTATGTTCCCAAAGGAACTGCTCCTCCTTCCTGCCCGTGGGACTCTGCCAGTGCCTTTGCTAACCCAGAGAAGGGAGCTTATTCACCAGGCTCAGAGGGAAGAGTGAGAAACCCCGTGAGGACCTGCTCCCTTTCTTGTTGTTCTCTAATGTGCGCTGAAGTGGAGGGTTCTTCTGATCCTTTCATAAACGTTCTGTGTTCACTGCTTGGCTGAGATAAGCCTAAGGAGTAGATGAAGAGGACACACTTTAAATATTTTCTCATTAATAGGAATAATATTCATATTCATTTGTGGCCTTGAAGCCAGGAGGGAGCCAAAGCTGTAGGCTAGGGATAAAGTGCAGGTTTGTATTAATTTTTTTTTTCCATTTACGTTGACAGAGCTGCTTCAGTTTTGAAATACTGTGTGATGCGAGCACTTAACTTGATGTTCAGAGCATGTATTTTTAATGAGAATCCAAATTTCAACCTGAAGTCCACAGGGCCTCAGATAACCTTATTTGAACCAATAAAGCAGTGCTTCATGGGCTTGTTTTCTTGTTTCCAAAGAAACTATCCATGCAACTGAAAACTCTCTTTTTTCTCCTTTTTTGTTTGTTTTTTGCTTTATAGAGTCTGTCATACCCAGCAGCGGTACTTTCCACGTTAAATTGCCCAAGAAAAGAGGTGTAGAGCTTGGAATTACAATCAGCTGTAAGTATTGCTCAGACTTGCAGTAGCAGTTGCAAGAGCCTCTGCTTTCCACACAGGCATTTTAGAAGACTCTACAGAGAGATAAGATTATGTGGGGTTTCTGTGGAACTCCAGTGCTCGTGATTTATCCCACAATGAATCAGATGTGTGGTTCCTGCCTCCATGAGCTGGCAGCTGCAGAGAAAAGCAGGTGCAGGAAGGGTTGGGACAAAGGATGCGTCTCAACTGATCACTTGATCTATGGTGCAGAATTCTATTCTATTCTATTCTATTCTATTGTTTTTATTTCCTTGCTCACACTTGTATTATGTTCTTTTAAAAAAGAGTTGCCTGGGTCTGGTGGGACCCTTGCAAAAAGAGGTGGAGGGAGGAAAACAAGTAAGAGGTGAATCCCACAGCTTGAAGGGTAGAGAGGGGAAACTGCCAAGAGGAGGAGCATGAAGAGGGGGATTTGTTTTAGAGACAGGGCAAGGCACTTTAAATTCCAGGGTTTGCCAGGAATTGTTTCATTTACAAGCTCAAGCCATGCAGAAGGAGAGCCATGTGCCAGGACTCGGTGTGCACTGAGGGAAGAGACCATAAACCTTTTTCCTTCTTTTCTCTCTTCTTTGCTCTCTTCTTTCTCTCACTTTGCTCACTTGATTAATTATCTCTGTTTCCCTTCTGAACACAGTTTTTCATTTAAAGATCTTTTGGCCTCTTTGGAGAGGATGCTGTAGGGGGATGATCTAGGCAGACCCATCCCAAATTTCTGGCTAACCTGGGGTCTTGTTATGTCAGTGAATTTTTCCTGTATGGCAAACACATGCAGGTCTTGGATCTCTCATCCCTCTCTCACTTCTGGGTAAAGTGAGTTGAATCATGTGAGGTTTGCCATGCCCAGAGACTGCCACCACCTCTGATCTGCAGCAGAGCAGTTTGTGAGATGGCAGTAATGGGATTTCTTTCCTAAGCCCTCAGGAGCACGGACCCAGCTGTGTCTGGGGAATGGAGTCACAAGGGACACTTGAAAACTAGGTTTCATTAAAAGAGAAGCTGTGGTAATTACCTCTTGACATTTACAGCATTAGTTAGAGAGTTAATTGGAAGTGTTCTGGTCTAACTGGGATGATTCTCAGTGACTGGAACATTGACAGGATGATGCCTTTGCACCTAGTGATATTTCTTCTCCCTTTTCTCAGCTTCCCCTATTTGTGCCACAAAGACAATCCTGAGAAATAATATCACAGTATTTAACATTTGGCTTGGTAGCAGTTATTGTCTGAAGACATCAAAGTGCTTTCTGAAAGCAGCAGGCTGTCTATAATGGCATTTCACTGGTGGGGAGCAATGCATGGTGCAGACTCTGCTGGGTTCCAACCTGCTGCCCCGAAACTGCCTTGGCATTCCAGCCTCAGGAGGCAACCCAGGGTAATGGCTCTGGTAGCAAAAACTGGCTGGAGCAAGGTCCTATTAAGTTTCAAAATTTAGTTTATGTCTAGAGTAAAATGAACTTGGGAGCTGCTGGCAAGAACAGAAGTTTTATTTGTGAAGTCTTATTTGAACGGGATCTGCTTCAGATGTGCATTTACACTTCAAACATATTTTTATGTTGGAAAGGTTTTCATTTAAAATTTGTTAAAAGAAGTGATTTCACACACTTTTTTGAAATCACTGCTAATAGAAAGGAACTGACCCCTGGGTTTTAAATAGATGCCCATTATTCAACTACAAAGCAGCTTTTTAACACTATAATTGATTTGATCTTTTTGATTGCTGAACATGTTTGTAGGACATTATTTAAGTAATGCACTTGCAAAAACCTAAAATATATTGAGTTGTTTTCTGAGTCAAAGCCAAAATTATACTTACAAATGGAAAAAAAAGTCAGGCACTCAGAAAATGTGGTGGCAAGGATGAAATTCAAGATTAATCCTAATTTTGTTTTCATATATTAGTCTATATAAACCTATGTCCACATGATCCTTAGAAAATTAGATCATCATTTTTTCACTTTGCCTCTGACCAGGCAGATAAATATACCAGTTTCAAACATTAAAACCAAAGCAAGCAGCCTTATGTTAAGTACTTCCTGCAGAGACATGATGTGCATGCAGGAATGTGATGCAAGCAGTAAAAGAAAAGAAGTAAAAATAACCCTTCTCTGTTTTGCTCAGTTCCTTTCCTCTTGGTTCTGCTGACTTGAGTGTTTGTGTAGATCTAGAAACAGCTTTTACAGCTTTCCTTCTGAAATGGAAAAGTATATAACTACTGTTCTAAAGAACTTGGTTTACTGGCCTCTTGCATTGGATTCCTGTTCCCTACTCTGTAAAACCGCAGCAACTTGAGTACATGACAAGGTGAAGGGGTCAGAAGAAGATCCACTGCACTGTCATGGCACAGAATTGGGTTTATTCGTGAACTTTATCGTCTAGCTACACTACAGATGTAAGATGAGTTGCTTTCATTGAGTTTTACCTCTTGGCTTCAGCTGGCTTCTCTGTAGTTCATTCCTCTGCCTAGGAAGGTTTGCCTCTGCCTTCTTAAATGGGCAGAAAGTGTTACGACCTCATCAGAGGAGCACTCCAGAAATAAATGTGATCAAGTTCTTGCTGTGCTGTGGCTTTCAGAACTAATTGGGAGATGGACTAGGTAAAGGGTGGGGGGAGGGCAGGATTCTTGATGGATGCATTGGAAAAATTCATGTAATGGAGCTGGCTGTAGGAGGAGCCATAAATCTGCTGGAAATGCTTATAAAAGGGTTGAAAACCCAGGAGATTTGTGTATGAGGAGGGCAGATGCTGCTGGTTCTGGGATGAAAATACAGAGAGGGGTCGTACTTGTTCCTGGTGAGGGGCAAATGTTTGCTGAGGGCATTAATCTTTCAGAGATCTCAGGGTTTTCCAGAAAGAGAAGGCTTGGGCTGGATGAGTCTCCAGCTGTGGTCTGAGAGCATGGATGGGTTTCTTCCCCCTGCTCAAACATAGTGTGGCAAAGGGACACAGCAAATCAAGATACATGGTGGAAATACATCCATGCAGCACTATTTCCCTTCCCATTCCTCAAAAGATGAGTACAAAAGCCAAGGGGTGAGCCTCTCCCTGACACTGCTTTGATTCTGAGGGATCTCTGTGCCCTCAAGCCTCATTTCAGTCTCCTCAATATGCTAAACAACAACAAGCTGCCACGTGTGTGCTGCTCCATGTCCTTTGTCCAGAAGTGAAGAGACACAAAGCCAACTAAACTCTCATTTTCTCTGTGCTCCAGTACCTCAGACTCTGTACCAGGCAGAAGGGCATTTGTTTGTAGAGCAGCTACTCTGGCTGAAGAACAGAGCATGCTCCTTTCTGCTCAAAGAGCTCTGAAGCTTACCTGTTTGCAGCAACCTCTGGGCTAAAATAGTGAGGATGCAAATACTGGTAAACCGAGAGTTTTGACACAGGGATGTGAAGATTTGACTCTTGTTAGCCTGAACTACCCATCTCCATTAGCAGAACTCATGCCTCAAATGCTCTGATCTTGCTGGCTGCATCCAGTTCTAATGATGCAGTTATGCCTTTGAAAGTTTTCTGTAAATCTCTTATAAATTAAAATCTCCAGCAGTGAGAAGGTAATAATAATTCTATTCTCATATGTTCAATACTTCTCCTCTTAAAATAAGGTATAGATTTGTTATTCCCCTCTGGAAAATGATAGTTGATTACACAAAAGATTACCTTTTGTATTGAGAGTTTGGGATTTTTTTCCTGTCTCAAATATCCTCTCCGAGGGCTGGTTGTGACATTCACTGTAGGGTAGAGGTGTGTTGATGTTGCTGTTTAAAGAGATACTGAAATTGCCATTAATTTTGGATATGAATTAATGCTTTATATAGCTTGTTTATCAAATTACCTTTATATATCTTAACAAATCAATTCCTGTGCCCTTGGTGTGAAGTACTGCAGATAAGGAGTAGGCAGTATATCTGCTTGCAGGTGATAAAACCGGAATTTGGGTAGATAGATAACTTCGATTAAGTCGCTTAAGCAGTGTAATCACTGTCCTAGTGAGAAGATGGATCTCTGAGCCAAGCAAATCTAGTTTTGCTGGCTCTGTATTAGCCTGTGCCCTGCCACCAGCCCAGCTGAGTGTGTCTGCAGGCGGGGCAGGCTCAGCAGCCACCTGTCCTGCCCCCTCACTCACACTACAGCTGATTCACTCCAGTGCTTTTATCCTGGTGGGATATCCTGATCTGCTTTTGCTACCTGGAGATTGTGAAAGGAAAAGGATCTGTGATGAGGCAGATATCCTGCTGGAGGCACTGATAATTTATTCACCTGCTGCTAAACTTAATGAATGATAGAGGAAAAAGTTGGGTACTGAGGATTTGATTTTCACTGCTGCTCTTTGTAATCAATTCTGATTCACTTTTTTCCTTTTCTCATTCCTTAGCTATCCTGAGATTATTTGGTTTCTGATTTTGTTATTTCCAATTTAAAAATGCTTCTTATTTAAATGCATTCTCGTGGCATTATTACAATTTCTTTAATTACACATTGGCAGCGTTGCTTTGGCTTGGTCAATAACAAAGGGCATTTTTAACGGGTTGATGCCTGTGAAATATGTGCTGGTGCTCCTTGGAGGAGAATAATTTACCAGTACAAGTCATTATGCATTCTATTAAAAACACAAACCGGACATGTGTTCCTGGCCTCGTCATCCATCACAGTGTAAACACTGAGTTAGCCACAACCCCAGCAGAGAGACTGAAAGCAATTTATAAAAAGTAAATAACAGTATTGATCAATTCACCTTTTTATCACTGCCCTGTCACCACTGCCAAGCAGTGTTTTCATTTTGAGTTTCTTCCCTACCACATGCTTCTACCTTTACCAGCTGTTGATTTATGGAGCCTTCTCTGGGCCACTGGAGCAGATTTAAACTACCTTTTTGTACTGGTAAATCCACCAAAAATACAAATGGGTCTGAAAAAGGGTCTGTTTCCACCTGACATGGCTTGTCCTGGCAGATGGAGGCCACAGCCAGGATGCCTGCTGGGGGTGAGCATGGGTTTCTGCACGCCAGCTCCTGCCTCCATCTCTTCCCTTGCCTTCCTTTGCTGCCATCTCCATTTCACACACAGGAGAGCAAAACCCAGAGGCAAGGCTGAGTGTCCAAACTGTGCCTTCCTGCAGCAGAGTTCCCAAGACAATGTCCTTTGAAGAGATATAACCACATTAACAGCAGAAATGAATGGATAAGGAGGCTTTATTCATCTGTGCAAATGTCTTAATGCCAAAGACCACAGCCCTAATAATGATGTACTTTAGGTTGGTGCTGTTTTAATTGCAGGCAAATTGGAAATTGTCTATTCAAAATCTCACCAGGGATTCATGTATTTAACGGCTCTGACCTCTGCTGAGCCACTCCTTCAGTGAAATTGCAGCTCTCTCACCGTCAGACAGGCAGCTGTTGCAGGGGGAAACATTGTCACCCTGCATGAATGGCCCAAGATGTTTAAAATTGTGATTCTCAGGGGTGCTCAGGGCAACCTTATCCCAGCAGACAGACAGGAAGCCCATCTGGACACTCTGCTGTGTCCCAGAAAGGGCTTTGGGATGCCAAAGGTTAATTAATGGAGTCAGTAACTACAGGTTTTTAGAATGAACAACAAGCCTCTGTTCTGTGCTGTGAGATTTCATTATCTTAACCTTGTGTCTTCGCCTCTTGAGAGAACATGGTTATTCATTAAGTGTCTCTAACTTACCGTTCAAATTTGATGGTTTTATAAAGTCTTTGCATTTTACATTAAGAAATTATATAATGTGATGATCCCCCATCCCTGGAAGTGTTCAAGGACAGTTTGGGTGGGGCTTTAAGCAACCTGGTCTAATGGAAGGTGTCCCTGTTCCATGAGCAGAACTAGATGATCTTTAAGGTCCCTTCAAAGCCAGGTGTTTCTATAATGATTCAGTGCTGAATATTTAGAATGTTTTACATTTACATTTTACATGTATTAAAGTTTGAGTTCTCTGTTGGTAGGGACAGTTGTATGCAGTTGTATATGGCTCTTCCATTTAACTCAGGTCTCAAGAAAATCTGTTCTGAGAGCACACCTTCTAAAAAAATTCTACAAACAAAACCCAGAATGATTTTTCCTTAAACTTGCTTTGTTCTCTAATGGATAAAGCACTTGTTTGGTTTGTTACCCTTGCTTCTGTCATGGGAAGCTCGTGCTGTGTTCAGTGCTGACACCGACTGTGGAGCTTCAGAAGGACAAGGTCTGGTTCTCTGCTCAGAGACTGACTGTGTGCAGGATCCCCCCACATGTCACAGGGCTTGCAAGCAGACACTGAGATAAACATAAATCCTGCAGAGCTTGAGGCATGTTTTTGTCTGTGATTGCTTGCTTGACTTTTTTTTTCTCCCCTCCCTCTGCTCTATTGGTGGTCATGCTCTCCAGACATGTTCAGCTGTGGCTCGGTCAGGTTAGAGATGGCCATTGCAGCCCACCACCAGGACAGGTTAGGATCCTTCCTAACCCCTTTCTGTCACCCTCCCTTCCCTCTTTGCTCTATTGATGTTCATGCTCTCCAGACATGTTGTTCAGCTGTAGCTTGGTCAGGTTAGAGATGGCCATTCCAGCCCACCACCAGGACAGGTTAGGATCCTTCCTAACCCCTTTCTGTCACACTGCCTCTGCTTTGAAACTAGTAAACAAACCTTGCAGTGAAAAGTATTTTTGCTAACCTGGATTGTTTTGACAGAACCAGGCTAGGGAGTGATTAAACATGCAGCAATGCCACCTGACCCAGGGCTTAGGGTGTGCTCACAGGGTCTGCCCTCACTGCTGCTCAGACACCACTCTGCACACCTCTGTCAGCATCAAATACATGTCCTATACTGAAAAGGAATGCAACAGTAATATTTACCAGAGTGGTACATCTCAATCCCTGTGCTGTTAGTCCATGGTGTGTAGCCTTCTCCATCAGCATGGGGATTTCTGCATTGTTTTTATCTGAACCCCACCCTCGTTCCCACTGCTCAGCTTTGCCCAGATTCTCTTGTCCTCACTGCAGTCTGGTCCATGCTGTGGACAAGCTGAATATAGGCACAAGCCCTCTGGGAATCTCCACAACATATATTTCTCCCTTAGATCTGCAGACAGAAGCAGAACATGAGTGTCCAGTCCAAAATTGTCTGGTACCAGGCTCCAGTAAAACATGGGGAAAAGGATTCCTCCAGGCTCTGTACCATTCAGCAGTCACATTGCTGTGACTATTATAAAATCAGTCACAGTCTGCTTTTTGCTGTCTGACCTCACTGTGGTTCTCAGCCTTGCCATGACTGAGATTGGCTGTCTTTTTGCTCTCTTTAGTACAGAAGGTTTGGTTATTTCTAGGAGAGGATATCCTTAAAGCTGTTGGGTTGGACATATGTTTTAAAATCTCATAAATGAATATAAACAACAGAAAAATCTAGGGCAGAGAGGTTGGTAAACACTTACTATGTCTGACTTTGTGGGTGCTCTCTAACTGCTGTTCAGGCAGGTGGATCTCTGTGTGTTTGGTGCCACGTGCCTCACAGATATTTTAATCTCTGCCCTGCACCTGATATCTTCAAAGGCTGTGAGTTTCTTTCTTCCCACACAGTTTTTGTGAGAAGCTGAGAAGCTCTGTCAACTTTAAATGAGGCAATGCAATTCCCATAGCAAGGCAGGAGGGAAGGATGCAGGGCGGAATGGATGCTCTTTCTTGATGTATGTTTGGTGTGTGCATGACAAGGAGGTCAGGAGGAGTTTGAGTCATAAATCTCTCTTGGGTATCTCAGGAGAGCAGCAGGTCTTGCAGGCAAGTCTGAAAATGTAAATGCTCCCAGAGATGTGTATTCACATCTCGTGGGCTGAAAAAGTTATCAGGGTCGGCCAGGAGATACGAGTTGGAAACCACCCACCCCTTCCAGCTCCAGCACAAACCATCCCTGATTCATCTGGTTGTATGATTAAGTGCCCTAGAGAGCTGAACCAGCTGAAAAACTGAGCTTTTTCACTGGGTTATTTTCCACCTGGAAAATTTCACAGCCCACTTTACTTGAAGAACATAGAAATGCTTGTATGGAGCACGGGGCAGAGCTGGATGCTCTCCAGGCAGCAGTGCTAATTGTGACTGCAGCCACGACCTTTGGCTCCCTTCTCTTGTGTGTGAGGGGTGGTGAGGAGTGTTCAACAGTGCTGGGATTGGCAGTGCCACCCCTTCCTGTTGGGCACCTCTTGCTGCTGGACACCACATGTCCTCTCCTTCAGGAGTCCAAAGGAAATTGACCTGGGCAAAGGGCAATGAACAAACTGCAGGGATTTATGTTTTGGGTTTTTTTCTTTCTTTCTGGAGAGGCTTCCAGAATTCAAATGTGAAGCATCATTTTGTGATGGAAATATAAATCCCCTTTCCTTATGGCTGCTTCTCTCCATTACCTATCTACCGTGCCTGTCCCCCACAGCAAAGTCACCACCAGGCTTTGTACCATGTGTCTCTTTTGCAGCTGCAAGCAGAAAGCTTGGGGATCCTTTGATCATCTCTGACATCAAGAAGGGGAGTGTAGCACACAGGTGAGTGCAGGATTTTCTTCAGGGTTATCTGTCTAACCCACTGCAAAATGGCCTTCCATGAATGTCTACCAGAGGAGCTGAATGTAGCCCAAGCAGTAGCACTTGGGTCTGGATATTTCCAGAATCCAAGGAGATCTCAGCACTAGAGGTTTTTCTTTGACCACAGTAGGGTTTACAATAAAAATTGTCTGTATTGAAGTGAATAGAGTTGAGCTAATGGAGAAGATGACCAGGGCACTGGTTTAGATGTCTGCTGTGTCTCTAGGAGATGGATGTTTAGCATTTAAGAGCATGTGGTAAAGAGCTTCCTATATCCCAGGAGGTGCTATGGCTCATCAGGTAGTTTGCCATGTCCCAGCTCCTGCTTTGGTGAACAGAGTGAGTGAATTGTGGGCACTGGTGGAGAACTGTGCAAATAACTCAGGATTTATTGACTTCCCCTCTGATCCAAGATCTCATAGCAAGGCGTTCAGAGGAATTTAGCGTGGCTGTATGGCTTATTTCTAAGAGTGCTCACATGGGAGTTTCCATAAGGGATAGGATATCTGTCAGTTAAACATCAGGCATTTTCAGGGTTATAGGTTGCCCAGGATATTTATGTAACCTTCCTGGCTGGTTCTGTCTGGGTACATGCTCTACACAAATTTCCTCTCTTTAAAATTACAGGTGTCCCAGACTCAGCTCATGGTTGTTTTCCAGAAAAGATCAAGGACAGTAAAAACTTAATATTGTCATTTCCACTGCAGAACTGAATGTGTTGTGGGATCTGAAAGGCAAATACAAATGTACTCTTAGTTTTCTTTTCCTCTCCATGTAGAACTGGCACCTTGGAGCCTGGAGACAAGCTGTTAGCCATTGATAACATCCGACTCGACAATTGCTCAATGGAGGATGCTGTGCAGATTTTAAGGCAGTGTGAAGACCTGGTCAAATTGAAGATTAGGAAGGATGAAGATAACTCTGGTACAGAAATCCTGATGCAAACTGGTGCCTGTCCACTGTAATGACATTTCCCAATAGGTAGTGCAAACTAACAAAGATAAGGGCTGCTGCTATCCAGTCACCACTTTCCAATTGATTATAGTCTATTTTTGTTATTCTGCCCTTAAGTGATGTCTGGAAGGTTAAAATCCTATTTGGTATGAGTGTCACTGAAGACTTCTGGCTTTTGCTTCTAGAGGCTTCAAGTCTTTCCTATGACTACTTTTATTTGGGAAGTGACAAGAATTCAGCATTCCTGTTTTCTCTTTCAGATGAGCAGGAGACAACTGGTGCTATTATCTACACAGTGGAGCTGAAACGATATGGAGGCCCCTTGGGAATAACCATCTCTGGGACAGAGGAGCCTTTTGATCCCATTGTCATTTCAGGCTTGACTAAACGAGGGCTGGCAGAGAGGTGAGGTTTGGGAGAGAACACTTGAATTGATTTAAGAAGGGGTCTTGAACCATGCCAAGTTTCCTCCACTGTCATAAACTCTTCTTTGGTGTCTTAGTCTGCTAAGGAGGAAAGGTGCTCTGAAGGTTCCAAGTGACATGAAGCAGGTGTTGGGGGCTGTGCTGCTGGGGCAATGAGAGAGACACTTCAGGAAAAGTCAGACCCAGTGAGTCTTCAGCCAGGAATACATATTTATTTGCCCCTCTCCCACAGAGGTGCTTCCTGGTCTGGGATTTGCCATGCACACCTTGTATCAGGAGAGTGCCCAGCCTGTCTGTGAAACCACTGTCCAGGATTCCCCTGTTTCTAAACTGGCTTATGGGCATTGCAGTGGTGTGTCCTGCTGCAAGCAGGGATCTCAGGTGTATTCTGACCTGTCCTTGCTTGTTGCTCACTGTGTTACATGTGAGGTATGTCAGTGCAGGCTGGCGTGCCCAAGCATCAGACATTTATACTGAATAAACGTAGGAGCAGATTTACCTTCCAGCTCCAGGGAGGTTACTGTGTGCCTGGGTCTGAATATGTGTGGATGTGTGGGATTTAAAGGATCAGGACATTCCTGAGAGTATAAGGTGGGACTGAGTCATACACTCTATCTTAATTAATCTTTCTATACGGGAGCTGTGACTTGTAAATAGATCATTTCAGCAGCCTTGACTCATGCTTCTCTGAGGGTCTCTTACTTTGTGCTGATGACAGGAAGAACAGCAACAAAAAAAACCCTGAACAAACTGCTGTAAAGTGCAAGACCTTGGGGATGTTTGACAGCAGATCTGGCCTTTTGGTTTTTTCTCTTTCAAGACCATGCTTCCTCTTAGCTGGACTGTGAAACAGCTCTGTGTCCTTCACTGCATTGGGTCCCCAGAGCTCTCAGCACACTGCTGTGCATTTCCACTGCTTCCCTTTGGTGCAGAATGCAGAAGGTCTGTGCCTCCTGGGAAGGAAGGGGATAGACTTTGTCATTAGTGATTCTTCTCACTGAGGATTTTACGTCACTGCCTGTTCCTGTAGGGTTTGGTCTTCTTCCCTATAAAATAGTAGCCACAGAGTATCCAAGGTGTTTCTGTGTAGCACTTCTGTACTTACCTGCAACCCAGCACCAGAGAGGTTAAGAACAGCCAGCTCAAATGCTGTCAGGTGTCAGAAGACAGAATTGTACCTTTGTTGATCTCAGTTCCCTTTGCAATTCCACGTCTGCTCCTCTGTGAACTCGGACGCACATCGGTGACTGCTGTGTCCAGAAATGCAGTGCAGGCGAGAGCTGCAGTACCACTGAATTTTGATCAGGAGCGAGCAGCCAGTGAGGAATGAAAAGCCTTGTGAGAAGAGTGATGGAGCTGTTCAGCATGCTCACTGTGCCTGAGTAGCAGATAACAGCGTGGTGACAGGGCAGCACAGGGATGTCTCTGGGTAACCTTGGCTCCCTGTGGGGAGGGCGAGGAGCACTGGGATGGATGCTGCTTGCAAGAAAGGTGCATTTTTTTCTCTTGTGAGTGAGAGAAGGGGATGACTTGACCTTGTCAAGGGAAGAGGGGTGCTCCTATTGCTATTCTAAATTGTCCCTTTCCTCATGTCTCTACCACAGATGCCCTTAGCCAGGCTCTGAGTGAAGGATGGGGACTTAAATCCAAATCCATGCTCTTGCTGGAGCACAGGACATGGTTCACCAGCACTGACACTGGGACCTGACCCCAGTGTCTGATAGCAGGAATCCCCAGGCCATTCTTGTAGAGGCGCAAGTGAAAATCTGCACTGCATTTTGGGCTGCTGGCAGTGGGGGAGGCAGGTTGTCCTCAAGGATCTGTCACACATCTCTCTGTGGATGACTGGCTGACTAAGTCAAAAAGGCTTCAGAGTCAGATGATTTAGGTTTTATCTTGACCTTGAACTTTTTTTCCCCCTCGTGTCTGATCTTACAGAAACCTACAAAAGCAGCTTAGGCTGTTAGATTGATGTGGCTGTGGGTCTCTCCCATGTTCCTGTCTGTGTCCCCTCCTTGAGTGCCTGCAGATGGCTTAAGCCTGTGCCACAGGACTTGTATTTTCCTTCCTCTTGACCAAGGGAGTGTGCCTGAACACTGAATTCTGGTTGAGGTGTAATGGTTCTCCAACAGCAATTTTTGGCTGTTGCTGACATTTTAAAGTGCCAGACCAGCCTCCTTTAGTGCCACCTGCTCAAGTAGATGGGGGTAGCTGTAGGAGAGTTTGGTCTAGGAGCATCCAGCACCAAGCCATGTTGGCAGGGAGCAAAAAGGATGGTGACACTGCCCATGTGCCACATTAATCCCTACAAGATGCATGCACCCACCTCTTCCCCAGTGCTTGCTGAGAAATTCTAGCAGCCCCTTTTACACGTTTCCACTTGCCTGTTACTCAATTCTATTCTTGCATGTCCCCACTGAGCAAGATGGGACATGCAGCCCATGGCTCCTTGGGCTGTTTTGTGTTTGAGGTGAGTTAAGGACTGTTGGTAGGAATGGAGAGGCACAAGGGTCACTAGCTGGAAACTGCTTCCTCTGTCAGTCCTTCTCACCTTCTGCTTGGCCTCAGAAGGGGGACCCTGAGAGAACTGGACTTTGGTTTGCTTTCTCCCCTTTGAAAAAATATACCTGGCTGAATGTGACCTTTCTCTTTAATTGTTCCTGTATTTTTCCCTGCTGAGAGACTTTCACAGTTACTGCAGAGCCATCATGTTCAGGGCTGGGTGGTTGGGAGGGTGTCTTGGATGGATGTGTCCCCATGCTGGGTTCAGGGAACAGCAGGAAACCCTTGAATGCTGAAGCACTGCAGTGAGAAAAGGATCTTCTGTAAACTGCCAGAAGTTTAGCTTGATTCTCTGGACTGCAATAGATGAAACTTTTAAGACAAATCCTCCGGTCCCAGTTTCATCTGTAATTTGTTTGAATGCAGAAATGTTTGTTTCCCTGACAGCTTTTCCACGCTGATTTGGGTGGCACAAGACGGACATCTAGTGGCTGGTGGGACCAACATGGCACTGCTGAGTACTTCAGCAGCAGCAGAAGCCTGAGCAGTCCTGCCTGCTGCTTGGCTGCATTTCCTGATTTGATGTACTTATAGTGGAAGTTTCACAGCAATGTGTCTACAGACTTTTGATGTTTTGGGGAAAGCCAAGAGCTGTTTTTCCTGCCTTGATATATCAAATTCCAGTTCTGTAGGGACTGTTTGCAGTCCAGTTTGGAGATGCAGCCTGAGGGAGACAAGTTTCCAAAAAGGCAAAAAGGACAAAAAGACATTGCAGTCCAGATTTGCAACTCCTCCTGACTCCATCTCCTGACAGCAGAACCTCCCACAGTACTGGAGCAGGAAGTGGTTGCTGCTCTTGTGTGCTGGCATTTGGGAGCTGGAGTGTGAGTTTGGGAAGCTCAGTCCAGCCAGTAGCGAGTGTGAGCTCCAGGTTTGGCAGTGGCTGTGACAGTGGACACATCCTGCCCTGCCTGCTCTTCCCAGAGCTTCACTGGGAAGAGGTAAAGGGAGCTTTTGTCTGTGACAGAGGGGAAGGATGGAGAAGGGGGAGAATTGCCATGACTTGTTCGTTTCCTCATTCCTGTTGCTGAAGCCTGAGGATTTGTCTAGGTGAGAGCAATAGCCAGTGCTAGAATGTGGCAGAGCAATAAAACACAACCTCTTCCTGAGCTGGTGGAGAAAGTCACAAGGGTGTAGCTGAGTAGGGTGAACTTTAAGCATATCATTAATTGCAGCTGGTTCAGCTCGTGCTTGCCACATACATGAGCAATTTTGTTGAGCTATTTTGTCCAATAGGTTTCTAGGTTTGTCTCATAATTTCTTTCCATCAGGGTGATCATGTCCTTCAGTTCCATGCTTGATGACTGTGTTGGACTCCACATAGTGAAAATGCTTGTGCTTTTAACCCCATTGCATTGAAGTGTTTTGTCTCTAAGCTGGTCTGCATTCCCAGTTCCTGAGGGGCTTGGGATTTGAGGAGGTCATGTGTTCCCCTGTGTGTTTGTATGTCTGTGCACATGGAAGCTGGGGAGGACCTGGATTCCTGGTACTTTGGTGGTGAAGGGGAAGTCACAGCTGTAGAGTGTACCAAGAAGGAACAAAGACATATTTTAAAGTGCTGAGAGTTAATTTCTTCCAGCAAGAGCTGAATGTCCTGTCCTCCCGAGGAATTGCTTCTCTGAGTTCCTGACAGTGCCTTTTCCCTCCAGAACCGGAGCCATCCACGTTGGGGACCGGATCTTGGCGATCAACAACGTGAGCCTCAAGGGCAAACCGCTGAGCGAGGCCATTCACCTGCTGCAGATGGCAGGGGAGACTGTCACCCTCAAGATCAAGAAGCAGACAGAGAGTGAGTTGAGGAGCTGGGGTGGGGAGGGGAAAGGCTCACCCCAGCAGGGATCCTGGGCCATGGAGCAGGCACTGATGGGGGGGCTCCTGTCCTTTGGAAGGTGGGATGAGGCAGTGTGGGTCATGGGCATGGCTGGGCACAGTGGGAAAACGTGTGTGTTTCTTGAAATTCAGACTCACAGGTGAAAGAAAGGCAACCCAAAGTCTCTCTGTAGTGATAAGGAGAGGTGAAACAGCAGGTTTATTTGCAATAGTAATTTTTAATTCAGATTGACAACTTGTACTGTTGTTGCCATTCCCCGTCTGTATTGGTATTTCCCAAAGAAGTGAAGCAGAAGTTACTTTTAGAAGTATAAGAATGTGGGATTTTTAAAACTATAACCCTGCTAAATGAGCTAGAAGACTCTGAGTTGGAAGAATCCATAAATTTCCCCCCCCGACCCCCCAGTCTTTAATTCAACTTTTTGAAAACAATTGGCAATGAATGTGTTACACCTCTTTTCCTGGCTTGGGGTTCTAAGATCATCTTTCAAAGCATCTAACTTCATTCTAGGGATCCCCTTCTGGTTTCCCTGACAAGCTCCCTGTGGCTTTGAAGCTGTTGTTGACATAGTATAAAAACGCAGAAGCATACTTAGTACTGGCAGGTCACTTGGGGACAGAAGGGTGATTGAAAAAAAAGAGGGACCATGCAAACTTTTCTCTCTGATTGCATGACCACAGCCAAACAGAGGCTTTTCCATTAAATTCAGAAAGTACCAGGTGCCTGGTTTCATTCTAGTCTCTCCCACCCCTAGTATTTTCCTTTCATTTTTTGGTGCCATGCTTCTGCAGTCTGTAGATTTGGCTGGACTTACCCAGCCAATGGCCCACAGTGCTGTGGGAATTAGAAGAAATCAAGAGATAAATCTTTCCTAAGCAAGCGTAGCCCTTTGGATGCTTGTCCTGCATCTGAAAAAGTGACATCACTCTTAAACATAGAACCTCTATAGGCCTCAAAGCAGTTTGCAGATATGTGACAATGCACCTGTTTTACAAATGGATGATGACTGGGCAGAGAGTAGGGATGTGGCAAATAGAGACAGAGCTGGGGAGTTGATTCCTCTTCACGAAGCCCCAGTCTCTTCCCCTGTAGCTAAATGTCTTGTCTTTGGTCTGAAATGCTCTTTTCTCCCCCTGCTGACACTTAGCATTGTCACAGGCGCTTGGTGAAATAATTGACATGCAAGTGCCTGTTGGAAACTCGTTAATCATTCTGAGAATGAAGCAGGTGTAATTGAAATTTCAAGGTAATCTTGAGTTAATCATGGTGAGCAATCTTCTGAAGGCTTGGAAAATAGGGACTTTCAGGACACCAGGCTTTGTTTGGTAAAATAATCTGTCCTCATTGACAAATGCAGACTTTCAGAGGGCTTTTTATCCCTCAGGTCAGAGATCCAGGGTGTGGATGGCTAACAAGATATCTAATCAACAAGGACTTTAAAATATTCAGTACAAAGAAATGCTTGTGCTGAGAAACCATTCTTTGCATAGCTTTTGTCTGAAAGGAAATCTGATATAATGATAATAAGTGCCTGTTAGCACTAAAATAATGAAAGGGAAGGTCTGAGCTTCATCATTCACATTCAGCTCCCATTTTCCAATCACTGATCAGGGGAAATTCTGCCTCAAAATACCACACCCAGGAATTCCACTGTTGTCACATGCGTGGGAGACTCTGGAGAGGTGGTGTTTAGCTTTGGGTTCTTTCAGGGTTGTGCAGTCGTGGAAGAGGGCTGCAACTTCAGCAGTGGTGGTTGTCATTGGAGTCTCATTAAAACACCTGTTTGTAGCCAAGTTTGCAGCCAGCAGCTGCCCTGGTGCTGCTCTGAGTATAAAGGAGGCCCTCTGAGTCCAGAGAAGCTACAGGGTATTGCTTGCAGGAGCCAACACTTCTCTGGGCAGGGCTGTTTGCAGGAAGCTTCCAAATGTACAGGAAGATGTGCTTGTGAATTGAGATTAGGTCCCAACTCTCTCATATGTGGTAATCCTCAAATCCCCATGACTGCTCCTTGTGTTCCATGTGCTAAAAACTCGGAAAGGCATTTTTTCTTGATTCAGCTTGAGATAAGAGTAATGCATTAAATCCTTTCAGCTTCATTGCACATGCCTTTCTCAGCTGCTTTTGAAGAGCTAAAGAGGTACTTTAAAGACTAACAGTACCTGGGCTTGCTCCCATGTCAGCATAAGCTTTTCCCTGAGGCTTGCTCTTCGTGCCTGCTAAAGCAGGGTGTTCTGGTTGCAGAATCCTACCCCAAGAAGTCGGGGAGCATAAACGAAGTGAGTGACCCAGAAGATGAGCTGACAGACTCCCAGAAAACTAGCAAGCTGTCTGAGATGTACTCCTCCACAATTCCAAGTGTGGACAATACTGTGGAGTCCTGGGATGGCTCTGCCATTGATGCTGGGTATGGAAGCCAAGGTAAGCTAGGGTTGTGTTTTCTTAGGGGTCCCTTCTCTGTCTGGGTCTTATCTCTGAGCATGAGCCAAAGCCTGACCACATTTGTATGGCCTCTTACTTCCAGAAGGGAACAAAATATATTTTAGAATGCACTCATGTGGTGCTTTGAGTTGGTGTATCTGTTTAGGCTTTTATTGGCACATTTGTTCTGGCTTATGTGGCATCATACTGTTCTCATAATTTTCAAAACCATTACAGCACTTTATAATTCTCGTAATCAGAGACAGTATTCACTGGCCATATGTTTTACAGAGTATTTGGTCCATAGCTTACTTTTATTTCTCCAGAGAGGCCTTGTAGGCCATAATAATCCTCTTCAGGATGTTTTAAAATCCACTAGAATGTCTTGTGACTAGAAGCACTTGCTTAACAAAATAATTAAGGTAATACTACAAGAAAGTATCTCTCTCTAGTGAGTGATCAGATGAACACATGTCTTCAAGGTCAGGTTTATTCAGCTGTAGCTTCTAGCAGATGTGGAACTGGAATGGAGGATACTCTAGTCATGGGAATATATTTTTACTTGGAGAAAAGCCCTGGAAAATAGTTATACCAGTTCAGATTTAGTGATGTAAGCTAGCACTAGCCCGTGTTGAAACAACCCAAAATCCTGAACCAACATGGAACAGGAAGCTGGTGGAAAGGCTCCTGTCCAGAGCAGAATGTGAAACCAGGGAGGGATGCTGCTGCAAAGTGTGAGTGTGCTGTGCTCACTGCACTCTGGCTGAGTTCAAAGGGCAGCACTGCCCCAGCTCTCCCCATCCTTGCATCTTCTTTCAGCCTCTGTTCATCTGAAATATTAATTTGGGAGCACAGTTGGGACTGGAGGCTTCATTAAGGAGGAATCCCCTGGCCTTCATAATGCTGCAATCCTTCTCCATCTAATTGAATGTTAACACAAGTTGGACACTGGGAAGTGATTGCTTTGCCGGTAAATTGAGAACAAGTAATTGAGCACAGCGCCCCAGGGAGTGGGGCTGGTGCCAAGTTGCCCAAAATCCACACACTGCAACTTTGCTTCAGGGGCTCTCTTGTCTTCCCTGGTAATTGCATTTGGCTGCATGGTGGTGCAGTGGTGCTGGTTGGGAAGGGGGGTGCTGGAAGGTAGGGAGAAGGGCATGGATGTATGGATGGTTGCCCATGGGATGGCACAGAAGGCAGGGTGCAGGGAAACCTGTGAATCAAATAGCCTGGAGATTGGGGGTTACACCCCAAATGGAAAACTACAGATCAGGCTCTGCAGCCTTGTAGGTTTTAGGTTCATTCACAGCAGTAGGAGATTGCTCAAGGAAGAATTCTGGCAGGGAAGCTGTGCTGGGCCTGGTGGGAACATGCCACCAGGTGGCTCTGAATCCCAGGGATCCCACCCTTCTCTCTGGAAGGAGGAGATGAATCTATAGTGACTGCTCTGGACACCTGCCCCGTGCCCAGCCCAGACCTGCTGCCCACCCGCTGCAGGGGCCTGCATCCAGGGCCCTTGTCCTGCTCTGGCAGGCAGTGAGTGCTTCCCACTGCTGTAAGATGTTGGCAAGCAATTTTCCTGGGGCTTTCTCCAGAGAAGTCTAACCTTTAAAAACACACAGAGGAAACAATCCGTTAAATGAAATAACAGGTCTTGGCATTTTCAGAGAAAATGTTGGCATTGTCTTTGGGTATTTCCAGTGCTCTTAGCTGTTTAGGACGTCAAGTCTCCCTTAATTACATGTTTCTCCATTACTTCTTCCTGTTTGCTTGGCACAGCATGTGATGGGAGCATATGGTGCTTCTTGGAAAGGCTCTGAGGATTTCTCTGAAACACTGAATGGGCAGTAGGAGGTGGGCAGGGGACTCAGGAGATGTATTTCTACTGCAGATGGCACTGCCACTGCTGAGGAATGGTCTATTTTGGAAGTTTTCTGTTTAGGCATCTTCTCATGAGACTTGAGGATCTTGTGACTTGGTAATGATGGATTTTCATCTCTGAAGTAAGACACTGAAGTATGGAAAAGTTCATGGGGGCAGATGTAGTGAAACTTGTCTGATTTCATACTAACAGTCTGTATTGATCTCCTGTCAAATGTGATATAGATGAGCCTCCTCTGCTCTCAAGCCAGCAGAGTTTTCCATGCTATTCCTTGCCTTTCACACACACATCCCTGAAGCAGCTTCCTGTACCTGTACCAGTTGATCCCAAAGGCTTGGGACTTCTGGGAGAACTGTCTGGCAGCTCTTAGGATAAGAGCTGATTTTTCCTCATTACCACCACTGAGGGAAGCTTGTCAGGATCTTCCCTTTGCGCTTTGAAGAACTTGTTGTATTTAAAGGTGACTGATTCAACTACATAATTTCTGCTGGATTCAGTGTGGAAACAGAAGCTATTAACCACAGCTGGCACTGGCTGGAGGCAGGATCTGCATTGGTGTGTATGTGTACTCCAGGTCTGTGCATCCCAGACCCACACCATAAAACTACTGAGAAGCAGGGGAGAAAAGGAGAAATGGGGCATCCCATGTCAACATCCTGAGAAGCTGCGTTGGTTAAATCCAGAAGAGACTGGAAGAACTGCTTTTGTATTGCTAGATGGCAAGTGTGCAGTCCATGTGACCTCACTTTTGGGACCTAGGGAAGGAGGCTCTCCTGGCTCTGCGTGTCCTACTCCATTTGGGGTTTCTGACCAGGTATTGCCCTCTCTCTTCTTCCTCTCCTTCTTGCCTTCCCTAGGTACGTACATACCCCAGGCTGCTGGCATAGCCCTCCATCCACACGAGTGGAGACACAGCAGGCAGAAGAGCAGCACCCCTCCAGCAGACCCCAGGAAAAACTACCCCTACATGGATGGAAGCTTCAGTGAAGATGACTGGGACAAATCCAGCAGGTACGGAGAGGTGGGAGGAGGCAGGGAGGTGTTTGGAAGTATGGGTGTCAAGGCACAGGGACAAGAGGGGCATTGGAATGTGATGGAGTGGCCAGGAATGTCCCACTTGGCATCAAGCCATGGGGAAGGATACTGGTGGTGCACTGGCTGTGTTGGGCCACCTGCACATTGCCAGGTTACTCTGAGTGTAACTGTGTGACAGCTCTGCCATGGCCAGGTGACATTTGTGTCTGGAGTTAGGGTGGTCTCAGCTGCATGGACCACACGTTCCTACCATGTTTCTTCCTGCCATGTAAAGGCTGCAGTATTTTTGTTGTTTAGGTGTAATAAACAGAGATGGTCAGGGTTGTCCCTGTATATGTTGGCCAGACTTTTTTGAGGAAGGATGCAACTTCACACCAGCTCAGTGCCACAAAGCAAAAGAGGCCAATCAAACTCTTGGAGGACCAGCATGAGGTTGCATATCCATGTTAAAATCTACCAAAACTGTGGCTGGATTCTCTCTCCATCACACTTTGGCCATTCCAACACCTCAAAGCTACACTGTGTGAACATGGTCAAATGAATCCCCCAGCTCAGTCAGCATGGGGAAAATGCTGTGACACCTCCTGAGGCCAGGGAGGCAGCTGCAGCTGCCCCGTGCTTTGGGTGAAAATCCTGCTGGATCTGCCTTGGCCACAGGCTGCCCTTCATTGAGCCACATATAATGGAAAAGCCCCATTGCTTCAAAACTTCCCTTCCCTCAACATCCTCCAGAGTCCCCACAGTTGTGTGTGTCGTGTTGTTACTGTCGGTTCTTTTTTCTCCTATTTTTTTTCCTTAACTTTTGTTTGTCCGAACAAAACCCTTAGAACATCTCATGGCCATTTCCACCTATTTAAAGATGATCAAGCTGGCAGGAAGGCTGGCAGCGCTGGAGACTTTGTTCTTGTTTTGCCTCTCAGCGAGAGCCAGCTCACAGAGGTCACTGATCCCTCCCGGCGAGGCTGCTGGCAGCTGAAGTTGGCAAATCTGAGCCCTCGAAACCCCCGTGTCCCTAATGAGGACTCCAAGCCCTGATGTCAAAGTGCAAGTGAGATGGTTCATGCTGCTGAGCCCTCTTTATTAAAGAGAAAAACAAACCCTGACAGCCTTTAGCCTGGAAGAACCTGCTGACCCAGTGATGTGGGAGCCCATTCTGATTCATCTGTGTCCTGGATATGTTTGTGTATTGCTGCTCTGAGAGGCAAGACTGGTAACTAGAAGGGACATTTGCCTCTTTGGGAACCTGGGAGCAGAGGAAGGAAATGAGTAAGGGGAAAAAAAATTCCTTTTGGGGGAAATTTTGGTTTGTTTTTAAAAAGTCTTGCTGGGTGTTTATTTGACCTTTCTGCCTGGTGTAAAGGCTACTGTCCTTTAAAAGTTGATTAAAGATAGGAGGTGAATTTAAAATACAATAAGCCATGTCATGTACTGTTCTCTTCAGGAAGTCCGTGATCCCACAAGGAGCAAAAGGGTGTGTGAGTGAGTTTCTGCCTGCTACAGACCCCATTTAAACCAGTGGATCAAAGGGAAAGTGTGTGCTAAAGACTTTGCAGTCATTAAACATCTGGAAAAAGACAAGGGGTCATTATATATCTAATGGAGGCCTAGCTCTCTGTGACATCTACTCAAGTAAAATGTTTTGACTTTGCTGAGTGGCTGTGGTGCATGAGTGTCCCTTCCTGTCTGTGGAGCTGGAGACCATTAAACCGTGCAAGGTCCTACCACATGGTGCTGAGCTGGAGCATCATCCATGCAGCTCCTTATAAGATGCATTAGGGCTGCTCCAATATCACTGTCCCCTTGGGGCTCTTCCCATGACTCCTTATTGGGTTTATCGTGATCTTGATTTAACACCACAGAGAGTTTCTCTCAATAGGCTCCTGTTAAACAGAGCACTGCTGGTCTGAGTTTTGCAGTCTGGTGTTCAGTAAGCAGTGTCCAGAATCACCTGCTTTTTTGTTCAGAGGATTTCACCATGTTTAATTGCTGTTTGATTTAGAGATATGAGAATTGACCCTGGCTTGTGGTCTGAGATAAAAAGTGCTGCAACTGCCAAGGTGGGGAATTGCAGAACCCTAGCACACAGTGGTCACATTAACGTGTGTCGGTATCAGCATGAGAGAGGTTCTCTCTAACCTAACTCTCTGTTGTAGACAGAACTGGTGGCAGACTTTACACAGCTGTAAGTGCCAAGACTGCTATACAGCAAAAAAAAGAGAGACCTCCTGAAAGTAGCAGTTCAGTTCCCTGGCCATCCCAAAGCAAATGAAACTCGGTTTGTATGGGTTGTACATGACACTGTTGATACTGCTGGCTGTAGTGTGCGTTTGCTTGTCCAGCCCAGGGCAGTCATTTTATATACATCTTTGCATTATTTACTCTCATAGAGACCTAATGTATTTATCATTTTCTCACCATGTCTGTTACCCTCTGTGTTTTTCTCTCTCTTCTCAGGTGTTCTGTGTCTCAGATCTGAGCTCTATCCCATCAGCCTTTGTACTAACAGTCTCTGAGGCTCCTGGTTTACCCATAATGCATCCTTTTTTCTTTCACTTCTCTATTTCACCAAAAGGTCTTCCTAAACCTACAATCTTCCTACAGGCACTTTTTAATTTACCCTTTGAACTTTGACATTGCTACACCAACTTAACGCTTCCTTTGAAGGACACTTGCCCCGTTAGTAAATGCATGGAGGTCTCGTATGTGGACTCTTGTTTGAAAAGTTCATATTGTTTGCTTTTGTATATGAAGATTCTTCAAGTCTGCTTTTACTGGTGAGACACTTGCTGTAGCCTTGCAGCTTTCACCCCGCTGCAGAAGAGTGCTGACAATATTTGGTTCCTACGTTACAACAGATACCCCAACCGCCAAAATGGCCTTGAGACCACTCATGAGGACAATTTTTGGCGTGTTTTTGGAGAAGCTTTGGAGGATTTGGAAACATGCGGCCAGTCTGAACTATTGAGGGAGATTGAGGTAAATCACTTTCTGAATTTGTTGCTGACCTGACTGTTGTGCTCTTTCCATAAATATTATACCGTTTCCCCAAATGTTACTTGCCCATAACATCCCCGAGCTGCCGGTGGTGTGAAGAAGGGTTTGGGTTTAATTCCTGTCAGGCTTTGTGCTAATGGGTAACTCTGTCTCATTAGACATCTGCTTGCCTGTGCTCTTTCTCTGAGCCCATGTCTTGCCTGCCAGGAACTCCACGCCCTTTTCACAAACCGTTGCTGGCCAATAACCTTCACATGACTTTTGGCAAGCCTTCCCTATCCAGTGGTAAACCCTCTGCTTGGAAAGATATTGTCTGTCCAGAGCACTTGAAGGCCAAGCAAAAGAAGCCCCACAGACCCCCATTGGGACTGAAACCTTGGCGTGCTTCAAGTGCTGACAGGCACACGTACCTTGCATTCAGCTGTCACTCTGCCGGAAACTCTTTCAGTGAAATAGGTAATTGGAAGCTTTTCAGCCAGCCTTCCCCATGGAAAAATCTGAGAAAGTAATTGCTTCCTGCAGAAATAAAGGTGTTTCCTCTCTTCACAAACCACTTTCTCTTTTCTTTATCCAAAATGCTTTGGAGGTCATGTTATTGTGTCCGGTTATAGGATGAGGAGCCTGGATTTCTAAGTCATGGGATGCAAATAAAGGGCCCCCTTGAGACTGTGAGCAGCAGGAAGCAAACCTGCCTGGCAGGATGGGGCCTGTGCTGCTCCCTTCCCTAGTTCCACAGCCTGAATGAAAGAGGAGGACCCCATAAGACCATTTCTCCCTGTGCCCTCCAGGTGCAGAGGGCTGGGGAGAACTCTCTGGGTCATGCCCTCCATCACTCCCAGTGGGACTGGTTTTATGTAAACTTGCATATTGCAGAGGTTTCAGAGAAAAAAAAAGGCAACTTCTGACTAATTGAAGGTCGAAGAGGAAAGTCCTGTTTTGGTTTGTATTGTGACAAGGGACTTGCTAATTGTTCTTTCCTCCTTGATCCTTAGCAACTGTAAGTGGAGGAGGAAATCTCAATTAAATTTATTGTGCTGAAGCTTGGAATGCTGTTTTTATTATCTTAGCTGCTTAAGAAAATGCTGACTTAAAAAACCCCACAACACACTCAAAAATCCCAAATCCCCAGCCCTCTCAGACTATAACTTTTCCCCTTGATCACTTATTTCCTGGATCTGAATGTATTTGGAAACGAGTTTAGGCAGCTGTTCTCAACCTTTCTTAAACAGCAGTTGTTGACTGCTTAAGAGAAAGTACCTCTCTAAAATGATGCGTAAATATTTATTTTCTGCTGGTATCTAAATGCAAAAGATGGGATTTGTTGGACTCATGTTTGTTTTCCAGGGATCTGTGGTGCAATTGTTGTTTTATGCTGTTTGGAGCTTTGACAGTTACAGGAATATTTTTTAACATATAAAGGAATCTTACTGAAAGCTGAGCACCTCCAGGGTTTCTGTGTATTAAGCACGTTTCTAGAATATTTTGAAAGTTTTGAGGACAGAAGGGAAGTGCTCTATTTTTAGCAGGAATCTGTTGGGTTCAACTCCCCTTTTATCAAATCCAAAATACTCCTGATCCATTCCTTCCTCTCCATGTGCTCAGCCTTTGTTAAGTGTGCTGTGGGATGTGCAGAGCTCACTGGGGCCCTTGCTGTATTGCAGCTTTCTCACCCCAACATTCATTCTCCCATGGTTATATGACAGTCAGAGATTGGATTTGTCTGTATTTCTAAAAAAAAATTGGTCCTTCATAATTTGCTTTTAAATAAGGAGTCATGCAAGGTGACCCATGATAGCCTAGAAACAGGTTCACACACAGTCAGAATCCAAATCTAGGCTATGAGTATGGGAAGAAACAGGCTTTTTCCAGTAAAGTGTGTGTCTCTGCTTTACTTTGAGGCAGCCAAGACATGGGAAAAAATAATGCAGAGCAGCCACAGGCTGGAGAAGTCTGGAATTGCCCTTTTTGCTGCTTGCCCTAAACCTAAAGCTTATGGAAAAAACTTTAGGAAATTGCTGATGATGCTGCAAGGAGAATTTAAATGCCGTGAAGATGGAAAAGGAGTCCAGTGCTGTTGGGTCCTGGTTGGTTGTGGTATTTGCAGCCTGTGGGAGAGGGCAGTGGCATGGTATGCACAGACCTTCCTGTTCTCCCTGGCTCTGCAGTGCTGGGACAGCACAGCACAACACCCTGGGGGCTGAGGCTACCCAAGGGCAGTGACCAAATGTACTCTGGCTGGCTGTGCTGTTGTTTGCTAGTCTACCTTTCAAATATGTGATAAGTCAGTGTCCTTCCACATAACAGGTATTTGAGTTTTGCCCTAACTTGAGCTGATCAAGTCATGTGTGAAGACCTGAAAAGTGCAAAGATGAAAGGTTTTCTTTATTTTATCCAACCCTTTTTAGGATAATGTGGGTAGTGCTGGCATTTTCCTACTGCCACCATAATTCACTTTGCCTTTTTTCCACCTTGGAGGGTCTTGATTAGAGATTTAGTTGGATGATATTTCCCCTGTGCACAGGATCAATTGCTCTTTGACTTGCCACATTTAGTGTGGAAGAATTTTGCTGTCTGCTCCATACCTTTCCTTTAATTTCTTCTCCCTTTTGACATTTACTGGCACTGCAGACCCTTTGAACTTGAACTTTGAAATTACAGGTTTCATTACACTGTTTAAATGGACTCTATGACCTGGAGCCAGCTGAGGTTCCACAGACTGGATTTTTGACTCCTTCGTTAGCTTTGATCAACATAATCTCATTAGTGGAAAGCATTGCCAAATGGAGTCGAGTCTACTTAGGGGCATCTTTTAATGGATGCTATCAAGGATGACCAGGCTTAAACATGACTTAATTTTGTATTTTTAACTCAATTTTGCTCAGTGACAGCTCCTGTTTACTGACAGATAAAATCCTAATTTTTGTGCTGAATTGCCCTCAGTGGAGTCCAAGGCATTGACTCCCCTGGGCCATTGCCAGCACCGTGTGATGCTGGAGAGGAGCTGCAGCCTGCAGAGGTAGGCTGGAGAAGCAGGCTGACACTGGCTCCTCTGGGAGCTCCCTGAGAATGGTGTATTCGTCCTCCTTGACTCAAGATGGCTCAGGCACAAGATGAGGCCTGCCTGGCCCAGTTGGTTTGGAAGGGGTCATGGAAAAATAAGGCAGTGCTTCACAAATGCTTCCTTCGGAGATTAAGGTCCCTGTTGGGGTGGAGGTGGAGAGCACAAAGTGGCTCAGCCGTAGACCTGGAAGCAAGCTCCCAAGGTCTGGGAAAGGCTCTTAGAGCCAACAGGAAGAGCTTCTTGGTACTAATTTTCTGATTAATGAGAGCAGCGTGCCGCCGTGCTGTCTGCGGCGCCTTAGTGACCGCCTGGTCCCTCTCTTCCTGCTGCTGACTCAGCAGTGACGTTGTGCCCTCGCCCTGCAGGCATCCATCATGACAGGGAGCGTGCACAACCTGGGCTTGGAGGGCAGCAAGCTGCTCCTGGACTCTGTCAACCCCTCGGGAATGAGCCCACTGAGGAAAGCCAACTCCAGCTGCACCGACGGACAGACTGAGGGCAGCAGCTCCCCCGCCAAGAAGAACGAGAGGAACCTGGACATGAAGAAGATGGAGAAGGAGATGCAGGAAATCATGTCCCCGACCCCCCTCGAGTTTCACAAGGTTTGTGTCGCCGAGGGTGGGTGTAACTGTGGCACTGCAGTACCTCAGTGGTTAAAGCTGTAGAACCTTTGCAACCTTGTAAGAAATCTGCTTTGCTCAGAGGGACCCCCAGAAATTGGTCCTTGTTAAAGCTGGCCCTCACCAAGGTCTGCAGCAAAGGTTTCCAGAAGGTCAGATTAAGATGAAGGAGCCCCTTCAGAAGAGTAATGGGATTTAGCTGCCATCATTCAGCAGGGTTCAAACCTGGGCTTTGCTGTTTCTCTTTATATGTAAGATTTCCAGGTTCTTGTGTTTTGGCATTTGTTAATTTGTGCTACAGATAAAAGTGAGAGAGCTCAAAGTATGGCCCCCTGGAGACCCATCAGCTCTTTTCCTGTGGTACACTCCATTTAGTAGGCCACTTCTCAAATAAAGAAACTACTTCCCTCTGCTTCCACTCCACTTCAGTGATGGGATACTGGTTTGATTTCAGCATTCAGCTGAATGTAGCCAGTTTAACCATTGTGCAAGGCAATGGCAATTAAGAAAAGTAATTAACTGTAGAAGCTGCTGATGTAGAATGCAAGCAGGGAAGGGAGCTGGAGAGGTTTCAAAAATTTGATTGCCTTTTTCTTTCCTAATGTGACTTCAGAATGAAACCTGCAGTTGTGCTAGCTGGAAAAAACAACTTTTTCATGTTTGATCTGCTTTTGCCCTCCAGAGCATGGCAAATGTGTCTTTAAATAAAACTCCTTTGTACCTGAAGGAGAAGAGCTATGTAATCAGGCGTGTTATAGTGTGACTCTTCATTTTCCTGGAGCATCTGGTTTTGGCTGTGTTTGGAAATGAGGTTGAGGCCAGAGGGTATGCTCCTGTGTGTCATCCTGAGCATTGTGTTTCCTCAGGACCGCAGATCCATGAGGCTCACCCAGCCTGGAGCACAGTCATGGTAGAGATTCACTCCCAGCTCATGAGTACTTCAGAAGAGTAATGGGATTTAGCTGCCATCATTCAGCAGGGTTCAAACCTGGGCTTTGCTGTTTCTCTTTATATGTAAGATTTCCAGGTTCTTGTGTTTTGGCATTTGTTAATTTGTGCTACAGATAAAAGTGAGAGAGCTCAAAGTATGGCCCCCTGGAGACCCATCAGCTCTTTTCCTGTGGTACACTCCATTTAGTAGGCCACTTCTCAAATAAAGAAACTACTTCCCTCTGCTTCCACTCCACTTCAGTGATGGGATACTGGTTTGATTTCAGCATTCAGCTGAATGTAGCCAGTTTAACCATTGTGCAAGGCAATGGCAATTAAGAAAAGTAATTAACTGTAGAAGCTGCTGATGTAGAATGCAAGCAGGGAAGGGAGCTGGAGAGGTTTCAAAAATTTGATTGCCTTTTTCTTTCCTAATGTGACTTCAGAATGAAACCTGCAGTTGTGCTAGCTGGAAAAAACAACTTTTTCATGTTTGATCTGCTTTTGCCCTCCAGAGCATGGCAAATGTGTCTTTAAATAAAACTCCTTTGTACCTGAAGGAGAAGAGCTATGTAATCAGGCGTGTTATAGTGTGACTCTTCATTTTCCTGGAGCATCTGGTTTTGGCTGTGTTTGGAAATGAGGTTGAGGCCAGAGGGGATGCTCCTGTGTGTCATCCTGAGCATTGTGTTTCCTCAGGACCGCAGATCCATGAGGCTCACCCAGCCTGGAGCACAGTCATGGTAGAGATTCACTCCCAGCTCATGGAAGGCAATGGGAGGTTTTGCTAGTGTTGGGGAATCAGCTGTCCCTGGTTCCCAGTGTTACCCCATGGGAAGACACTTCCAGCAGTGCTCATCTCCTTTGGGCAACGCCAAAACATGATGTGCCCAAGGGAAGGATGATGAGGTTGCCCATTTCTTGTCCTCAGAGCGTCAGCACTTACTGATATGAGTTTTCTGAAAATAACTTGTAAATAATATGGAGAACTTTAGATGTTCCTGCTGAGTGATGTATTAAAAATGAGCTGTCTTCCCATTTGACTCACAATGTTAAAAATTCCCAGTAAACATGTTAATTTTTTGTGTGCTGGTCTGGCACACCCAGAGGATACACAGCATAACCTGAGCCAGGGGAGGCAATTATTACAAACACTTGTTTGCTGCTCTTTGGGTGAAACATGAGTGCTGTCTGTATTACACTGCCTGGGTTTCCTTCCACATCCAAGAGCGAGGGACTGTCATGGGGTTGTTTTTATGCCAGTCACCAAAGCAATTCTCCTGTGATGATGGTGTCAGGTAAATAAGGCTCAGTCTGTGTTATCTGCCCAGGCTATGAAAAACCTGCCCAGGAGACCCAGAGCAGAATTGCTGCAGGTCTGCACACATTACTCATGCTGCTCCCATCCTGGCACCCCTGTACATCACCTCCTTACTCTGCTGCATTGAAACCTGCTTCTTCTCTTTCTGCCTCTGCAGATGACACTCCACAAAGACCCAGAGAGTGAAGACTTTGGATTCAGTTTGTCGGATGGCCTGTTAGAAAAAGGTGTCTATGTAAATATGGTCCGTCCGGATGGGCCAGCAGATCAGTGTGGCCTCAAGCCATATGACAGAGTGCTTCAGGTAATAAATGCAAAATGCAGTTCTGGAGGCTGGGACGGAGTGAATGAGTGGCTGAGAGGAAGAGAGAAGTGAGACCCATCCATGGCAGCACTAACTTTAATGAAAGGTAATAGTTAGCCAACTAGGTTGGCTCTTAGCCACCAACACTCAATGGGACCTGTGCTTTATAATGAGAAATCACTAGCTAGTATTTCAGGTGGTACTCCTAGGTTACACTGGTCCAGAGTTTTATAATGAGAAATCACTAGGTAGTACTTCAGGTGGTACCCCAGGTGGTACTCCTAGGTTACACTGGTCCAGAGCACAGCCTGTTCTGGCACTGGCCTTTTTGAGCTTGGACGGCTCAAAACAAGTGAAAAGCTGTGTAGCTTCCTTTCCTCACCCTCAATCCTACTCCTAGTTTTTGGATGAACCAGACTGTGTTGACCAATATGTGTTCCTGTGAAGCCCCTTGTGGAATTACGTGAAGTCCATGAAGTTCTGTGCATGCCTTTGACAACTAGAAAAGTTTTCTAGGAAACACATCCTTCAAGCAAGGTATTTTTTATGGATATTTTTCTTTGAAAAATGCTTCATCTGAAACAGCTGATGCAGAAACAGAATCAAAACTGGTCAAAAGCACAGTCTGTAATAAATGTGCCCTGGGCATAGCAACTTCTGGAGGGACAGAAAAAACCTGGTGAGTTTTGGAGATTGGAGACAAGCTCTGTGTGGATGAAAACCAACTATTTTAGCTTTGAGGCAACTCAAACAGCAACTGAAGGAAGTGCAACCTCTGTGGAAAAATTGCTACCATTTGGAAATGCAGATATTGTCACCATATTTGGAAACACTCAGATGTTTAGTTTTACTAATTTCTAGGTGGGGGTTCTTAGCAGTCGGATTAAAGCCAAAACTTTATGTACATCAGGTAACTGGAGGACTGGCAGCACTGTGGGGAACCTTGTTTAAGCTTGTTATGGTCTCTCGCCAGTTGGCTGCTATACAATTATTCCTTCTCAGCTTCAAATAAAAGATGGTGCAAGAATGAACAAGAAGCTAATTAGGCTCTGGGCTGCCTTTCTGTTCAGTGTTGGATGTGCTGCTTTTTGCAAGTGCCAAGTGCTCTGGGAGGTGTGCCCAAAATCCTAAACAGAGCGGCATGGAGACTTTGGACACCCTTTTTCCACATGCTGTGCCACACAGCTCACACCTACGGGCACATGAGGCAGCTGCCATCACGTTGTCTCGTGGAGTTGGGAATGAGGGATTGCAGATGTGCTATAGGTGACTCCCTTCAAGAAGTGCAGAGCTGCATTGCTGAGGATGCTGCACAGTGCTGCTGATTGTGGGCACGGTGATGTGCCCGAAGGCCAGCGAAACACCTCGTCCCTGCTGTCACAGACCCTCTGCCTCTTGGCTGCATGGATTAACTGGAGCATGGCATTGCACTGGTGGCACTTCTGCACTGGAGCTGCCTGGCTGGCACAGAGCAGGGGCAGAGCAAGCTTGTGGTTTGTCTCTCCTTGTTCACAAGTGGACTAGAAATTGTCCCTGTGCTGTAAGGGCCAGTAGTGGGGTCTCTGTGCGGACACTGGCTAGGGTGGGGGGACACTGCTGCTTTCACAGACCCAGCACTGTGGGCATGCATTAATTCTGGGAAGGGGCTTGGCATGGAAGGGTTGTATGGAGTCAAATACCCAGCCCTTACCCAAAGAAGGAAGCAACACCTGGCCCCAGGGGTTATGTTCACTCCAAAGGTGTATGGGAAATTGCTTTTCCCCTTCCCCACTTCCCATCCCTGTGCCGTTTGCCAGCCTGCTCTGTCCCAGAGCTGTCATGGCACCAAGCCCAAGTGTTCTGGTAACTGTAGGTGAGAGAGCTGGGGTGATTTCTCCAGATGACCCGGCCTAGAAATGTGCTTGAAGGTCTGCAAGAGCCAGCAGAAACTGCTTTCACTGTTGAATCCTACAGAGAGAATTTGCAGCTGCCTCCAGAGCTGACATGAAATGCATCCAGGCTCTGTGAAAAGAAGGATATAAATGGGGAGAGGGGAAGAAGAAATTGTTTGGTATAGTCTGGGTTTACCTCTGGCTGAGCTGGAAAATGGTTGCCAGAAGCCTCAGGCCTTCATTTGTTTTCTATGTGCTGGATACTTGGCACCCCAAATTTAAGGCCAGTAAAAGCCATTATGGCAAAAAAATAATGGAAAATGGCAACTTTTTTTCTACAGACTTGGACAGGAGAACTGGTTTTGAGCCCTGCAGTGTTTAATATTTGTAATACTGCCCCAGGCACTGAGGGTCAGGGTTCATTCCAGACTTTTCCCCCTTTCCTCTATCAGCTACTGCATTGTTCCTCAGCTAAGCATGGATGCTCATTCTGAAGGGGTGCTTTTGCTCTTCTCCATTGTTAACCTGGAATCAGGGACCCCCAAGAACTGTGTATTTTTTCCAGCTGGGGTTTAGCACTAATCTTGCATTTGCTGACTAACAAACATGATCTTTCTGTTGTTCCTTCCCATGGCATGTCCTAAATCCATCCTGGCAGGTAAACCACATCCGAACGAGAGACTTTGACTGCTGTCTGGCCGTTCCCTTGATTTCAGAGGCTGGAGATAAGCTGGACCTGGTGATTAGCCGGAACCCCTTGGCCCTGGCTGCCAATGCTCCCTCGGAGGGGAACAGAGAGCTCCCAGCACAGGTGCCCCACAGCGCCGAGGTCAAGGCGAGTGTCCAGACACTCTGAGCAGCAGGAGCAGAGCAGAGGATGCCTCTGCTGAGCTCCTGTGGTATTTGGGGTGTTATTCCTGTTTTTTTTGCACTGGTATTTGTAAATGCTCTGTGTACCATAACCTGCAAGTGGGGAGGTGGGTCTTCACTGAGCCTGTAGACCGCCAAATATTTCTGGGAAGGTCAGAGCTGGGTGTGCGTCTGGGGCTGTGGCAGCGATGGCAGCAGGACAAACTGCAGCAGGAGGAAGGAGCATCCACAGCCATCCCCCATGGCAGGGCATCCCCCTGCGCTTCTGCCATCGAGTGTGCAGGGTCCTGCCTCTGACATTCTTCTCACCCTGAAAGGCCTTGGCCATCCTACAAACACACATGGTGCTATTATGTTCTTTCTTTGCTCAGTTAATCACATACAGCAGGACTGAAATGCCTTTCCTTTTATGTTGTGCCCAGCTCCATCCTTTCAACACTCCTGGCAAATCAATTCCTGCAGCCCCTTGCACTCCCAGTGCAGGGCTGTGGAGAGAGCCAGTTAAAAGACACTTTAAAATGTGCTTGAGAGTGGCTAAATGCAATTCTTGTGCAGAAATTGGTGTTTGCAGCTGTCTCCTGCCAGCCCTATCCACACTCTCCCCTAGGTCTGGCTCACCTGTAGTGGGATTAGGCGCCTTGTGTGCCTGATTCCCATGAGCAGTGTTGTTACCTGTGCTCAGTAGTGATTGCAGAGTAGAGGCCATACCCAAAGCTAAAGGCCCTGAGTACCTGCCTGAATCCCCCTTGTTTGTCTGAGCTTTACAGAGATGTCTTGCTTGCAAACCTGGCCTGTGCTTGGAAGCAAATAGCAGAGTAGCAAAATTCCCATGGCTGCCCCTGATGTTTTGGATCAATGAAACCTTTCTGTCTCCCCTGAGGCAGAGGAATGACAAACCCTTGGCTGGGTGGAGGTGGTGTCCTGTGTCCCTGTGGGCTGGGTGTGTGTGCCCCTTTGCCTGCTGCTGGCCTCTTGTAGCTCTGTGGCTGCTCCCCTGCTGCCCGAGAGCCCCGCGTGGCAGAGGGGCTGTGACGTTTGCATTGCCTGCCCTGTTTCCCACATTAGCACTTTATGATGATGTCCCTGTCCTGGTGGTGGCGTGCAGCTTCGCTTTCCCTGGGAAGGCTGGGCCATGGAGTCCAAGAGCTCCTTTGGTCAGAGACAGCAGCTCCAGAGCCCACTGCCCCATTCCCTGCTTGCCCTCCCAGTTCCTCCATGCCCAGCTGCACGCCAGGGCTGTGTGGAGGGAGCTGGGCGGGTGTGCAGCACGTCTGCGTCGCTTTGCTGAGCCAGGACTGTCCCCGCGCTGTCTGTCCCCTCCAGCCCCTGTGACAGCACAGATGTTCCTCCCAGGCACGGCCCCATCCAGCTCCTTGTCGTTGTAGCCATTTTCTCTTTGAGTATGCAATATCCCATACCATTGCTGCCACAGCTAGATAATGTGCCATAATTGATACTGTGGAGCATTGACAGTGCAGCCGAAAGTGTTTTTATATGCAATATTCTGAGCAGTGGAAGCTCACTGGGGCTTCTCATAGGTTTTTAATGAAGACTTTTATTAAAGGCTTTAAAAAACAAAAAAAAAAGAGAAGGAAGAAAAACTTGGTCCTTGTATCCCTTCCTATGCATTTTGAATGATATGAAGATGAAATGCATTACTTAAATGTGTATTTTTATCCATATATTAGAGTGTATTCCTTGTAAAGTATTTTTATATGCTAATTTTCTTATGTATCTATGAAAGCACAATATTTAAAAGTACAGCATTTCAAAGGATATTTTAGTCCTGTTTTGGACCTATTTGTAAATCTCTGTATTTAAATGGGATTGGAATGACTCTGACTTTTTTTAAATTAAATAAAAGCAAATGAAATGCATTTATTTTGGTTTGTGTTACTTTCTGCTGGAGGATGATAGTGAGGCAATGCTTTGCTTCCAGCAATATTTTAACTTGCCAGGAGACACTGTTTGTAAGACACCTTGGGGGACAAGGGGGAGGATGTTTGTAGGGCTACCAATGTTGTCCCTTCCCACCCACCATAAGCAGCAGGACTTGGGTTGCTCCCTTCCCTGTGCCCATAGAGACAATTTTGCTGCGGCTGTTAACAGGAAGATCTGGAGATGCTCACGCACGTGTTTCCAGCACTGCTTGCAGCTTTTCCACACTGGGAATCTTGGCTTAAAGCTGGGCTGCTCCGTGACAAAACACTGACACAGCAAAGCACGTGGCAGCCGTGACGTGGCAGCGTTTGCAAAGCTGTGGTTAATCCCTGGGGATGGGTTAGAAAACTCCTGGAGAATGAAGTGCTGGCAGGAGAGGTCCCATCTGGTGCTCAGAACCCTGCAGCTCCAGCGGGGTGCCTTGGGGATCTGCACCGTGGTAGCCAAATTACCCCACCTCTGAAACCAGACATCCCAAGAATTGACTGCCGTGAAGCCAGAACACAGCTCTTGTGTCCATGCATCGAGGATTTGTTCCCTGTGCCCCCAGGGTGGGCAGCACAGGCTGGAATGCTCCCTGGATGAGGCCGTAGGGAATCTCTGCTCTCCAGCACAGAGGGGCTGAGCTGGGTTTTACAACCCTTCATGGCCAAGTGGGCATGGGGTGCTGGAGGCCCAGCAGTGATACTCAAATGTTTTATTTGCACAAGGAGTAGCCACCTACAGGTTGGTTTTTTCTTTCCCTACCTCAAATCAGGGTTTAGGAATAGACACTGGTTTAACCTCCATCTGTTTGACTGAAGAAGCCAAAGAGGTCAAGAGGTCAGCGAAATAACCAGTCCCATTCACCAGAAAAATAAATGTTGGGGTGGGTTTTTTCCCTTTCTTTTTCTTCCTATTGGGCTTTTCTGACATGTTTGAACTCTCACAGTAGTGGTGCCATGCATGGGCTGGTGAGAAATGGCTTTCTTTTGCATCACTTGGGGGTTTTAATTTTGTTTTTTATCTGTGATGTGTTTTGTTGTGGTTTTTTTTTCCTCACCCCCTTTTTCCTTTGCTACTTATTAACTTGTATCCCATGAATTTTTGCACTTTTACCCTTCTGACTCTCTCCCCATCCCACTGAATGAGGGGGTGAGTGAGTGGCTGTGTGTGGGGCTGTGCTGCCAACCAGGGTGAAGTGAGATAGTGATTACACATATTTCACATATATATATAGCATTTTATAATGGCAAAAAAACCCCACACCAACAACCCCAAAATAAGTAACAGGTATAAAGGAAAAACTGAGCTACTCAAAGACCAAAAAAAACCCATCCAAGAGCACAGCTGGTTTATAAAGGAAAGTTTTATTTTCAGTTATAAGGTGATTACAAACTCATCTAAAAAAGCAAAGATGACTTAAAAATATCCATATACATTTTATTTATCTAAAAAGCAAAACAGAAACTGCAAAATACAAACATTTACCATATACACAAAGGCTAGGGGGTTTTAGGATTAAATTACACTCCAGGGTTTTTTTTTTCAAATACAAATATTCCGGTTTGGAACACACAAAAAATGTTTTAAAATGTTTTAAAAATATTTTTAAGGTTTTTTTTCTTTAAAAAAAGTTCAGATGACATTTTTAAGGAGGCTATCATCGCCCTCGCCTCCTCGCTGCATGTGCTACTCATTATCACATTACTGTAGTCACAGTTGCTAGGAATTTAAATAATTAAAAAAACACCACTGTTTTTTAGCCAAACACATCAAACAAGATGGATCACCTCTTACAATGTGAAGTCCCTGGCAACATTATCAGGTAACAATCACAACATTACACTGGAGAAAAATAACATCCTACTGAACAACGAGCACTTCAGAACAGTACTGGGATGCTGCGATGCTGAGAGACCAGCGCTGGCTTCCAGGACAGGAGCAGGTCATGAACTAACTCAACTTGCCCCCTCAGGTTTTGTTTGTTTTATCAGCCTCTCAACATAATTTTGCCACTGTTTGTTTGTATTGGTTTTTTTTCTTTTTTTTTTTTTCTTTATATATTGAAAAACAAATTCAACTCTTTCTAACACCTCAGCTGCAGAAGCAGGTACATTTAGGAACAGTGTGTATCGTGCTCCCTGTGCTACAGGGCTGAAGCCTTCCCCCACAAATGCACACACACAGAGCATGTGCACAGCTCCTTAGCCTCGAGTTTTATTATTTTTTTTAATAGCTTTATTTTTCCCACTATTTATTCTGATTCCTCAGGTCAGGCCATGTTTTCCCTGTGCTGCAAATGTGAAAGTGAGCAGCACCATTCTGCTGTGCACTGCAGAGCCACAGGGAACAAGCTTCCCAAAATTGCCTCTTTAAAATTATCTTCAATTTACTTTACTCCTAAACTCGTGGTAATTAAATTCTGGCACTTCTACTGATTATTTCAAATGAGGACACATCAGCAATACAAAAAGGCTGTGTCACCCATTCAATTGCCCAACATTACCAGCAGGGTCAGGCTCTTTCCAGGCACAAACCCTGTCACCAAAGTTTTCCATCTTTGATGGGGATGGGTGGCTGATTTGTTTTCTTAAAGTTTTCAACCTGCAGGATTTTGAGCTTGTTCCTGTTTTCTGGTGAAATGGTGTCTCAAGCTATTTCTGCTCTTGTTTTAGGACATGGGTAAATTGAAATCACCAATTCCCAATGACAGCTGGAAAGAAAACCACACAAAGAATGTGACTTTTTCTGTTTATTTTTAATAGAAACAAATTGAGATTTTATTTTTTTTTTTTCGGAGAAGCATTGTCCATGTACACATTTCTTTTGAGCTGGCAGAAAAGAGCCACAATCTGGTGGAGGGTGTGGGGCTGGTTATACTTGGGCAGTTTTCCAGTGGGTGCTGGTGCTGGTTATATTCAAGTCTCTCTTGAGCAATCTTTCCCATATACTCAAATTGACTGCTAACACCATAAAAAAATTTTTGTGACTCAAATATGTAGCTCAGGGCACCTCTTTTGCACAAGTTCAAGGGTTTCTTAAATGTCAAGTGTCACCAAATCAACTGAATACTTCGTTTCTTAAACTTATCTTTGATTATAAGAAATAAAACAAGCTACCAGGGTCTGACAGTTCCTGACCTTTGCTCATGCAAATATACAAATACACAACTACACGTCAATCCTAACCACAAGGCTTTGGATGCTGATTTTGGAGAAAACAAGTCCAGGGCAGCTGCCTGAACCCACACCACACCCAACCTCCCATGCCAGGAGCCATGTGGTGCCTACAAGGAGCCAGGAGAGCTTACAAATTGAACCTTAAGGCTTCTTTGGAGGGGCCATGGTCCAGGATTTTGTTATTTCTTTCCTTCTTCCACCACCCCCATTTAGGAAAGACCATTTGGACACCCTGGCAGGTTGGCTTTATGCAGGCAAGTGGTGCCTAAACCTCCTCAATCCTCATCCTGAACAGCTTGGCAAGATTTACACACATGATTTGCAGCCTAGGAATAGAAGCAATGTCCCCACTGTGTGCGTGCATATGAGGGTGGAAGATTTCATCTACTAGTCTACTTAAACACAGATTTATTTTTATTCTTTTTACTGAAAGTGAGCAACTTCCATTGAATCTCCTTGGAAATGATGTCAGGGTCATCTTTCTTCCAAGTGTACTTGAGCTGCTTAACTAACTTGTCCACTGCATTCAATGCACAGCTTATTTAACATCTTATATACATTATGCCTCCATGAGTGATCCTGCAGGGACCACAAGACATGGAAGCTAATAATCAGTTATTCAAAAGTGTTCAAATCCTTCTCCCACAGCTGGAAGTTTGCCAGTGATGCAACAAGTGGGAGCTTTGAACCCAAATATCAAAGCACAACCTCAACAAAACAGAAAGTCTCCTTAGCAAATAAAAACAGACCAGGAGGAGACTTGGAAAAGATCTACTGAATGGAGATGTCCATGTGTCTTCAGATCTACTTGAGTTATCTAACGCTGAGACAAAGAAGAGGAACCAGGAGCATCTGCAGTTGGGAAAGGAGGATGAACAGAGGGCTGGAAACAGCTGCAGGAGGTGCTGTCCTGGCGGCGACAATGAAAGCTCTGCTGATGTTGTTGGGCTTCTCTTGGTGTTACAGCAACTGTAAGGCTGCACTATTTTCTTCCCCCGTACTTTTTCTCATTTCATCCTCTCCTCAAGAACAGCAGTGAAAATCAGTTTTGCTGAGCTGTTTCAGCAGATCATACCTGACTCCCCTCCACCCCTAATTCCAGGAGCTGTGCTGCTGCTGCGGGGTGGCCACCAGCACTGTTCCTGACGGCAAACACAGCTGCCAGGCTTTTGTATTTTCATTTACAACACAAGAACAAATCCATTGTGGACCTACTATCTCAAACTTGAAAGAGGACTTTTCTAAGTGTGTGGATCTGTTTGGACCAGATGAAAAGGATAACTATAGATGAGAAGGAAAAGTAGAATAATAACAACAACAATAAAAAACCAGTTCTATTTATGAAATCATACTGTTTAAACACTGAGATACAGACTACTGGTAAAGTCCCTTAGAATAGATACTCATTCAGAGAGATCATCACTAGTGACAGGTGAACTGAAAAGGTTTGGGAAATAAGAAAGAGATCAGAAAAATCTCATGGGGGAAATGTTCCCCTTTATATTTCTTCTATCTCTTGATTTCAGTTCAGCTGGAAATAAATACTGCTGAAACTGTGCTGTTTTCAAGCCCAGAAGACCCCATGAATACAAAGGTACATGAAACATGGAAAAGTGTGCGTGTTATCTTGGTTTATGCTGGCTTCAATCTCAGGGATCTAGTGCTAAAGATCTCATGCCAAAACTGCACTATTTTCCCAGATCCAAACCAGTTCATCTATGACTAGTCATGATGCTTTAACACAGAGTTCCTCATTTACACAAAACAGGTAAAATACGTCATAAGAGCAACACGTAAATATTGGAAAAAAAATCAGTTGTCTTTGCAGTCAAAATAGGTAGAAAACACAAACTTTTTTTAAAAATTATGTTTTAATAAATTTGGCAGAGGATCATATTGAAATGCAAATTAATCACCAAGAAAAGTTTAGAAACCTGATAAAATTGTTAGGTAAAAACCCCAAACTGTAAAAATGCAAATGTGCTCACTGGAACTCAAACCCCAGATAAAACAAGAAGAATTAAGTACATTTTTTTTTGTCGGGGAGGGGAGAGGGGAACTGTTTTCCATAAACAATGATTTCTTGGCTCTTGGTGAGTCCCAGCCCTCCCTGGCAGTCGTGCTGAAGAGCACAGCAGGGCAGGGAAGCTGACACAGACAATCTTCAGGGAGGTTGTTGCATATGTGCGAGACCTTTTCACTTGGAACATGGAAGCGACTGATTTGAATGGCACAGTTTGTACTGAAATGGGGCTGGGTTCTGTTCTCTGGTAGTTGCATTTTGAAAGGTGTAGTATTATTCCTCTGGCTCTTCCCACTAAGACACTCTCCACACAACACGGGAGATGCCTAAACACCCAGCTGACTTGCTGGAGACATCTTTGATGTAGCCAAACCATTTTTTTCCCTAACTAAAGCTTGTCTCAGCTCTATAGCACAAAAGTCATGTGCAAACTATATAACCTCAAACATAGTTGTATGACAATATATATAAAAAAAAAGAAATAAATCAAGCATCAGTGTTTCATCTGCACTCATAAAAAAAAATTAATTTAGACCCCCCTAACCTTCTACTTCCTCTTCACCTGTGTCTGTTTACTGCAGACACTGACTGTAACTCAAAAATGAGAGTCCAAGCTGAAGCCCACTAAGACAGTGGTTTTAGTTACATTTCCTTGCCTTTGATTGTTAAAAAAATTAAATTGCTGCATGCATATTTCTTTATTTTGGGCACATTTGATGACACCCACTGGCTCTCAGAATTCCTCCTGTAACCTTGGGTGGTTTCTGCTACTGGCCCAGCAGGTGTCATTTAGATGTTTGTTATCTCCAGCTGTGCAAAAGCTCCCTTCAGAACTCTCATAATATAGCAATGAGAAAAAAGAAACAATTCTACCATGGCTGGTTTTGTTGCTGCAACTCAGCTCTCTGTTGTAAAAGTATCTACAAATTCATAATAGAAAAATTTGGAAGTTATAGATGCAGCAATGTTTTTCTTTAATAATTAATAATTATTTTGGTCCATCTCTTAGTTTTAAATCTCCCTGTTTCTGTTACAGGGAAACCAACAAGTTAAGAAATGTTTGTGCTGCTGTGGCCAGTTAGCACATGGGACAAAAAAAAATGAAATGAAGCTGCTGTGTAGGAATGTTAAGAACTGTTTATGTTCCTGTTTAAATAAGTGACAACCTCTGCCTTGACAGACTAAGCTTACAACAGAATAAGCAGATACAAACTCTGCTTTTATCAAGTATTTCTTCTAAATACCTTTGGATAGACTACCTGTGGTATCATAAGAAAAAAAACAAACTCTCTCCCTCTAATACAATGCCCACATGACAAGACTGAGTTTTGCCAGAGAACCCGTTCCCAGCACAACCTGCTCAAGTTAAAAAACAAAGAAAAAAAAAGAAGAAAAAAATTAGAAAAAGGCTTTTGTCCATGTTTTGGACAGTTTTCAGGGATCCAATTCCCCACAGAAACATTCACCTGCACTACACTGAAGTGGAACCCCCATTCCTATACTCCTGAAGGGGTTTCTCTTCACTTCCCAGTCTCACCCGGAATGGTACCCAATTTCTTTGACCAACACAAAATATTTCAGTATTATATGTTCCCTTTGCTTTAATTTAAATTCCAAAGAGCCCTGTCTCTTCAGCAGATAAGAATCATAAATATGTTTGCCACCCTCCAGCCCCCTTAAAAATAAAATAGAATACAATAAAGCAAAATAAAATAAAATCGTGGGTTAATCCAATGATGAGCAAGGAGACTGGGGCCTCTAGGTCCACTACTGCCATTTAGAAACATGGGACAAGGGACTCACTTAGTCCTTTTGTCTGCTCCTCCAACAGCAATGACCTCCCTCCCCCAAATAAATAAATAAAGCAAATCCTGGTTACTGAACTTGGAAAAGCATTTTTGAGATACATGGATGAAAAGCACCTGTTTGCTGTGTGATATTATTATCATCATTAGTATTATTATTAACAACGTGTGTGTTATCAATACCAGTTACACCAGGTGAGTGATTTTGTTCCTCCTGTCAGGGATGACCTGGTTTGTGTTCACCTCTGCACGGTCAGAGTCCAGAAGTGACTCCTTTATTTTCCTGCCCAAACCGAAGTCCAAATGAGAAAGCAAACACCTTAAGCACCCAGAGAGCAGGTGCTGCTTTTCCCCTCTTGGCTGCTCTGTGCTCATCCCTGCTGCCCTGGGGACAGGCTGCCCTCCCAGTTTGCAGAATTCAAGTTTACACCAGTGCCACCACACCAAAATATGGTTTGCTGGAAAACTCAGGAGCAGGTACTCAACCTCCCTGCTCACACACAAACAGCAGGCATTTCACTTATGTTTAAAAAAAAATCTCAAAAATTTTAAAAACAACAACAAAAAAAGACTGAACCATGCCAAATCCTGCAAATACCTTCCCCAAGTTCTCTTCAGTTGGTGTGACAGGGTCCCAGTGCTGTCCCCGGCAGGTACAGCCACAATACTGTTCACATCCAGCTTCTCTGCATCCCTTGCAAACTCTCCACTCCAGCTGTTTGGCTATATTCTTATCCAGGGACTGCACTAAACAAAACTGTACCCGCTCCCTAAAGTGACCCTGACACCTGTCGTTTACCACAGTTGAACCAGAGGGTGGAAATACTACACCTTTGAAAATTTTCTTGAAACAGCATTTTTTTAAAAAACGTATCTCTCAACAGAGCTCCTTTTGTGTGTTCTGTAGATTACCCTGCTCCCAACCATACCAGCACCTAAAATTGCTTTCTGAGACTTGAATGTATTGCTGGCAAGACAATCAATTCAAGTGGTAAGGTGTATAATATTTAGAGATAAAGATATATATATTTAAAAAAACCCAATAATAGTAAATTCTTGTAATATGTCTAGTCTGATATGAAAGCTCTCCCTCTACAGAGAGACGTCTGCTGTGATTACCTTACAAAATATTAAAAAAAAAAACAACACACAAAAAATAACTTTCTCTGTGAGAAATAAAAATAAATCCTAGTGCAAATATAAAGCTCTGTAAACCTGGTCCTATGAGAATCTATGGTTAGTAAACGGCAGTTAAAGCAGGTTTATCCTCTCACAGAGAGAGCTCACATCATGGTTTCCACAATGATATGAGTTGGCTTGATCAATCCGCCATTCGAAGTTCCATTGGGGCAGAAGGGGGTGCCACTCTCCGTTTCTTTGGACCACCGGTTCACCTCCTTGGGGGCAGCCACCGCCTTTATCCTCTGCAAGAGAGAAGGAGAGCACAGCTGAGAGGAGCAGGAGGCCTCTGAGGAAAGATGGGCAGAGAGGGGAGACAGCATAAATCCTCTGAGGAGAGCAGAGGGGAGATGATCAGAAAGCTTCTGAGGAAAGCAGAGGGAGGTGAACAGGAGGCCTCTGAGGAAAGATGGGCAGATGGAGGGGAGCAGAAAGACCCTGAGGAGAGCAGAGGGGAGATGAACATAAAAGCTCTGAGGAGAACAGAGGGAGGTGAGCAGAAAGACTCTGAGGAGAGCAGAGGCAGGTGAGCATAAAGGTTCTGAGGAGAGCAGAGGGGAGATACACAGAAAACCTCTAAGGAAAGCAGAGGGAGATGAGCAGGGGGCCTCTGAGGAGAGCAGAGGGGAGATGAGCATAAAGGCTCTGAGAAGGGCAGGGGGAGATGAGCAGAAAGACTCTGAGGAAAGATGGGCAGAGGAGAGATGAGCATAAAGCCTCTGAGGAAAGCAGAGGGAGATGAGCAGAAAGCTTCTGAGGAGAGCAGAGGAAGATGAGCATAAAGGCTCTGAGGAGAGCAGAGGGAGATGAGCATAAATCCTCTGAGGAAAGCAGAGGGAGATGAGCAGGAGGCCTCTGAGGAAAGCAGAGGAGAGATGAGCATAAATCCTCTGAGGAAAGCAGAGGGAGGTGAGCAGGAGGCCTCTGTGTCTCCACGTGCAGGATGCAGCATTCCAAGGACAGGGATGGTGGCTGTGGGAGATGTGTGCCCGCGGCTCTGTAAGGATGTGGGGATCTGTGGAGCCTTCAACTCCTGCTCAGCTGAGAGGCTGACTTGAGGCAGGAAATCAGGCAGGAGCATCATCCAGCATCCTGCACACTGGGCTTTCAGTGCTGCAAATGGTGTGCGTCCTCCTCCCTCGTTTAGAAACAGCTCTGCCTCTCAGCCCAGCCTTCACTGCCAAGTGGCAACTTCTGTCCTACATTTCAGCTCACAAAGGAAGAACTGAATGGCATCTGACCAGTGTTTACTCTTTTTCCTTTCCTAACATGGACTTTGAGCAGTGTTTTGGCTACTTTTAGACTTGTCTCTCATGGTGACAATGGTGACAATGAAGGCAGGAAAATTAACACTTATGCCCTGGCCACAGCTGAAAAAGGCCATTAACACTTGGACGAAAACAAATGCAAATGTTTGTGCTCTGGGATGTTTGGGTTTGGTATTTTTTAGAATTCTATTCTCTTTTTTCCTAACCCAAACTGTCCCGCTTCCTTCCCCAAGAATATCCTGAGCTGCATTTAAGATCACCTTGTTAGACAAAAAGAAAACTAATCTGAAAACTTTGAAGAGAACTGCTAAGTTTCATGCTTGCACAGCCTCTAAAAACTTTCCACCACAAGAAAAAAAAAAATACAGGAGCCCAGACTGAACTGCAAAGGGCAAGAGATTTCCTGCAAATCCAAACCTGAGGGAATCTGCACTGTCAAGTCTAAATCAGACACAAAGTTTTCCAGATACCAGGGCAATCTGGATCCAGTGTTTCAGTTTGAAATAAAATAAACACACATTTAAAAAGCTAAAACATAAAGCCCTCTATCAAGAGGGCTCGACTTTTATTTAGTCCCTCACAGTGAAGGACATGCCTAAGAGCCACACAATCCACACGTTTATCTGAATTTCCCTGAAATTCAATGGGTTTTGACACAACCAGGTTTGACCCAGGTCTCTCTCTCTTTATCTTGCTTTCCCAGCAATTTTCAGGATGGTGTTTCTGTGTCCCTGGGGGCTGGAGAAGAGAAACCTGAGACTCAGAAACACCCCAGTCCTTGAATGTTTGTCTGCACGTGGAGGTAATGATTTGCCAAGCTGGAAGCTGCACAAGTGGAACATGAGTAAAATCACTTGGTGTTTATCTGAGGACAGAAGGCTTTGTGTTTGTTCTCTTTCTACTGTTTGCCCAGAGGACAGGTGATCTTTAACAGTCTTATTTGCCTTACCTGGGCAAGGTGGCAGTTTTCCAAGCATTACTTTGTATAAAACACAACAAGTTAAAGCTCCCTTTCTCCTCTAGAGAGACAGTTGGTTGTTCTTACCTCAATGAGTGACCCATCTGACCGAATGATGCGGATGACCATCACCATAGGGATACAGATCATGGAGGAAAGGGCAAGAACCCAGCCCAGGCCAATTGCCCAGTCTGGGTATGTGTAGACTTTGTTGTAGGTCAGTGGTTTATACTTGGCCAAAGAAAAGATAAAGCACCCCTGTGGATGAGAAAGAAAAACAAAGTGAGGCTCAAAAAATGCTTAAAGCAGTAGGGCTCTGGTACAGCCACTGGCCCTGAGGAAGACAGGCAGTGAAAGGCAGAGTGATGGATACCATATGTATTTTAAACCAATGGGGGAATTGTTCTTCCATTTCAATCATTGGAAGAGCATCTGCATCTGCTTATAGCATCTGCTGTGTGATGACAGAGTGCTATGAGATGGTGCTGAACAGCTGCAGTTCACTGCCAATTCTCCTTCAGGGCTCAACTATTTGCTGTACACTGCAAGATTAGCAGGATGTTCTTCCCACCCAATGAAATACTTCAAGCCAAGGTCTGCCTCAGACTGCTGAAATCTTTTTATTACAATAGCCTAGCAGTCCTATGTCTTAGGGACTGCTCTTTGGTGAGTTAGTTTTCTCTTCATGAATTTTACCAATCCTAAGAAAAATCCGCTTAAACGAGGCCAACTGCAATTCGTGCAGGCACAGTAGAGAGAGCTGTCATGTTAGAAGCTGACATCTGAGAACATGATGTCTTTGAAAGGTATGTTCAAACCTTCAGCTTCTCTTTGCAAATTGGCCTCTGAATGCAACATCCTTCCCTTGAAGAGAAGCAGTAAGAGGTGGCTTAGCAGTGCCAAGTGCAAGACTTGAAAGAGCACAGGTCAGTACTCACCACGCAGAGAACTGGTGTGATCACAATCCAGCTCCACTTCATCCAGGGACCAGGTCTGTATCCAATCATATCCTCAATGGCATCATAAATATTATCAGCGCCTGGAAGAAACGAGCAATGAAAGCCTGTAAATACTGTAGGATTAAAGCTGCTTTCCCAGGCTCCCCAAGGGGTATTTAAAGGGAAGATGAGGATGTCAGATGTATTCTTTAAAATGCTTCTCACAGCTGTGAAGTCCAAGATGATCTTCTTGAAAAGCTCACATGTTGGGGGATCTCTCATCCCACCCTCCCCTCATTATTTGGCTGCAGGAGTGTGATGCTAATCTCTCCTGCCCCCGTCACACCCCCCTTCCTCTCTCCAGACTCTCTCTGAACTTCCCAGAGGGATCACCACGGGAAACACTTGACAGCAAACAATGCACCTGCTTCTACAGAAATCTGAATTTGTTTGTTTTACTTTTCTGAGGTCATGGAATTCATGGAGAATCAGAGAAATAAGCAGTCCTAGTCAGCAAACATCTGATTATTCCCCAGCCACAGCTCAGGCAGAGAGGCCACTGTCAGACTGTGGTGCTTGGCATTGCCAAAAGTAATGGGGCAGAATATACTTTCAGCTTTCTTTTTGTACTTTCTGTTTGGTTGGCTTGTCCCTGCAGACATTGCAGCTCTGAAAGGAAAATCTCTGAGAGACAAACAGAAATTTTCATGGCTGGCCACACTTTCAACTCTTACCTCTAAATGTAACACAGAAAAATGCTTAATTGTGCCCTTATTAATTAGCAATGGAAGAATACTCATTTTTTGTGGAAAAACACTGGAGGTTGGATTCATCCCAGATGCAAATTTGTCTCCCAGAGGTCAGGGCAAAGTTATATTAATGGCATGTGTCTGTTGCTGGGAAGAAGAATCTGAGGTGGCTGATGATTAAATATTTGGCTAGCAAAATTGTCACCTACTTGTCAAAAGTTATGAGATGAAAGGATTCTCACTTACCATAAACCCAGGCTACAGCAATACATTCAAAGAATGCAACCCACAAAAGGCATACACCACTAGCTGCATAGTAGTCAAAGAGTTGAAAAACATACATGCCACCCTGTAAAAGAGAAACATAATTGGTTAAGATCCAGCAAGAAAAAAAAACCCCAAGAATTCAGGCCCAGCTCCCAGTAACATCTACCAACATATCCCAATGACTCCTGTCCAACAAGAAGCAGCATCTAGCAAACAGGTAAAGTAAATATTTGGTATTACCTTCCCCAGGGAATATGCATGTTTACTACAGGAATAACTCCAAACAAGACAATGATTAAACAAAATTAAACCACTTAATACAATCTACTGAGACACTTAAACCTTTCCTTCTTACAAAGAAGGCATTTAAAGAAACAAATGGTTGACACATTAGCATTAACATTAACACCTTAAAAGACTAAAAATGAAAGTCAGTTCATCAGGAGGGTCTTCATTTATTTTTTGAGTGAAAGGGCTAGTTTCATGAAAATAGTTCATTTTTTTGTTTTATAACTCTATTTATACTCTGCTGTTAGACTCTACTCTTACTACACTGCACTTTCACTTGAAAAACTGTAGGGTTTGGGCATCTTTGTTACAGGTGCTATTTTACCTCCCACAGTCATGCTCTTTCAGTTGTTTTTAAAATCTGGCTTGGATTTTATTTTCAAGATAAATATCACAACAGTGCAGGCACTGGAACATATTCCTGTCTTGTTTACACTAGAATAAACCAAGTGGAATTTAATTAATTCAAATCAGTGTAAGATAAAAATCTCTTTCCCTGCATGCCACTGGATGGGTTCTCAAAGTGCTCTGCTGAAGGTTTCCTCTATGTTTCATCATTTAGAACTAGATGTTAACACTCATACTCCTGTTGACTGGTACCTGAGATCAGATTGAATTTAATGAGGTTTCATGTTTCTGTTCCTGTGACTGAAAAGGGAAGGGACATGTAACTACCATTCAAAATGCTTTCAGACCTAGGGATGAAAGATGCTCTGTCCATCTAAAAAGCACTCCTCTGAGTCACTTATTCCTTGCAGTCTCAATCATAGCTAAAAATGGCCTGGAAAATGGCTAAAGAAGAAGGCAATTTGCAGCACTGGTGCCACTTACCTCAGTCACCATAGTTAGTCCCAGAAGATAGCTAAGGAAACACACTATAGCGATGAAGATTTCCCGTCGGTAACCCTTCCTTAGGAAGGATGGGTGCAGATCAACTAATGACGTGATCTGTCCTTCAACTTCAACAAACTACAGGGGGAAAACAACAGGAGAAATTACTTGGAGATTACCTGTCATGCAGTTCATCCAGGCTCCTGCTTGAACAAACCTCCCCATCAGCACCCCAGCCCTGCGCTCTGTGCTGCTCACCATAAAGAAATAGAAAAGGTTCCTTTGGAACCCGAGGTTGGTGCGTGGGGGGAGCTTTCAGGTTGGAACAAGCTTTCAGAATTTCTTTTTGTTACCTAGACGCCTTATGAGCTAAAAAGGGGCTCTGCAAATGCAAGCCACAAGGAAGAAGGAGGCACTTATGCGCCTGATGACAGGAAGGTACTTATGTGGCTTTTATGCTGTCACTGTTCCAGATGAACATAGGATATATGCTAGAGAAGAGGCAGAGGGAAAACACTCAAAAAAGTCCAAGCTAGCACAGTACCTCCCAGACTTTTTCTGATGTGCCAGGAAACATCACAGACACTAGTTAGGTTATTTCCACAATTCGATATAATTCTGCTGTTGGGTTTGTTAGTGAAAATCCAGCCAAGGCAAAGCAGACTGTGATGTGAAACAGCAGCTCTTCTTGACTGAAAGTGTTCTCTGTGGAGCTGTGAGAGGACTATCTCTGATGGAGGCTCTAGGTACTTCTGCAGCAATAATGGAACCGTTCATACAGTCCACATTCAATGATCTGGCAAACTATTTGCACTTGTAAACCAAAAATGAAGCTCTGAATAAATGAGCTAAAGTCTTTATCTCACTTCATGATAACTGTATTATACTCACTTGTCTTTGGAAAACTATACAACTGTGTAACTTGAGTTAAGCAAATAACCCAAACTGGATTTGAATAATAGTTGAAAGTTAATTAAAAACCAGACATTTCTGCACCTGGAGGAAAGCAACCACTGAACTTCCCCAAGTAAAACCATGGAAGGGATCTTTTGACTGATCTGTACTTTCAACCTGGCAAGGTACAAAAGCACCAAGCTCACTGAAGACATGAGGATATGGATTGGAGGTATCCATCAAGGCTGCCTCTGCATAAAAGATCTTCACTTTAAGTAGATACATCATCTTAACTAAAAACTTATCATGGGGAACCTAAGACAGAAGTTATTTCAGAAAAAGCTGCATTTTCCTACCTGGCACCTCATTGCTCTTACAGCACCCAGAAATGCCCTGTAACAACCCTACCCTCTTTCCTGAAGTTCTATTTTGGAAATACAGACTGTTCTGCAAACAGATTTTGTCCTCCACCAAATTTTATTGCCTCCTGTCTTGTTACTTTGACTTGTGTAAAACTGGTTTTCTTTTTAAATGCAACCCTTTCCTTTGAGCTGATTTGATCTGAAACTGCTCTGGCATTCCAGAAACCTGCTTGACTGCACTCCAAAAAACCAGAGGGGTGGAGGAGAGAAATTAAGCGCTCCAATTAGTTTTAATCATTCTGCCCAGTGAGGAGCTTTTTAAAATTACTAGACAGCTTCCAATTTGCATAAGCATAGGGCTGCTGAACCACAGCACTGGGTACTTTCACATTTACTTAGGAGCAATTGAGAGTTGCTCAGTACAGTTCAAAGATTAAGCCATAAAGAGTAATTTAGAGCAAATGAAATGAAAAAAAAAGTCAGAGATTAAGTACACAACAACTGGGTAAAAATTCCATTTACTGAGCTCTCCTCATATGAGACAGCATTTAGGCTACAGAAACATTTAATCCTTATGAATATATATATATATATTTAATCTTAGTGGCTTTACATTTGAATGCAGAAAATTCTGGCAATTTTGAATGTGTAGTTACTGCATAATCTCTGGTCACCCATGTTTCCTTGTAAGTAGACTATCTAGTAATGATTTACAGGTTCCTTGGCAGTATTTGTCCAACATTCCTACAAGTAACCATTGGGAAAAATAACCTAACTTCCTGACTGAAGTTTTTGATTTTTTTTCATGCTCACTAATTAATAGCAGTGGGTGCTATAAAATTAGTGCAGCTGGAATCTGAGATGCTTTCTGGCCTGTTTGGAGGTACTGAATGCATGCTGCTGACGTGAAAGTCAGCAGGATCCCACATTGCTCAGCCCCTCCAAGCCCAAGGCCACCAAAAAAGGCTGCAGCTTTGTCCTCTCACTGCTCTTGAAGCCACCCTGGATATACTGTACAAAACATTATGTGCTTTTTTTGTACCTCATGCTGACTTTGCTTTTCTTTTTTGACACTTGGCAACCATCAAAACACATACTCCTAGTAGTTATTAACTGTTAGTTTTTTAATGATGGTGTATACGCCCTGCAGGTGTTCGCAATGGCACAAAGGACTCTGTGGAACAAACTACTGCAGTCCTTTATGTTTTAAAATGATTAAGCTTTTTATCCAAAGAAAGAAAATACTGTGACCAAAATGGTGGTATTTTGTACTAGGAGTGAAATTTAGGTTAGGGAGTACTGCCCTAGTGGGATAGACCTCACTAACCCTTTATGACAAAGATTTACTGAACAACACAATATTATGATGTTGTAGATTCATCAAGTGCAGCCCCTGCAGTAAAAAGCAACCCAGATGAATTCTTCTCAAGCAGCATTAGAGGTATTGTCTTGTTAATTCATCCCTGTAAAACCAGCTTTTCTCAGTGAGCAGAGCTGACACAATAAGCCACACATCCCTTATTCATTACTAACCTGGCTATCCAGTCCAAGCAACAGAAGCATAATAAAAAAAAGGATTGCCCAAAAGGTGGGCAGTGGCATCATGGACACAGCTTTTGGGTAGGCAATGAAGGCCAGGCCTGGACCTAGAGAAAGAGAAAATAGGGAGGGGGGAAGGGAAGAAAAGTAGTAAGTACCAGCTCTTTTGTAAAGGCAGCCACCCTCAAATTCAGGAATGCCTGGTTCCGTTCAGATAAATCCAAACGCAGCTGGAAATACCAGAAATGAAACAGTTTGGCTCTTTTATCTGAAATCGAAGCACGCATGACTACAGCAGAAACCACGGGCAAACCCCCAAGGCCAGTGCTAACAGATCTCCAGTTTTAACATCTGTCTCAAACATGCCAATAATGGAGGTGTCCTACACCTGCCCTGCACGGACACAGGACAGTCTCGGGGCTGGGGGACAAGGGGTGACCCAAGGGAATGGCAGAATCCCACTGCTAGCCCACATGGTCGTGATGAAGATGATGATGATGAAACTCTTTTGCATGCAGGGAAAGGGACTCTGCTATAAACTTTCCCTGGGATTTCCACTAACGCAACCACTGCCTCCCTCTGTATGCAACCTCCAAACCCTGCATGGCTTTTCTAAACCAGGTTTTGCACTCCAAGGAGTTTGCTCCTTTCTCTTCTGCAAACCCTCCCTGCTGCACTGAGTGATCAGGCTACTCCTAATTTTACCAACTGAAAATTGAGAAAACTGCTCTTAGGAACTGCTGGGGTGTAAAATCACTCTGTGGAAAATTGCTTCCCCATGCTGTTACACCATTTGCCCCTATCCAGGCCAGCCTACATGGACCTGCCACGGTGACACTGAGCATGACCATCATCAGCCCCAGGTGCAGGATGGGCTGCAAGTGTAGGAGGACCAGCAGAGCTGGGGCTGAGTGCTTGGGGCTCAGTGCCCAGCTTCTCTGCTCTGGAACCCAAAGTGTGGAGTGGTCCTCCCTAGGTCTGGCCTGCCCTGTGACCAGGTGTCACCTCACTCGTGCCCACACAGGGAGCACAGGCACCCTCACCTGGAGCCAGCTGCTATCAGCTGTCCTTTGTGAGAGCTGTTCTGGAGAGAGGAAGAGCCCTCCACCAGTGGCAGACAGGAACACTGGCAACTCTGCATTTAGGGCAGGGTCTCAGAGGAGATGAAGAAATTTGGTGAGGCTGACAAAAAATTCTGAGGGCAGATTACAATACAGATTGAAACCAGGAGTGCCTGGCTCATCTGCTTGTTTAGTTTGAGGAGCCTTCAAAGTGACAGTGTTCAAGCGGATTCATGTAATTTTCAATGGGAAAAGGAATTTTCTTAAGATGCTGCAGTGTGGGGCCAAAAAAATCTTATCTCTCATCTGTACAGAAAAATCTCTAACACTGCTCTTCCTACCTCCCACTTTTCCTTTCAACAAGAAAGATGGAAAAAGAAGCAAGAGAAAGAGGTAAAATGAGATGACTTTTTTTCAAACTAAAGAAAACTTTCAGTCACTGAAAATATTTGAACATAAATAAATACAAATTAACCAACAATCAAACAACTAATTTTATTTTAATGAAACGCAACTAAGATTTTATACGACAGAAGATACCAAAAAATTGGTGAATGTCTCAAATTTTGGGGAACTTTGCTTTTTTTCCCCCTTAATTCAGTGGATACAGTAGATCCTCTCTGAGGGAGAGCTGCTAACAGATGGCATTTGCAGCTGATCTGTGCAATTGATGAGACAGATGTAAAACTGCTCTCCTCAAAATTTGCTGCAATTTGTATGCTTTGGCCAATGAAACTGTTCTTGCACTGTGATACCAACTAATACCAAGTGCCCTAAGCCCTGAGCTATATTTTGATTTTCCTTTGAAACTAAGTGTTGAAATATAAAAAGTCCATGTGAAAGAAAATGTTCCTGGCAAGCCCTCAACCGAAACATAAATAATCTAAAATTTGTATTTAATTTGAAACCCTGTTGTTTTGAAGAGTGTTTTGCAAAAGTGAAGCACTTGTGGCTGCTATTAAAAGCCAGTGAGCATTGCCATGATCCCAGCCCACGCACTGGCCCATTGCCATGGGGTGCTGTGGCATGGCTGGAGAGCTGCAGGGGCAGAGACCAGGCAGGCACCAGGAAACCCAAGGCACTATTGTCAGACAAGCTTAATCTGAATTTGTTTGCAAAAGGAATTAAAAAAAAAAAAGGCAAAAAGCAAATCTTGTGCTGGTGACCTAATCTGAATTTGTTTGCAAAAGGAATTTAAAAAAAAAGGCAAAAAGCAAATCTTGTGCTGGTGTAACAGTGCTACAAATTGCATGGGTGGTAAAGTATTTTTTCCAGCCAAACAGAGGCCACATGGATTAGACAGGACTCATTATGGTTTTGTTGAGCCCTACTGTTTTTCTCTCTATCTTTAAAAGAATTTCTGAAAAGAAAAAGAAGCTGTTTATTTAAAATCTGCTTTCATTCAGGAGTCAGAAATCTGAGTTAACTTTTGAGTAAACCAGCTAAAGCCAGTGAAGGCCAGCAGTGACCAGTGCTTTCAGCCTGTGACCAGAGCCAGCCCTGGCTGACAAGTGTGACCCAGGCACATGGCACCGACACTGAATTTGGCACTGGGAAAAAATGTGGCCATGAGATTCTTCTGTCAGCAAATTTGTTGATGTTCCCGTGGCTTTCAGGAGGGCAAACAAATGGTGTCATGGATAGGGCAGGAGGAATTTAACTTGCTGGGCAGGGATGGGGTCTCAGCCCTGCAGACAACATCTTCTGCCAAGTGCTGCAGCCAAGTGGCAGCACCTCTGCTTGCTTTTTCCTGACCCAGGGGAGCAGTTCTGACCTTGTATCAAAAGCAACCAAAAAAGGCAAAGCCAGAAAACAGAGGCTCGAGCACCTGCTGAATCCTCCTGTGCTGAGAAGAAGCAAGGAAAACTTCTCCCAGAGCCCCATGCAGGTCCTGGGACACTCATCCCAGGGGGACCAAGGGTCTTCAGGAGCTCTGCACTTATCTCTCTCAGAAAAGCAGCAAGAAAACACATGGGAGGTGGTTTGGATACTTTTGGATAATTTCAGTAGTGCTTACTGTCATGTAAAAATGTCCCCTAGGACTTAGCCAAAGACCAGCAGTGATGGGCACCCACTGCATGGTGAGCCAGTTGCAATCTCTGGCCATCAGTGACATGGGGAGTAGACAACAAAATATGCAAAAAAATCAAAAGGAGAGTTCAGATGCTAGTCTGTGCCCTTGCTGTCCCTATAATGAGCTATTAAACCCCTCCTTTAAAAAATGCTTTTTGAGGTGCTGGAAATAGGCTATTTAAACACTGAGTTAATTTGTGTTTAAAGATTACTTAACAATCCAGTGTTACTATAGAATTGTTTAATTCTAGAAATGTCAGGTGACAGGAATGTAGCTGCCTCTATCAGAGATTTAATAATAAAAATTAGAATAAATATTGACCAGATAAAAACCTAATGTACAAATACTTAAAAACACTACTCTTGGAATTGATCCACCTACATATAAATAAAAAAATAGGGCTAATTATGATTCATTCAATAGGACTATTCCCTTGCTTCCTGTTTCCAAACAAAGCAATCAACCTCTAATCCAAATAAGCATTATGGCCAAGATTGTTACTAATTGCACTTGCAAGAGTTATGCCAATTGCAGCCACCCAAGAATCCAGTGGTGCCATCAATGTCATTAGTTTTTCACTAGCCCTTGTGAAGTGAGACATTTTTCTTAAAGACTTAACTCCCAGAACCATGTGATTAGAAGATATACTGACTTTTTCATTTTAACAGCATGTTTGCAGAGGAAAGCTTTCAAATTCTATGCAGGTGAATTAAAAGTGTTCAAAAAATTAGAAAGAAATACCAACAGTGCACTCGGGTGACATTGTTATTACTAGAATCTGATTAGCTTTAAGCCTCATGGCTGTCAAGGCCTGATTCATTATTTTTCCATGGTAATTCCCAACTAATCTGTCTGTTCTATGTGAAAACACATGGTTACACCTGCCCTCGTGGACTAGAAATGCACAGAGGAAAAATGTCATCTGTTTTGTTTGAGATACAGTCACAAGCTCTGAGGATTGAGCTTCTACCTCTGCCTGTGCATAGGTGAATGTTAATGGGAAGGACACTTCTGAAATAAGGGAGAGATCTAAATGTACATCAAATTTCAAAATGGACTTTGACAGTTCTGTTAACCTCACGCTGAAAGCTACAGAGAAATGCATGATTGCAATGCCTAGAGTTCCTGTGGCTGAAATGGTTCACAAAACCCTGGAGATGGACTTCTCCAACTTCTCTTGCCTTTCAATGAGATTTGGGAATGTATGTGTGTGTGTCCCTTCAAAAGGCCAAGGTACTAATCCTACCCTAGTGCTGTAAGCAAGCAATACTAAGCTATGAAAAATATATAAACACTGGCAATTTGCATTTGAATGAAAACAAAAGCAGTCTGAAGAGAAGGATGGAATAAATTCTTGAATCAATGACATTCTGGACTCTGGATAATGGTGTAGTTATCTTAGCTCTAATCGCAAGTCAAATGGATTAGCACACCCTAGGAAATGTGTTTGCTGCCCTGTTAATCAAAACAGAGTAAACAGTACAACCCCAGCTAACCCTCACTGCTCTAGATTAAAGCCCAAATCAACAACGTGCTTTTTTTTTCTGGCAATTATGGGAAATTTTGTTCTATCACTTAAATGTTAGCTGATTGGGTCTGCAGAACTTTGCTCACACGCTGGGCGGCAGTGCCCACCACCACTGCCACCAACACCATCGTACCTGACTCTGCCACATCAGCAATGTTCACCCCTTGCTCTTGTGCCATGAAGCCCAGGACGGAAAAAATTGCGAAGCCAGACACAAAACTGGTACCACTGTTCAGGCATCCCAGCAGCAAACAGTCCCTAAGTCACACATATGTCATGGAGCAAGTTAATTAAAAAAAAAATTAACCCATTGTCCCTACTTTATTTACATCATTTAGCTAAAACACTAAACCCCCTTGGATGGAAACTTGCCTATAGCAGTTGTATTTGTACTTGTTGTAGCTCCCCAGGGAAGTCATTGCTCCTAAGCAGATTGCATATGAGAAGAAGATTTGTGTCCCTGCATCTATCCAGACCTAAAGGGAAAGATAGAAATACTGTTACTACCAGCATTGTTGCATCGCAATAATTAACACAAACACACAGTTCAAACTAAGCAAAATCTACAAAATAATTGTTTCCATTGAGGGTGAGAGCTAAAGGACCAGGGAGACACGGAAAGAGAACAACACATTTGCAAGTTTGGCTTTCACAAGGAAAAGAGAATTGTTAGCATCAGAACCCAGAAGAACATAATCTCTACAATAGTTCCTGTTTCCCCTCCCCTGAGATGCTCAGTATTTCTAGTCTCTTAGTCATTCAGCTGATCCTTCCTGTTGGCACAACAATAAACGTGTTTCAATGCAATAGGAAATGCAGAAGTATTTATAACATTGCTCATTTCTCTTGTAACTCATTTCAGTTAGAGTCAGCAGACAGAGTCCTTAAACTGAGGATGTGAAAAGCTTGAGAAACAGGTTTGTGTATTTGGTCTATTTATTTTTCTAGCTTTCTGGTTGTTTTTGTACCTGTTCAAATGCAAGATAAAAAGCCATAGGGGTGGGGGGGAAAACAAGCAAAATACAATGCACTTTATAAGATACATATCTGATCTTGGTCCCATGATTCTTTGCCCTGATTACATTTAAAAAAACACATAGAGAGTGAAATAACCATACACTATGAACTTCTTGGCTAGTAAATACATAGCAAGCTATCAAAACACATCCTCTGAATCCCATCTGTTCTCTTCTTTCTGCAAATTCAAGTCTGCTAACACCAGTGGAAACCACCAAGGAGTTTGAGTAAGTGAGAATGTAGACTGAGGACCATTACCTCCTCCCTCCCACCATCACTTCCCAGCACCTTGCTGATAAGACTGAGGAGACTTCTGTCTCCTTGGAGTGATGCTTTTGCTAGACTGTGGGTGGGAGCCAGCCAGCTCACATGAACCTCTCCTACATTATCTGCTGACACTCTGGTTAGGGCTAACAGTAGATCATAAAAATTATAGGGTCCCATAAAAGAAGATTAACCCATAAAATATAATGTCTCCTGTGAAAAGGGTGTCTTGTAAAAGAGGACAAGACTAGATAATGAACCAAATTTTCATGTTTCTTTCAATTACCCTTTTCCTACTTCAGTCCTTTAGCGACCAATGGAGTTTTATTTTAACTTAGTACTCATTAGAAAGAATAGCAAAGACAGATGTTATTTCCTATCACTGTGACAAACATTGTATTATTTTCAAAGATCCCTTGTGTTCTTTTCTTTTTTAAATGGGGGAATATTGTATTTTTTTTCATTTCTCACATGAACACTATCAGCTGAAACAATGCTGATCTGCTCAAGTATCCCATACCTGCACTCTGTGAGCACAGACAGAATTTCTATCTATACAGAAAGAGTAAGCCTGTCTCCCACTAGCCAGGGCTAAGCAAGCGGTTCCTGTTCCTCAGAAAGTATTTTCTCCACCTTTGCATGGCTTTTCATTCTTCTATAATTTTATTCACTGCTCTCCCAATCTCCTCCTATTGAGCAGTGGGACAAAAGTGACACTGATACTCACAGTTGTTGCTTGTTGTTCCATCTGTGAAGCTCACGTGTCTCTCCTTTGAAACTAAAGACTATCCTCATTAAAAAAATGCATCTCCCTTACCTTACCCACAAGAAAGCTGAGATTGTATAACGGGACAGAGTCTACAGCCTCAGAGTCCTTTGACACAAAAAAAATACACACGCATACACACAAACATACACATGGAAAGATGCATTAACACATTTAACAGTGACCTTCTCAAGCAGAGCTCTGGAAAATATAACCCAGCATTAAAGTTCATGCTATATTTGGACCTCTGAAGACTGTGGAAAAAAAACCTGATTGCCATTACATCAACACCATCCCCCGCCTCCCTTTGCACAGGAAATCATCCCGCTCCCCACTCCTGGTTCTGTACCTGTGGGTCAGCTAACCGTGAGATATCAGGGTAAAGATAAAACTTGATGCCTTCTGCAGCTCCAGGCAGGGTCACACCACGGATGAGCAGAACAAGGAGCATGATGAATGGGAATGTGGCAGTGATGTACACTACCTGGAAATGAGAAAAGAAAAAAAGGAATGTTTAGACTGTGGCAGCCAAAGCTCCAGAACCAAGAGAGGTCTAAAAATGGGAATTCAAAGCCTCTTCATACCTAAAAAGCTCAGAAAACTCCAACCTGAGTTTCTGTGTCTACTTTTATTTAGTGGTCTTTAACAGCTCACTGCCTTAGGCCTGAATGCAATGCAGAAATCCCTCCAGAGGGCCTCATCAGTGGTCACATCACTCAGACATGATTTTATACAATTCATGACTTTTGTTCAAAAATTCTGCCTTTGGGTTTGTGCTCCTCACATGTTAAGTGCACCTCTGCCAGGGAAGTGAAAAGGTTTACTCACCGAGGGCCCCTGAAATATTATTACCTCATTCTTTACTGGAACTTTAAAACTTACAAATGGCGAACTGTTTCGCAAGTTCTGCTGCTACCTCTGACCTTGCTGTGCAGCCCCACTGCTGCTCCTACAGCCACCCTCCCCAGGAACTGTGTTCAGAGGTGAAGGTCATTTAGTTCGTGCTCCTGGGTTTCCCTTCCTATCTCCTTGAACACATCAAGCCCTTCAGGTTGGCATCAGCCTCAACAGTGGTAATTTCCAGTCCTATAACTTCATTCTTGCCCTTGCTGCCTATTCAGCAACATCATTACTGGAAACTAAGGCTCTATTCATCCAGTTTGAAAATATGTCTTCATTATCTTTAACCTCTATTCCCACTCTCTTTGAATAACAGCCTACTTCTTCTCTTCTTGTTATCTCCTCATTCATTTGATGAAAGAGCCCTTTGCTTTCATCTCCAGCACGAGGGTTAATTGAGCTTGCATTTGGACAGTTCTATCTTTAGACCCACACTTTTTGACCTCTAACATTTTGCTTTCTTTGCTCATCAGTGCTTTCCCTCATTTTTTATATAACTGCTGTGTGCTACAGCCACTACTGTCCAAGAACGGGCATTTTTCTTGGAGTCAGATGATTCCCCCAGGTAATTACAGTTTGCTGCCATGAGTTAAAATGTATTTTTGTTTTCCAGAATTTGCTTAACTACTGCAAAGTTCCCAGGATGCTCCATTTTTCTTCATAAGTGTGTCCTCTGAGAATAATGAGGAGAACTAAAAGCCTGTTTTGCCATAATAATGCCACCCCCAACAGAGTGGGTTTGATTTCATAGAATGAAATTCTTTCATACATGCCCTTTTTAATTATCAATTTGAGTTTTCTGATATTTTCCACAAAGCCTGTTTTGCCATAATAATTCACAGAGGGGGTTTGATTTCATAGAATGAAATTTTTTCATACATGCCCTTTTTAATTATCAATTTGAGTTTTCTGATATTTTCCACAAATAACATGTAATGCACATTAGCCTAGTTTCACCAAAACCAGGATAAAAGGAGGATTTCTGCACCTTCTTATTTTTTTTTTAAATAAGCCAGGACTATGAAAGAAATCAAAGTTTTCCTACCAAAAAAAAAAAGGAAAGTTTTTATGTATTTGCAGGAACTGAATTAAAATCCCACAGAGAAGTCTTTGCACTGCAGGTAGAGATTCTCTCACAATGCTGCAGGAATTTTTAAGACCAATCACATTATCTAAAGCTTAAGCATAACTAATATTTTTCATCATATTTATTTGTCCAAAGCTTTACTAAAAGATTTGAAAACTACAGCTTCCCCCCACCCCCCACCCTGCTCTCCAAAGAACCATTAACACACTGGAAAGCAGGGAAGTGCTATAAACAACCCTCTACTAAAGTAAACTAGACTTTTCAAATAATTCAAGTCCTCCATTAGAGTTTACAGTTTACTTTTGTTTGACCCCAAAGTTAATGGAGTCAGCCGGAGACTTTCCAGTGGATTTGTTGCTCTTTGGCTGCACGAGCCCTGACGTTGCAGAGAGCAGAGAGTGAGTTCCTACCAACCACCCTGCTTTAGACATGAGACCATTTTGCAGGATTTGCAGCAAACACAGATTTTTAGACATCTTGTTTTAACAGACCTGTTTTCAACCTTTTATCTTCATGGGGAGTGGAAACAGTACCACAGGGAGCTTGGAATGCCTCTCTGTGCTACCAGAGCCTTTTCTGAGCAACACCAGGGTTGTGAAAGGTGGTGCAGAAATGTTCACTTCCACCCTGTTGCTGCAAGAGATTTACTGCACCCACCTTTACTGTAAAATTTGTACAAGCTCCTCACTGAGTGACATCAATCATTTGAAACAAACATTTTTGTCAATGCCTGCTTTACAGGTGTGGAAGCTGCTCTTCGAGGAAAAGGTGGAGGGAATCCAGGGTAAGGCACCAGCATTTTAATGAGGTTCATTGATAAAAATCACAGAAAGCAAGACAGAAACTGCAGTAAAGCAAGTGGTTTAGTCAACAGTGGAACTCATGAGGTCTGGCTTCCTACAAAGTTTTGTCTCCTGGTTGATTCTGCAGTGTGCAACAAGCTAAAACTGCTAAATGATGATCTCTCTGCAGCTGAGGCGCTTGGAATTTCTCCCCCTGACTTCTCGGACTTATAAAAGATGAGTTCACACTGTGGCCTTTTTCTTAAGAGGGGCACTAATGGGGTCACTTCCTCCCACCTAGTTGAGAAGAAATGTGGGGAACTTGGTACCTTGAGATTCCTCCTCTGTCAGACTTATCTGAACAGTGTCTCAAGCAACAATTTTGAAAGCTAAGAATTACACAAACACAATGGCTTAAAAAACTTACGAAAATAGGTATACCACTACTGAATGCAAGGGGAAATAGCATTATGCTTCACGCCAAGTGACTGACCAAGACTTGCAATGCAGCAGGATGTTCAGGAGGGATGCAACTGTTATCCTTCACAGGAAAACACGATTCTGAAGAGCATGTGATGGGACAACCCACAAGCTATGCAGGATCTTTGTTAGTGACAATGCTCCTGAAGGAGTACCTAAGTTTAGCCTTGTGTGTCTCCACAGAGCTCCTCCGCAAGGCAGCGGCATTTCAAAAATGCTGTGCCTCCACAACACCCCTACCACAGCTCTGTCAGCATCCATCCTGCTGCACTGGGATGAACTGGGCTGGAGTGAGAACACAGACACACAGTGCAGAGCACCACCCACCACAAGCCTGAGACCTTCCACACTCATGACATCAGTGGGATGTCTGTCCTCTGAGAGCCGAGGTGGGGCTCAATCTGTGCTTGTATCTGCTTCTTGATGCCCTTCCAGTAGTGGCTACTTGACTCACAGGCATTTTAGACACTGGCAACGAACTTCAAAAGCCAGTTGAATTCTCTTACTCAATGGAAAAATACAGTTTTTCCAGGAAATGGTGAATATCTTCCAGAACAGCATTACTTGGTATTCCTAATGTCTCTAACTGTAATGATTTTAGAATGGGTAAAAGAGCACTTACCTTCCCAGTGGATTTGACTCCTTTCCAAATGCAGAAGAAACATATCACCCAGACAAGGAGGAGACACAGTGCTAGATCCCACTTGATAATACCAATATCTTCAATTCCCGAGGACAAGCTCAGCACATTGCGCCTGATTATTTGAAAGGAAACAAAAGAAGACAGAGATGCAGGAGCTCAGTTGATGCAGACTCTGGTTGTGATGGCTAAGAAGACACGATGGTGTGTAAGGTAGCTGATGCACAGACAGATCTCTGCTCTCAAAACACGTGCTAAGTCAGTGCCTTATGTGAACCAAGCTGTGCTTTGCAACCCTACATCTCCCCAATATCTGTGGGACTCCTCATTCAATATACTGCATTTAAAAACCTTAAGCTCTTTTTTAGCAGCCTATGACCACCCTAATATGACATAAAAGAGTATTTGCTTTCGTGAAGATTGAAGACCAACTTGCCCCAGTGAAGCTACCTGGCAGTGGTACACACCATGTCTCCATCATGGACACTTGCAGCTGACCTGTATCCACATGTTTCTGCTCCTTTGCAGTTCATTAGCAAGGCTGCCACAAGGAGGAAAGGGAAAAAGCAGTGCAGGGAAGTGTCAGGCCATGCAGCTTTTCAAGGAGAAGGCTGAAGCCGTTTATCTCTTTTCCCCTTGGGACCCCCCAAACAAACACTGCCCAGGTGTTACCACCTGCCCTCAGCACTCCCAACACCAGGGTCTCATTTAGCTAACACCAGATTATTTAGGAAATTTAATTTCCTCTCTTAGGTTAATAAATAAAAAAGTAATTCCTGAGCTGTGTTTTAAGGGAGCAACATCTGACCATTAAAAGAATCTCATCCAGAGGGGAAATATTTATTAAGGCTTCTCTCTTTTCAAAATTCCCATGCTTACCATTAAATACTTAATTCAAACTATTTTTCAAATAATTTCATGCAACATACACTGTCCTCACACCACTGTGCAGGCCTTGTTATACTCAACACTTCATTTGTCAAATATGTAAAAGAACAAACTGTTTCTTACTGTTCACTAAGCTAAAACTCTGCAAATGAACCCAGTAAACTCTGCAAGGCTTTTTTGGTCAAAGATAAGTTTTGACCTCAATTACCACAGAAATGCCTTGTTCCAAGACTACAGAAGAGCACTTGCTATCTAACCAATTTTTTATTAATTATTAGTTAAAATTTACTTTCCAACAGCTGTAAAAGTCAGGCACTTTCACTCACCAGAGTGAAGGAGAGCAGAGCCCAGAGCAGTGTGGGTCAGGCTCGTGTGGCGTGCACAGCTTTGCATGGGGATCCAGTACAAGACAGACCAGGGTGGTTTGGTTTTCCCCTGAACTAATGAATTTGGGGTTTTTTTTGCTATTACCATGGAAATAATAGTGAATGAAGTCACAGATGGAAAATCTGCAATTAGTTTTTAGAAAAAGCCCTGGATTGACCAGTTTAATAGGACTCAAACCCATGCCCATCTGTTTTTGCATCTCTGCTTGCCAAACTCACTTGGATTACCTGTGTGACCGTGCTCTCACACCAAATGCTTTCTTCTCTCTGAACGTGTGTGTATTTTGTTATGGAAAAGGACTAATGGCACCAGACAGGATAAGTCTGCCCTAATCAGCACAGCTATTCAATAGTTATGAGAACCCCCTCAGTAATGAATATTTGGCATAAAGTTGCAGTCTTGCTTCACCTGAGCTTAAAGAAACAAAGGAAAAACCTGCTGTGCATATACAAAAGAAGAAAATACATTTATAAGATGAAAAAGTTCAGCTGCAACCTTCTATGCCTTTTAAAAAAATAAATGGCAATTTTTCAGTTAAAGGGGCAGTTCATATTGAAAAAGCAATCTATAGAGTTGGCTCTTGGGAAACAGTGCATAATTAACTGCAAATGCCTTTTGGAATAGGGAGCTTTATTAATGCATTCAGCTAAGACTTTGCTTTTTACTGCAGAACTAAAAGCAAGTGGCCATCTCTCCTAGAGTTTGCCCCAGTAATTCTTTCAAGATTTTTTGGAAGACAACCCAGTGGGCGACTGAGAGACAGGTATCTTTCTTTTCCATGCTTTTCTTGCTTATCCCATCTCACAAAGACTGACTTCCTCAAGGAATAGGCTCAGAATTACTAGGGGAGGTTCAGCATTACGATTCTTTTATGACTTCTAGCCCTACATATTTTTGCAGAAGCACTCAACGTAGATTTTTGACCCTGTAAATTCAAGTTCAGAAAGCAGCATGAGCTGGGCTGTGCTGATAGCTCTTCAATTTTGTTACACAACCCCCATGCTACTGAGATTCAGCCAAGCCCACTCAGCTACCTTGACACCACTCACACATGGAGTTGTTAGTCATTCAGATTTATAGTCTGATGCTGTCATTAACTGTCACTCATGTATAATCAATGGGACAACAGGCTGGGGCTGAGTTTGTTATGAACAGGAGTTCTTGACCCTTGAACACTAATATGTTCTAGTGTGCGCAGTATGGAAATGTAACAGGAGCTGTAACTGGCTCTACAACATAAACAAAAATAAAATGAAGAGAGTTATGCAATCCTTGGGGGATATTCCAGCTCATTAATCAAATGAATGCAGACAGGACCTTTTAAACCAGGAAAGGTGAAGCACCCTTTCATGTTGGATGGACAAGAATAATTAACACTGAAGAGGTTGTACAGAAGAATATTAAAATGAGAATATGAAACAATTTAAAAAACTCTCACGTTTGCTCTTAAAGGCAGAGACAGCTGCTCTAGATTTTGTTTAGTTTTTTGTGTTGCTGCCTTTAGGATTACATGCCATTAGCATGTGATGGTCTTTCTTGGGATTTGGACGAATAAAATCTGCTGATTACCAAATATTTATAAACACTAGGCCAGCACCAGACAATCAGGGGTTTTGTTCAACCCTAATTACCCTATTACACTTATCCCTTATGTATTAATATGTGTGTAAGCCTTTAAGGTTTTGAACTTCAAAATAAAATCTTCAGAAATAAGACCTGAAGCATGTGATACCAAGAGGTAAGTCTCCTGAAATAAAGCCTGATTTTCTTAACCCCCTTTTATTGCTGCTCAAGCAAGCATGTGATTTGCACCAAACATTAATTCAAATGAACTGAAATGTCAGGCTGCACTACATACCCAGCCAGGCTGAGAAGTTCAGCGTGAAGAGGTTAATGCATCTATGTGGTCAATTATACCTTGGCAGCACTAGTTTTACAAAGCAGTGCTGATGAGGACACTATATAAATGTCCCACAATAAAAATGGCATTGGGTTTCAGAAACCAAATACTCACAAACCTCTGAATTAAACTGGAATTAATTGTGCCACAAAGCAGATGGATATCTTCAGTTAAAGACTAATTATTACCTGTCCTTTCAATGTTGGTAGCTGGCTGGCTGGCAGCCAGTATTGTCTGTGGCAGCATGGTACCTGAAAGTTCTTCAAACTATTTTTTTAATTTCAGAATTGTAAAGAACAGTAGCACGTCTGGGAAAAAATATGGGGATATTCAGAGCTTGCATCAAGTGAAAGCTAGGCTACTTTTATTACGACAGTGCTGCATGATCTCTGCTCTTACTTTAAGACATCAATAGTTATTTATGCAGAGACAGCAGCTATTTTTAATAGTCCTCTAAGTGTCATGACTCCTGCAGGCAGCTTGCTTGGTTAAGGGCAGTTTTGCCCATGATGAAACAGTGAATTATGGGCAGTGTGTCTGTCCCAGTAGGATTACAAAGCCAAACTCCTCCCTAGCAAGAGTCCAGGGAAGAGTTCAGCTTACAGTGCCTAAAACTGTTGAGGACACAAGTTACAGTGGCTGCAAATGCAGGGAGAGCTACTCCAGGAGCACTAATCACTGAGCAACCCTTGCTCCAGCTCTGCTACTGACACAGTGAGGGCACAACCGAGGACAGCAACGTGTGTGAGGATCAATGATTTGCTGTCCAGCCTCAGGCTCCTCCAGCCTGACTACATCTTCAGGAGGATTTGGCTCAGCTTGCAGAGGAGTCTTCTGACTTGGTTTTCCTTAGAGGGAAGGTAACTAAAAGCTCCATCACTAGTGTGCTCCCATGGGGACATCACTCCCCTTACCCCTGGCTGCCCTGGCACAACACCCTAAATCAAACACCTGCTGTGGTGTGACCCACAGAGAGCTCTGCTCTTCCCCAGTGTGCTGGAGCCCTCACTCTTTTACAATCCCTTTCCCAGCTCCCAGCCCTTCTCCTTTCTGCTGTGGTATCTTCAGTCTCCTGAGGTGAACATCCTGTCTGGGGCCTCCAGGAGACAATCTGGCCCACAAATCTGTGCAGTACAGGGGTAGGAGCTTCCAGAGCAGCAGGACAATTCCATGGTCACATCAGGAGCCACCAAGGTCAGTGCCCCAGGTACAAGAGGACTGTCAGCAAAATCACTGCACAAAAGCAATGATGAACACAGTGCTTTGGGAGTCTGGGGAGCGACTATTTCAGGGGCAGCACTGTGGACCTCTGCTCCCTTGGGAGGCCTTGAGAAGACCTTGGAACACTCAGCCAAACCAGCCACTCATTTGGATTCAAGGCCTTCAGTCTGAAGTCATTGTGGGAGAGTCCAAAGGAGTGAGAGCTGCTTCTCCTCCTACTGCAGCTTGCCTCTCAGTCCCCCCAAAATATCCAAAGGTACCACTTAACAATCGTTTTCCAACTTCTCCATATTTACACGAGAGGAAGTCACCTGGAAAAGCAGCTGCCCCTCAACATGGAAACACAGAGCTCAGAACCTGCACCCTGTCTCTCACACCTGCCACCAGAGCCTTTTGACAAACTACCAAGCCCAGATTCAATCTGCCCCTTTATATTTTGGCTCTTGTGTTACAAATTTTAGCACAGCTCCTGAGACTATTTTTTTCTAAACCTAATGCATGCCAAACATCTTCAGCACGAACATGATTCCTGCTGGGGCTTTGGCTGATGCTTATTTTTAAAAATAGAGAAGTAGGTACAAGTTGATCAGAGATGAAACTGCACTTTAAACATGCTGAAAAAGCCAAGCTGGGCCAGATGCTGATTCTACCCATAAGTGACTATCTGAGCAAGCAAGCAAAAGAATTATTAATAAACTATTTGAAAATACTTTGGATTTAGGTTTCCTTACAGGTGTCTTCCTCTGCTGCTATGTTTTGACACTTATATAAACACAGAGTTTTGAGGTCATGTCTGTTCAGAGATCACATTATGCAATATGATTTAAAACTTGAAAAATAACAGAGAAATGAGAATAAGAAGCTTATGACTGATGAAATTCAGGCATCTGGCAAAACAGTCTCCTCAGGGACTGCAGAAAAAACTGTTGTAACAGAGATGACCTGGGAAACCTAGAATACAGGACAACGTTCACCACCTCTGTCAGATTTATTACTGAGGTCAGAACCTCACATCGCCATCAGACTGAAGAGAGATGTGTTATAGCTTCACAAAGTGTACTGCAAATGCTAACAGCTGGGGAAGAGACAACCACAAAGGTGATGATTTGTTGCTGTTTCCACTGTAAATCCCTGCTATCAGGGCATCTGCAGTGACTTGTTTGTGTTCTCCTGCCACACTCAGAGACTCCAGCCAAGAAGGAAGTAAGTTTGCTTCCAAAGAAGCAGCTGTGCTGGGCTTTTAAAGCTCCCCATATGGTCCAGGATAAATCTCTTCTATCACCTGTCTCCACCACTCCCACACTTACTAGTCCATTTCAAGATAGGTGAGAACCAGTAGCAAACACTGGTCAAAAAACTGACATCCAGAGCAATTTTCTTTTCTTATCTAACACTCCCCTGTGGGCTCCCATAAAACCTCAGGACTGACCTCTGGCATGCCACTGAAAGCTCCCTGAAGACACCAAGAAGAGGGGGTACTTACTCCCAAAACTCTGTGACAGGAGAGGTGAAGTTAGTGGCATTCAGTGATATCCAGAGTGTTTTGTTCTTCCTGAGAGTGTCTTCCACACAGGTGGGCGTGTTCCACTTCTGGTGGCAGTGTGCCCATGGCAGGACGCTCTGGAACGACTGGAACAGGTAGTAGAGTCCCCAGGCCAGGATCACGATGTAGTACACATTCAGAAGGGACACAATCACTATGGAAGCATAACCAATTCCTGGAAAGAAGGGGAGAGAAATGAAAAACGTGCAGATGTGACAGCTTCTGCAGCTTGTGATCTCCTGGGGCTGGTGCCATTTTCACTGTGCTGTGGGTTTCTATCCTGCCCTACCCTACTGCTGATAGAAACTCAACTCAACCACACATAAGCACAGACCTGCCACCATCTCTGGACTCTGGGCTGAGTTTCTGGCTATGGTTTGCTGACACTGAGGGGAGGACTGCAGGAATCTACTCAATTTAACACTAACCCAGCTGTTTCAAGTTTTAGTAGAGGGAAGGCAAGGCATCAGGCTTTGCTTGTTTGCTGCATCATCTCACTTCTCAGGCTGCCTGTGTGGGAAACCTCATTCTTGCCACACTGTCCCCCAAGCCAACTTCTCAGCTGGACAGCACCTGCACCACTCAGTTATCAACTGGCTGGGCTCAGTCTATGTGGGGAAAAAAAGACATTTCTTGAGTGAGCTGAAAAGGAATCTGTGTGAAAGTAGTGGTTTCTGCCTCAATTTCACTTGTGCTAAGGAAGCATGGTATTTGTGGATCTTATGGTTACCTGGATCAATCTCTGCTTACATAGTCTGCCAGTTATGAACCACAGGCAAAATAAAAATACTTCCTTTAAAAATTTAGAGCTGCCTCTTACAAGAACCTGTGAGGCTCCCTTTAATATCACTCTGATGGATATTCCAGCACTTGGGATACCTGCCTCATATTTTACAGTTTAAAACCTTATTGCAGCAGGAGTCTTTATCACCAGAGATTATTTTCATCTCAGATGCTAACAAGCTGAGCAAGTGCTATTTATTCTGTACATCTGCTGCATATACAGCTAGTCACATTACCTATACTTTCTCTTTATGGATGCCTGGGAGATTGCTATTTAAACAAGGAACATTCCTTCTTCCTCCTCCTCCTCCTCAAAAATAAAAAAAGTTTTGACAAAAGTGGGAGGAGGAGGAAGAAAATTAAGCTAAAGCAGCAGAATTACATCACCCTCAGCAGCATTTTGAGCACTAGGTGGGAGGGTGAGCCTCAGAGAAAACCCCCACTTCTGCTTGGGGTGATATCAGGGGAGAGAGATGACTGGAACAGCAACAGTGGCAGAGCAACAGTGGCAGTGAGACATGCCAGTGTGAAGTGCCCACTCTTTCCAAATGGGATTTGAACAGGGCCACATGTTTAGTGCAGTTATTTCAAATGATTCTGCCTGTGCTGTCCAGCTGTAAAGGGCAATCTGAACACAAGACAGGCATCCTCTGTCATTTTTCTAACCTTTCATTTTTCCTTCTAGTTAACTTCCAGAGCAGCCTTCACACTGTTCCTGTGAGCACTGAGCAGGCAAAGGCCCTTTGGTAATATCAGACCAACATTTGCCAGGACCTGCTCAGTTATGACCAAAGCCCTGCTCCTGAATCCCACCAAAAAATGCTGTCCAGGTTTTGACTGCATCTGTAGCAGACAGATCATGCCAATGATAAACTTTCACATGGAAGATGGATTTTGATTTCCAGACCAAAATAACATTTCAAAGATGGTTTCATTAATGCCACCTAGTCTTTCAAGACAACACTTTCTCTGATACCTGTAAACAAAATGTGCAATTGCCTTAAATGGCATAATATGCAATTTCATTCTTGGTTATTGGCAGTTTTGCCATTTAACAAACTGATAGCATCAAAATCAATACGTCCCTTCAGACTCTCTGACTTCTACCTTTCCAGGAACCAATATCATACCCTTAATTACTAGAGCAAATAGCTGAGTTAATGGACATGAGGGGAATGGTGCTGCTACATATGGTTTACAGAGGGGTCTTTCAGCAGTAAAGCACAACAAGGTGTACTAACCAGTGAAAATAGGGCAGATCTTTTCCCAGCATGTAATTCCACCTTCGGAGGTATACTGTCCTAGCACCACCTCCAGGAAAAACACGGGAAGACCTCCCCCAAACAGGAAAATGAAATAAGGTATAAGAAATGCACCTGTTGAGAAAATACAATAGTAAATAATGAGATTAAATGACAGAAGTTACACAAGATCATAAAAAAAGTGATAACAGGCACATATAAACAAAGAAAGATATTTGGTACTTTAATTTCACTGTGCAATAACCTTATTCTGGGGTATTTTTGCTCATTTTTTCTGCAAGAAGGATGAGTATAGGCTGGAAAGGGCATTTTCTTACCTCTTTAAAGTGAATATCTCCAATAACAATGGCAGATTGTTAGGCATACAATACTTTCATATGGCTCAGACTGCTCTTATTCTGAAATCCCCTGGTCTGAAATCCTAATGGTCTATATAAATAGCATATCTTCTAGTTAAAACTCAGACTCAGCTGTAGCAGAAGTAAAAGAGCAGGAAAGGTTCAATAGCACAACACTAGAAATTGCTGGATTTTTTTTCCCTAATGAAGTTTAAATAAAAACTATTCAGTGATGAAACAACCTCTCCTGAAGAGCGAGGTGAGGGTGAGGGAGGGAGGCAGAAAACACACGCGCGAACAATCCTCTTTAAAAACTGGGTGAAGACACTGAAAAACAGCGAGCATGGGGCAGACAGACCTGTTCCTGAGCGTGGGATGACAACTCACCTCCGCCGTTTTTGTAGCAGAGATACGGGAACCGCCAGACGTTGCCCAAACCGATGAATCCCCCCGCCACGGACAGCAGGAAGTCGATCTTGCTCGCCCACTTCTCGCGCTGCGGTGGCTTTCCCTCAGCCTCATCCTCAGGCCGTGTCCCCGGGCTCTTGCCGGGGGAAGGTTTGAGGATGTCCTTGTGGAAATCTTTCAAGCACTGAAGCTTCTCCTTTGTTGCCATATTTCTGCTTTCTACACAGAAAAAGAACAACAACAAAAAAAAGAGGGGTTTATTAAGCAGTCTTTTCCAGCAGAGCTCTCTAACACTGCAAGAACTATTTAGCCAAACTTGTTCTGTGCAAAACAGTGTTGTTTATTAAGCTGAGATAGGAAAATACTTCTGATGACTTCACTGAGCAGCAGAGGCAAAGTCCCCCTGGCTGTGTGGTCACCTCTCTGCAGCCAGAGCAGCGCAGAGCACCGTGAAGCCCTGGCACTGCTGACCTGCTGCCCGCAGGGAAGGGGAGCCCTGGCTGCGCTCCCCGTGCCGGCTCCTGCACGTGGTGCTCCTGGGCAAGTGTCTAACGCTGCTTCCATGCCCAAAATAAAGTACAAATCACTGCATCTGGTTCCTTCTAAAGCATTTATGTGAAATACAGAATAGTAAATCTCACCTTTCCAGATAAAACCTATTCTTCTACTTCCCAACAGCTTGAGCGATCCTATATTATTTATTGCCTGCAATTTCCATTCCCTGAAGTACTATAAACCTTTCAGAAAACTATACATTCATAAAAACTGCAATGGAAAGTCATTTGTTCTAATCAGCCTGCAGGAACTGAAGGAATCTTTTCAGTTTACTCCATTTTCATAACTGCACTGTTTTCCCTTGACATCAATAAAGGGACAAAAAGAAGCCTTTATATTCAATTATTGTGAAATGCACACCTATGCAATGGAACAGTTTGCTGAGAATGATGGCTCCTTAGTTAATTAAAAAGTCAGTGTCATGAGTCATATTAAATCATAGCTGGTTTAATAATTTACATATATAATTTATTATCAAAATCACAGACATTCAAAAACAATAACAGAAAGAATTACTCTAACAAGCGCCTTTTTAACTAAGATTTTCTAATGACAACAATTTAGGAGTAACCTGTAGCTTTCATGTTAACTGAGATGTCAGGCATACGTGGCCAATTAATTCCCCACATAACTCAAGTGACTTCAGCTGGCTCTGACCAGTTATTATTGCATAGTGTGTTGATACTGAAATTTTCACCAGAACCAGGCAAACCAGCAAGTTTGTTCCAGATCACAACCACTGGCTGCTTATACATGTCATTATGAGTGCAGTCATAAAGAAATCGTGCTGCAGATTATCCTGTTTGATAGCTGCCAGCCTCCCCCGTACCTGCACACTGGTTTTGATCCCTAACCCAACTGAGCTCGTGGCAGTGACCCGAAGACTGAGCTGGCATTAGCTCTGCAGGAAGTTTTTAATCTGACCATGATTTTGAGATAGATATGCATCACTGTACCTGCAATGCTCCCCATTCACCGCGGAAAGTTTCAGAGGGCTAACACTGCCAAAACCACAGCAGCTCCACACTCGTCCCACTGGCACACTGGTGGCCTTCCAAAGCAGGCACTGTGACAGCAGCTGCCTATCAGGCCACGATCTAAAGAGGGACTTTAATCTCCACAACGTTAATCATTATGACTTTCTATTGGTTTTTAAACCAGGCCACTGGTGAGTGTGCTGGGTGGCATGAGCACTGCAATACCTCGTGATCAACAGCAGAGAGAGCTCACAGAAGGAGAAAGTGAATCACAGGGTGATGGACCATCACCACTGCACGGGGATGAAGGCAGGACGTATTCCACCAAAATAGCTCCTGCTGGTCACTGTTAGAGACAGGTATTTGATAAGCAGTAACAGGTATTTGATAAGCAGTAACAGAATAAAAATGGTAGGGCCAGCTCTGTAACAGTCTTTAGGCACTTAGTTGCTTTTGGGCTTAATTCACAGCAGCTAAATTGAGTTGAGTGTCATGAATGGAGATTAATGGAGGTGCCTCTAAAAGGGATTCACAGCAGCCTTAACCTCCCTGAGACACCTGCATCTCAAGCCCCAAACAGGCATCATCCTGCATAAACTCCAGGAGTCCTCTCTCGAGGGGGAAAAAAAAAAAAAGTGGACATAGCTGCTTTTCTTCAAACAGGTGGTTAATGTCCTGCTCTCTCTGCAACACCTACCAGGTACGGAGAAAGCTCATTTTTGCTTTCTTTTGCTATTTGTGCTCCTTGAATCCCTATCTTCCATCTTGCTGGAGCATGTCATAACCATCAGGCAACAGGCTATTCTGGGCTGAGGAATGGAGGGCATTTGGATTGTCTCATGGAAGCTGTTCTTCACAGGGGCTATTGAAACACTCATCAACAGAGCGGGAAAGCGTGCAAAAGAAAGAGGCTCACACCTAGGGTTTAGGGTATGCTCTTATCTTCCACACAGTTTTTTGGTGAACTGGTGGGACAGCCATAAACCTGCTTAAGAGGGCACAGAGATATATAGATTTATAGATCCCTGCAGGATTAGGTTTGAAATAGGAGCTTAACTGCTCCCCATGGAGACTGATACTGGAAATACCCCAAAACAGACCACTGGGAACACAGGCTCCCCTTATGTATAAAAACCTAAGGAGACCTGCAGCATTACCCACCTCTAAGATTAAAAACTCTTCAGGATTGCAATTTTTTGCGATCTACTTTTATCTCATGACACAGAGTTCTTTATTTTCTGCCAGCTCTAATCCTCTTGCCTGCGGATTTACTTTGACCCAGGTGTTAGTCAGTTCTACCCAGAGTTTGGAAGGCTGACCAGTTGATTGCATTCTGTAAACCCTGACTCTCCCTGGGACAAGATGATCACCCTATGGTTTGGCCCAATTAGCAGCACACAAAATGTGAAACGGTGCCTTTTCAGACTCTTTCTTTGTAACTGAGTGGAACTTGCAAAAGGGATTTCTAATTTGTCTCAAGATACCCCAAATTAATGGCAGTGCTTGAAAACCTAATTAGTAAGTGTAAATTGTGCTTCAGCCTTAGCTGGAGTGTGGTGACAGCTCGTGATCTCTCCTTTAGTCCACGAACCCTCAAGTTCATGCTTGCTTTTGGGGTCATTTCACTGGATGGGTGGCAGAAGATGAGCCACCTAAACCTTGGTGCCAGTCACCAGCTCTCAATAGTGGGGCACACTACCTATCCAAGGATTGCACACAATTAGTAACAGCCCAGCTTGACTGTGTACAGACTTGCTAAAATCCCAATTGTGTCTGGAGGACCGGCAGCTGTGGCTGGCAGGCACGTACTGTCCACCAGTACCACAGGAACTGCCACTAAGAGGCCACCTGGGACTGTGGTCCCAGCCCATGTCACGTTCAAGGGATGTCGGATTTATCCCCCTTTGCTGCCAACCATTGGTGTCCACCCAGCCATTCCCAATTACAGGAACTGTCTACAAAGGCTGCAAGGGTGGGGGGTACGGGCGATTCTCCCTGGTGAAGAAAAGCCAAGAAAAGTAAGTTTGTTTAGTGAAAGGCATTGTCTTTTTCCTTAATGGGGTTGGAGTTTCATTTCCTTTAGCTATGTCCCACTGGGTGAGGCTAAAATGGCTCTTAAGGGAAATAGTCTGACAGAGATGCTGAAACAATATGTTGTCACCGCCCAGGTCAGAAGCAGAGAATAATAGGTTATTTTTACTGTATCACTTAGTGGGGATGGTATCCGAGATCTAAGTCCATCAGATTCCCCCAAGGAAATATATTGTGAAAAAATGCTCTTACAACCACAGAGTCCAAAAGGAGCGATCCAAGTCTGAGGCATGTGTCTGCCTCCCAGAGACACACGTCTGCCTTCCAGGAGCCACATCTGACTGTGAGAGTACCCCCTCCAGGAAGCTTCAGATGGCCCCAGGAAACTTTGGCTTCATCTGATGAACTCAATATGGATAAATAAAAAGCAGCAGTCAAGCCTGCTATTTATGGTGTGCCCCTAGGCTGAGCCCAGTCACACTGCAAGAGCCTGATCCGACAGCAAGGGGAGAAAAAGTCCAGACTGGGCCAGGCTTTGTCTCACATACACTGGTACATACCCTCATTAACTGAGGATGGAGTAATCAATTATCAAATCAATGCTGGTAAAATATGGAAAAACAGAACAAGGGACCAAGCATGGGCACTTTGCACTTCTCAAGTATCTGCTCACTGGTGCAGACAGGAGGCCCTTCCACAGGAGAGTCACGTGTCTGTGCCTTGCACAAATTTCACCAGGTGAAATACCCTGCAATAACCCAGGCTCTCTTGCTGCCCCCCATGACTGATCAGTCTTTGATGCACAGGTGAAAATACCTCCATAAGAGGAGTGCTTTCACAGCCAGCTTGGCTTGGGACGTCCCCTGGGCTACAGCTATCAGCTCTTCAGAGTCTGCACCTCAGATAACCCATACCCTTTAAAAAAATACTGGCATTGAAATGTAATCCCTCATAACACGCAAAAAAAAGAGGGGTAGAGGAAGGGGAAGGCACTGCACAGAGGGGGCAGATGGTGAGTGATGCCCATGAGGGAAGGCCACCAGCACAGTCAGGACTTGCTGGTTGTCAGAACAGACACAACTCCCAGTACTACTGAACCACTGACTTTTTTTGTCAGACAACCCATGGATTACACATCTGAAAATACACTGTGTTCAGTTTTTGCTTTGGGATTACAGTAATGATCCGCTCCAAGCTTCTTACAGCTGAAGACAAGAGACCAATGCACAGCAGCACCTCCAGGAGGAGCCTCGAGAACAAGCACACCACGGATGTCACCTCATTTAATAGTCACTAAAAATCAAACCTTTCAAACAGTATTTATCCAAATGCTGATGGAAATGGGAAAATCAAAGTCTGCCTGAACACACAGATATGTGTTTGTAAATATTTACACATGCTAAAATGCATGCCCTGTCTTGCATCTGAACACCAGTAACCACAGCAAAGCAGATACTTATTTTTTGGTCAATGCATATAAACTTTGATTAAAGATTCAGCATGACTAGAGTGGTAACTGAATGTGTTTTTTTCTAGCTTCTCTTTCTGTTGGAAAACTAAAAGCAAAGTACACATTCAGAGTGTCTTTCACCTTGATGGGAATGTTGCTTGAAGAATGACTGTATGGCTGTACCACTGATTTTATGGACTATTTCT